ATGTGATCTACTTGGATTTTGCCAAGGCATTTAATACGGTTCCTCACAATAGGTTAGTCTTCAAACTAAAGGAAATTGGTCTAGATGAATATTCTTGTTCTTGGGTAGTTGTCATTAATGGTAAATTTACAGGCTGGACAAAAGTGGTAAGTGGTGTCCCTCAGGGTTTTGTTTTGGGACCACTTCTATTTAACATTTTTATAAATGATCTTGAAATAGGCATTGAAATCCATGTTTCAGTGTTTGCAGATGACACAAAACTTTGTAAAGTAAGTGTGAGCAGGATATTGCTTTGCTGCAGAGGCATTTGCATAGATTGGGGGACTGGGCACTAAAATGGCAGCTGAAATTTAATGTACAGAAATGCAAAGTTATGCACTTTGGGGTCAAGAATGCACAAGCAACTTACACCTTAAATGGTAGTGAATTACTGATAACTACACATGAGAAGGATTTGGAAATCGTTATAGACAACAAATTAGGCAGCAATATGCAATGTCAATTTGCAGTTGCTAAGGCCAGTAAGGTTTTGTCATGTATAAATAGGGGCATAAATTCTCGGGATGAAAGTATAATTTTGCCTCTTTATAAATTGCTGGTGAGACCACATCTTGAATATGCTGTGCAATTTTGGGCACCTGTTCTAAAGAAGGATATCATGGCATTAGAAAAAGTGCAGAGACAAGCTACAAAAGTTATAAAAGGAATGGAGCATTTTAGTTATGAAGAAAAGTTAAAAAAAATTTAAATCTCTTTTAGTTTGGAAAAACAGCTCCTCAGAGGGGATATGATAACATTATACAAATATATTTGGGGCCAGTACAAACCATTATCTGGAATTCTATTCATAAACAGGGCTATACTATAGGACACAAGGTCAGGCATTGAGGCTGAAACCTGTGAACCGGCATTGAAAGTTGAGCAACAGAGCTATTGATTGCCTTTTTACAGACTTTTTGGGATTAAACTGTTCATTAAAGGACCACTATAGTGCTCTGAGGGTGCCCACACCCTCAGGGTCCCCCTCCCACTGGGCTCTGGGGAGAGGAAGGGGTTAAAATCTTACCTTTCTCCAGCGCCGGGCGGGGAGCTCTCCTCATCCTCTCCTGCTCCATAGCGACGTCATCGGCTGAATGCGCATGCATTGCTTTCCTATGGACGCTGGCGTCTTCTCACTGTGTCAAGAGACAGCCACTAGAGGCTGGATTAACCATATTATAAACATAGCAGTTTCTCTGAAACTGCTATGTTTATTTAAAAAGGGAGTTAATCCTAGATGGACCTGGCACCCAGACCACTTCATTAAGCTGAAGTGGTCTGGTTGCCTTTAGTGGTCCTTTAAATGGATACTATAGTTAGTCACTCAGACCACTTCATCTCATTGAAGTGGTCTGAGTGCAATGTCTAAGAAACTGCAATAATTACATTGCAGGTTTAAGACTATCTCTAGTGGTTGTCAATCAGACTTTATTTCTGGCAGATCCAAGTAAGAAGTCAAATCATTTGCAAATTGACTACTTACATTGGCTGGTGGCAGGACATTCCTGGCAGAAAAACCACTACATCATGCATTGGTTTAAAGAGGTGCATGCAGTATGTATGTTTACCTGCAATAATTGAGCTTACAGGCATTTGTGGTTTGAGTTAATAAAGATTCCCATATAAAGATTCCAGATAAATAAGTTGGGTACTTTTATTAAAGGGAAACTACAGTGATAGGAAAACGGCTGTTTTCCTGGCACTATAGCTACCTGTCCCTATAGTGTCCCCCTCTGTCCGTGGTGCATAAGGAGTTAAAAACTTCTTCAGTCCCTCGGCACTGGTTCATGCTCCGCCTTCGCTCCTCCAGCGGGGTAAACAATGCACATGCGCAGCGATGGCAATTCTTGCATTATGGCTTCCCGCATAGGAAAGCATTATATAATGCTTTCCTATGGGGTCTTGGGTGATGCTGGATGTCCTCAAAAGTCGCCTAACGACCTGAAGGTCTCTCTAGTGGCTGTCTGGTAGACAGCAACTAGAGGTGGAGTTAACCCTGCAATGTATTAAAAACTAAAATAATTACCTTAGCAGGGTTACGAGACACTGCGCCCAGACCACTTTCATGAGTTGAAGTGACCTTGGTGCTTATCTTGTCTCTTTTAACTATTGTGAAATTACATTTAAAGAGTAACTGTCACTTCTGATATTCATTGTGATGAACGCTCCTTACCCTGGACGTTTGCCATGAACTTCTGGAGGAGTGTGGAAGCTAGCCTCCTGCCCACCAACTATGGGCCAAATATCTTGTGCCAAAAACTTTATATTTTTCCTTTCTGTTCACAAGTCATTTCCCCGGTTGTTTCACAGTTTCCCCAAACAGAAACTTTTACTGCGTTCAATAGATTAATCTACCGAGCACCGACCACCCCCTGGCTCATTAACTACAAAAAAAAACACTGGATTAAAGGTACACTATAGTCACCAAAACAACTTTAGCTTAATGAAGCAGTTTTGGTGTATAGAACATGCCGCTGCAGCCTCACTGCTCAATTCTCTGCCATTTAGGAGTTAAATCACCTTGTTTATGAACCCTAGTCACACCTCCCTGCATGTGACTTGCACAGCCTTCCTAAACACTTCCTGTAAAGAGTCATCTAAAGTTTATCCTTTCTTTATTGCAAGTTCTGTTTAATTTAGATTTTCTTATTCCCTGCTTTGTTAATAGCTTGCTAGGCCCTGCAAGAGCCTCCTGAACACGTATTCCTGACCCTATAGGGTTAAAACCACCATCATGCCTCCCTAAAATAGTAATATCTTACTTGTATTCAAGCCTGGAGCTGCTTACTTAGTCCCTGTTTCCTTTAGACTTGCCCAATGTCTGCTGACATCATCAGAAGTGGTAGCCTGATCCAATCACAGTGCTTCCCCATAGGATTGGCTGAGACTGACAAAGAGGCAGATCAGTGGCAGAGCCAGCACAATTCAAACACAGCCCTGGCCAATCAGCATCTCCTCATAGAGATGTATTGAATCAATGAATCTCTATGAGGAAAGTTCAGTGTCTCCATGCAGAGGGAGAAGACACTCAATGTTTGGATGCATTTTAGGCAGCCATTACCCAGAAAGGATCTCTAACAGCCGTCTAAGGAGTGGCCAGTAAAGTTATCACTAGGCTGTAATATAAACACTGCATTTTCTCTGAAAAGACAGTGTTTACAGCAAAAGGCCTGAAGGTATTGATTCTACTCACCAGAACAAATTCAATAAGCTGTTGTTCTGGTGACTATAGTGTCCCTTTAAGTGCTTTCTTTGTGTGGCTCTTGTCGCATGAACGCAGGCAGCGGGACTTGGTCATCGAGTGTCTGGAACTCTAAGTCAGACACTCAACCTCACGAACACCGGTGAAACCATACAAATGCCTGCTTCTTTCCGCGACAAGCCAGGAGAGCACTGTTCGGTAGGTTTGTTTGCATGAACTAGACGAACAAACCGTTCGCCTTTTTGTTTGGTTTGGAACTCCCAAAATTGACCAACTGCTACCACTGAAGCTTTGAAACCAATTTGGGCAGATGCCTCATGAGCGGTCGGTCAAAACTTTCGACTATATTTGTGGCATGAGCGCTATTTGGACAACTTGGGCTCTCAGATCCAAGCTGTCCGGGGATATCATATTTGTGGGGGTTCTTAGATGTTTATTATGTATTTTCATGTGTGTTAATATTTTGTCTTTTATGCCTAGTCATGCTGACACTGGAATTTGTGGGCCGGTTGGCCAGATTAAAGTAATTTAATTTCTACCCTTCATCAAGTCTAGGCTGATGTTTGGGGAATTGGGAGCTATAATCACTGCTTCACTGGGGATTTGGGAGAACTACAGCGGATATATATAGGGGATCCGTTACATTGATCATTCCTTATTCCCACACCAAGCACCATTGAAGCTTTTACTGGGGATTGGAGTGCAACAGAAGGAAGTATAAAAAAAATATACATCAAGGAAATGCCTAGAAAGTGCTATATAAAAGCATGCAAGCTTTGGTATTCTGTACCCATGTATGCACCTTCAAAGACCATGGAATGGGGGTCAAGTCATGGGTGTAGGAACCAGGGCAATATGGGGGGACAAATCTCCCTAGAATAACCGGTGTAGCTTGTAATATCATGTATTTCTCGGTTTTAGAAAAATAACATGTTAAGAGTTAGAAATCCCATTATACCAATAGACCCATTAGGGATAATATATAATTGTGCCTATAGAAAACAGCATGGTAAAATGTATGCTTCCTAATTATTATTAATGAAATTATTAGCCTTGGCCTTTTATGACAGTCCCCATGCAAGGGCTCACTCCCTCCTGGACCTGAGAGTAAACCACAGCAGAAACAAATACACAATTAGATTGGCTCTCAAATCCAGACACTCCCATACATAAACAGATAATCTCTCATCTGTGCCTGAGAGATAATTGGATCAGGAATTGTACTAATCTAATCCAATTATCTCCAAGTACAGAAAACATACTTTTTCCCAAACATTTCAAAAGTACCCCAAAACCCCACAAAGGTTACATCCTCTGATCTGAGAGACCAACATATCCAAAAATCACCCAGATCAGTTCAGGGGTTCAGGAATATCCTGAAAGTCATTTATTCGACCGACCGCAGGCATGATCCCATGCCCAAAACAGTTCCAGAGAATCGGGGCTTGCGGTCGGTTTAGTTCGGTAGTTTGAAAACGAACAAACTACCGAACAGAGTCCATAGTCTTACCCTGGAGCTTGTTCCCCTCATCCAGACGAACGAATCCACCGAACAGCGCCATTCTAAATTGTATAGAACTGAACGCAGGCGATGAATGAAGTCCAGCGGTGTTCAGGAGTTTCTGTGTCCGATTTTAGTTCCATGAGATTCATGCCCAAACACCACTGCCTGCGTTCATGCGAACAAGATGGCCACCACCTTGTGGTTGTTCATAGGAATTGCGGCCAACCAGACAAACAATTATAACACTGCGGTGAGCACTGTTCCAAGTTGTTAATAGGTGTTTACAAGCTCCCGTTTGGTCCCTGGTTCGTGCCGTTGTTAGGTAACCGAACCATATAGACCCAAATGCACCAACAGAGTCTTTTCAAAGTATTTTAGCCAGGTCTATTGCAGGGATTACAAATGCTCCTAAAAAGACGTGGGGTTTTTTTTGGTTGTTTTTTTTTTTTTTAAACATTTCGTTGTAATTTTACAAATCTCTGGATTTTTTTTACAAAGGTTTATCCCAGTTTCAAATGGAGCATCCTGTTCAAGAATGGCAAGATTATGTCCACAAGAAGTGGTTACAACTTCCCTCTGACGTTAAAATACAGTTTTCTGCATCTTCAGACCTTGCTAAGAGTTTCATGATGTGCTGGTCACAGCTTCAGTAAGTAGCTGATCGTTTGTATAATAATGCATGTACCCAGGGGCGTTTTAGCCGCGAGGCAAACAAGGCATTTGCCTTGGGCGGCATTTTGCAGGGGGCGGCAAAAAAAGCCGCCCCCCAATTGCCCAGGGCAAATGCCTAGTTAGCCTCGCGGCTTACTGACATGCCGAGCGGGCGGCTGGCGAGGGAGCTCTTTTTCTGAGCGGTCTGCTCAGCTCCCTCGCGCGCCGCAGAGTGAGGCTGGGAGCCGGAATATGACGTCATCAACCCGGCTCCCAGCCTCACTCTGCGGCGCACGAGGGAGCTGAGCAGACAGCTCAGAGGAAGTGCTCCCTCGCCAGCGCTGCCCGACCGCCCAGCAGCCACTGGACCACCAGGAAGAGAGGGAGGGGGGAGATTTAATAAATAAAAAAAATATGTTAATGTGAGTGTGTGTGTCTGTTAGTGTGTGTGTCAGTGTGTGTGTGTGTGTGTCTGTTAGCTAGTGTATGCGTATCTGTCAGTGAATGTGTGTATTTAGAAGGTGGGACGGGGGGAAGGATTGGGTGGGGGTGGCACGGGGGGAGGGGGCGCCTGAGTTTTGTCCTGCCTAGGGCAGCACAAAATCAGGATACACCACTGCATGTAGCATTAATATGACACAATAAAAAAAAAATGCAAAGCAATGAAATTTATCCTTCTTCACATAGTGAGGACTTGCCAAGAACTGAGTCCTCATAGTAGGGAAAAGTCTTATAAATGCTTTTTCACATTATGTCAGCTATTATATCGCATGGGAAAATGTCCCGCATTATTTAATATAGTTACATAGCTGAAAAGAGACTTGCGTCCATCAAGTTCAGCCTTCCTCACATTTGTTTTTTGCTGTTGATCCAAAAGAAGGCCAAAAAAAAAACAGTTTGAAGCATAGTTTTGCAATAAGCTAGGAAAAAAATTCCTTCTTGACCCCAGAATGGCAGTCAGATTTATCCTTGGATCAAGTAGTTATTACCCTACATTGAAAGATTATATCCTTGAATATTCTGTTTTTGCAAGTATGCATCTAGTAGCTGTTTGAACATCTGTGTGGACTCTGAAAAAAACACTTCTTCAGGCAGAGAATTCCACATCCTTATTGTTCTTACAGTAAAAAAACCTTTCCTTTGCCTTAGACGAAATCTTCTTTCTTCCAGTCTAAGCGCATGACCTCATGTCCTATGTAAAGTCCGGTTTGTGAATAGAGATGTCGCGAACCGTTCGCGAACTTCCCGCGAACAGCTCGCCACGGTTCGCCACAAACCGTTCACAGCGAGCTCCTGTCAGCTGACACATCCCGGCCAATCTCCAGCAGACCCTCCCACCTCCTGGACAGCATCCATGTTGAAGCTGCCTTCAACATGGATTCTTTCCAGGAGGTGGGCGGGTCTGGGAGGGATTTAGAGACTTTCAGCTGAGACTCTCAAAATTTAGAGACTTTCAGCTGTTTGCAGGGAACAAATCAAACAAAAGCAATTGAAATAGCTCAACACAATGAATGCTTCAAGTGGTTTCCCCAACTTAAACTAAAAATGCAACTTATAATGACTTTTCCAGTTGCAAAATTATTTAACCACCTGAACAGAATCCCTCAACAGCACAAATATGCAAAACAAGTGTTGTATCAAGCACACCTAATGCAACTAATCAAGGACTTCATTAGTTGCACCAGGTGTATTTAAACTGGAACACCTGAAATACCCGAACTGGCTAGTGATTTGTTGAGTGTCTCAATTGACAGGATGTTAGAAATATGGCTAAGTAAAAAAAAATATGGTCCACAAAGTTAAGAGAAGAGATCATCACTAGAGTTGTGCGAACCCGGACTGTAAAGTTCGGGTTCGTACCGAACATTAAGTTTTTTGGACCCCGGACCCGAACTCGGACATATGAGTGTATGTTCGAGTTGGAGTTTGGTGTTCGGCGATTTAATGGCGCGTTTTGAAAGGCTGCAGGGCAGCCAATCAACAAGCATTTGACTCGTGTGCCCTTAGAAGGCATCACAGCCATGCCTACTAATGGCATAGCTGTGATTGGCTAGTGCAGCATGTGACCCAGCCTCTATATATAAGCTGGAGTCGCGTAGCGCCGCACGCACATGAGCTCTTATTAGTGTAGGGAGAGGATGCTGCAGCTGTTAGGGACAAATTAGGAAATAATTCTGGTGTTGAATCTGCAAACTACATCGATTATTTTTGTGGGTGCTATAATACAAAATTTTTGTACCCTTCCCTGAGCCCAGTGCCACACAGTGCAGTGCACTTGCAACTGCATGTGTGCCAGGCGCATTACTTTAATCCTGTTCTGGTAGCTCAGTGGGAAACATCTAGGCATTTTTAAATACTGGTTAGAAAAAGAAAAATAATAGGCGTTCGCTATAGTGATCAGGCAGCAGTATACAAAACAAGGATTCCCCAACCCTGTGAGTGAGTAATAGAAAAACAGAAAAGAGGGCGTATACCGCGCCTAGTAGTTTATATATGCAGAAAATACATACATGTATCCTTGATTATTCCAATTAATCGTAACCTCAGAAAATAATTAAGATAAAAAAATAATAGTGCAATACAGTAAATTTTATCTTAAAAACAGGTAGTTTATGGCTATGTACAGTCCACTCACATTTGGATGAGCTATAACAGAGCTCTGCTGTGAAGCGCTTGGACGGTACAATCCCCGTCTTTGGATTTGTAGAAGTTGCCACGGATATTTTCAAAGTGCAATGAGCGTAGTTGATATAAAAGAAAGATAGCAGCAATATGGTGAAGTTAGTACCAATAATATAATGGATAGTAAATAGTATTGTACTTACACTTTCTAGAGCATGTGACCTGCTCTAGTATAAACAGCTTAGGTGGTATAATCCCCACCAAGGATATACAGGATCCAGGAAATAAAAAATAGTAAATATAAAAAGTAAAGTATACTTTAATATAAAAAAACAGAATAAAGAATAAAATATATAAAATATAGTCCCACTTAACGCGTTTCGCCTGATAGGCTTCTTCAGAAGTGTGGTGTAATGTCCAAAAAGTCAGTTTTTATATCCTTATTGATGAAGAAATGATGTCCTGTTGTGTTTACTTCCTGGTTCCGGCTTGGTACTGACACGCACGCGTCATACCGGAAATGACGTGGCACCCGTGTCATACCGGAAATGACGCGGCACCCGCGTCATACCGGAAGTGACGCGATGCTCGCGTCAGACCGGAAATGACCGCGGCGTCATAGTTAGAAGGAAATGTAATATTTTGGCGCCTTAGAATGTACGTATCACCAATAAGTGGTGTGCGTAGCGTTCCAAGCGTCACCCGCCCCAGTCTCCAATGAAAAAGAGTATGGGCATATCGTGATGCAAATATGGCATTGCAGCCATATTTGATGAGGGCAACAATCAGTATAAAATAAAACAAGATAAAATATATTGATGGCAATGGTGCAGATGATGTTTACAAGAGGAAAAGAAGCTGCACTAATACAATATACAAATAATAGGGCAGTGATAAAAAAAGGGATTTTAAATACTGCAATTTTTTGGGTGCTAAATAGTACATTTGCTTACTGCATTTCTTGCAGTCCAATAAAACCCTTAAATACTACTGTTACATTGTTGGTTTAAAAAAATCAAACTTTTTGGTGCTAAATAGTACATTTGCGGCAGGGCTGCCATCAGAAATTTTGGGGGCCCTGACACAGCTCAAGGTCTGGGCCCCCCGGTGCCTGCACTCGATTCCGCCCAAAGTGCTGCCCCGCCCCCCGAGTCCGCCCACAGGGATGCAGTGTCTGTACTGATTCTGGTGTGTGTGTATAGTGGATGTAAAATGTGTGTAGTGGATGCAGAGTTCGTGTGTTAAGTGGATGCAGTGTGTGTTTAACGGATGCAGTGTGTATAGTGGATGCAGATTGTACATTTGTGTAATGTAAGAGGTGTATATTAGGTGCTGAGTGTGTGTTTGTGTAGTGGATGTAGTGTTTGTGTGTATTAAATGTGATGTGTATAGTGAATGCAGAGTGTTTGTGTAGTGAATGCAGAGTGTGTGTAGTGGATGTAGTGTTTAGTGAATACAGTGTGTGGATGCAGAGTGTGTCTTTGTGTAGTCGATGTAGTGTGTGTATAGTGACTACATATTGTGTGTTTGTGTAAGTATTTAATGTGTGTGTGTGTATAGTAACTGGAGACTGTGTTTGTGTAGTGGATGTAGTGTGTAGTGACTACAAAGTGTGTGTGTGTTTGTGTAGGTACTGCAGAGTGTGTGTTTGTGTTAGGAAGTAGTGTGTGTGTGTGTAGTGACTCCAGAGTGTATGTTTGTGTAAGGATGTAGTGTGTGTAAATTTTAGTGAATATTGTGTGTGTATGTTAGTGTATAGTTTGTATAAATGTTAGTGTATAGTGTGTAAATGTTAGTGTATAGTGTGTGTGTAAATGTATGGGGCTGCAAAATGTGGGGAGAAAAGCCTACAGGTTTTTTTTTTTTTCCATCCATTAGTTGTATTGTTTTATTCACACCTCCCTGTATCTCACCTGTGGCCATGGAGTGGGGAGATTGGCTGGAGCACTGGTGCCGGAAGTCCTGAGGAATGGTGCAGCCCCCGCTACCTGTATTCTGCAGGAGGCCCAGCACACTTGAAATATACTGCCCAGATGCTCTGCTCTGTCGAAGTCTCGCGAGCTGTGCGGAGCGTTGCCATGGCAACGCTCTGACGATCACGTCGCTCGTGAGACTTCAACAGAGCAGAGCATCTGGACAGTATATTTCAAGTGCAGAATACAGGTAGCGGGGGCTGCACCATTCCTCAGGACTTTCAGTAGCGGGGGGCCCGCAGTGCACACATATATTATATATACGTTAATCGTTATATATGTGTGCACATAGCTAATGTGGGCAGTGGCGTACACACAACCCGTGGGGCCCCGGTGCGAAAAACTGATCCGTGGGGTCCCCTGCCCGCGCGCTTACTCTGCGCGGGCCGGGGCCGCAACACATGGCGGCGGGCACAACCCCTGCGACTGCGGTATGTACGCCAGTGCATGCAGATACACTTAAAGGACCACCACAGACACCCAGATCATATCAGCTCAATGAAGTGGTCTGGGTGCCAGGTCCCTCTAGTTTTAACCCTGCAGCTGAAAACATAGCAGTTTGAGAAACTGCTATGTTTCACTGAGGGTTAATCCAGCCTCTAGTGGTTGTCTCATTGACAAATAAAAAAGTGTTGGCTACCTCCTCCGCATCCACCTACACCGCCTCGGTCACCACCTCCTCAACCTCCTACTCCACATCCACCTCCTCCTCCTAGAGCATCCCCTAGACGCACCCAAGGACCGAGCACACCAAAGCCAGCTTCAAGGAATTCCCTGACGTGGCAGTTCTTCAGACAATATGCTGATGACCAGACACTAGTGGTTTGCACGCTGTGCAATCAGAGCCTGAAGTGAGGCATAAACATTCTAAACCTGAGCACAACCTGCATGACCAGGCATATACATGCAAAGCACGAGCTGCAGTGGTGTAAGCACCTCAAAAACCAAGAAAGGTCTCTGCTTCCTCTTCTGCTGCTGTCTCTGCCTCTTCTTCCACCTCTGGAGTGACAGTGGCACCTGCCACCCCGCAAACAGAGGATGTGGCAGCAACTCCGCCACCGTCCCCAAGCATCTCTACACTGTCCCATGGAAGCATTCAGCTGTCCATCTCCCAAACACTGGAGAGAAAGAGGAAGTACCCCCCTACCCACCTGCAATCCCTGGCCCTGAATGCCAGCATTTCAAAATTCCTGGCCTTTGAAATTCTTTCATTCTGTCTGGTGGAGACGGACTGTTTTAAAAACCTGATTATTGGACTGCAAGAAATGCACCGCAGGCCGCAAATGTTTTTTTTTTTTTTTATATATATGTCCCAATATTTTGGGGGCTACCCCAATTAAAAAAAAACAAACAAATAAAAAACAGTGTTGGCTACCTCCTCCACCGCCACTTCCACCTACACCGGTCACCGCCTCCTCAACCTATGGGTCACTTAGTATAAACTATTTACACAATAGCAGAGGCTTGTGAAGGCCTTTTCTCCATGCATCAGGAGTTGAGCTCAGTTTGAACAATGAAAGAGAATACCCTGTTCTCCAACCCTCTCTCAAATGGATAATTCTGGTGATCCTCCTGACAGCCATGCTTTAAATTTTGATTTATGTTCTTCCAAAGCTAAAATCAAAGATTCCATCTAGTGCTATTTTATGACTCAGCTGTATTTTTAATTTGTATGTATTTTATGTTATTTTAAGTGATTTCCCTATCCACATTTGTTTGCAGGGCACTTGTCCTACTTTTACCCCCATTTTACTTCCTTTTGCAGCCCTCTTTTGTGCCCAAAAGTTCGGGTCTCCATTGACTTCAATGGTTTTCGGGGTCAAGTTCGAACCCGAACTTTTTTCCGAAGTTCGGCCGAACCCGAACATCCAGGTGTCCGCTCAACTCTAATCATCACCTTTCACAAACAAGGATACAAAAAGATAGCTAGGCACTGAATGTTCCTAGAGACATCATTGGAAGCATAGTTCACAAGTTCAAATTGAAGGAACAGTGGTTACACTACCTGGACAGGGCAGAAAAAGAAAGCTAAGCTGAGGTTTCAGTGAGCACAGTAACGCATCTACTAAACGCAGGTTTCCATGCTGGAACTCTCAAAACTTGGATGTCCGAGTGCTCTTTTAGCAACTCCCCACGTGCCAGCCATTGTGGTCAGCCAGGGGGGAGGACACAAAGTCGTTTACGCCCTCCCCCCCATATAAAATAGTTTTCTAATAATGGAATGTGCTATTTCCCTCACTCCGCTTACTTCCCTTCTGTGGTATTAAAATAGGTGTTTTACTGAAGTGTTAAATAATGCCAACATGCTTTTTTTTTTCTTCTTAACACACCAAAGGTTTTGGTATAGAACTGGGATAAACAATCTTTGGCATTCCAGATGTTGTGGGCTGTGCCTTCCATATTGCTTTTACTTCCATAATGCTGGCAAAGCATCATGTGAGATGTAGTTCAGCACATCTGTAGAAGATACATTTGCTGTTGAATTGTAGCCCCAAAAGATCATATAGTCCTTATGATCTCTCCCAAGTAAATTTAAAATGAACAGCTATTCTCAAATGTAAAAAATGGAAGCCTTCTTTTCCCTTTAATATTCAGTACACAGCAGGCAAGGACACTATTAAACGAGCCAAGGAACAGTCTCTTTCATTGGAAATGCTTCACTCAGAGTTGTGTAAAAGGGTATAACTACAGAAATGTTAAGTGTTGAAGGTTTGAGGAGGCAAAGAATAGGTGTGTGCCCATACAGTATAACACCTGCCTTTAATTTCTATCCACAGGCAGGAAGAAGAGGAGGTTTTAGAAAAGCTGTGTTCTGATCTAAGTGTGAAGAAAGAGCCCCATGCTGTGCTTTTCTACAAGTTAGAAGGAAATAAGCGGTTTGGAAGAAAACAGTACACAGCTGCAGCTGTTCTGTACTCCAAGGTACATTGAGAGTAACATCGGAAACACGAATAGCGTTCATTCATCCATATTACAGGAGCTTTGTTTTCTGGCAGTATTGAGTCGGCAGGAACCCTACATGTTTTGAAGGTTACAGAAGGGAGCTGTAATCTGGCATCTATTGGACCACAACAATGTAGTGTAGAAAAAAAACCTAACATTTTTAGATCACTTCATTTATTGTGATTTTAATCACTAAAAATGCAAATCTTCAAATTTTCCTGTTGAAACTTATACAACATAATACAAAAAAACAAGTCCTGCTCTCAAACTCTGCAGTAACGATCATAGCACACATCAGCCCCAATACATACAGTAAAAATCAAAGAAAGAAAAGTTACCTGCGCTCTCTCCTACACTGACCGTTCATCTTGCTTCCTTGAGCTTCTAGCAAAGATATTTCTAATGAGACAGAGAGGGGTATTTTTTAAATACTCCCCTACATACTTATTAATCCTTAATAGGGAACACATGGGATGGGTGGCAGCATTGTAACATATAAAATGTTTTAAATTCCCCTCACTGTCTCATTAGAGATATCTTTGCCAGAAGCTCAAGGAAGCAAGGTGAAAGGTCAGTGTAGGACCTACCTGAGAAGTTTGCCTTGACTTGGCATTCCCTCCAATGGCCATTGGAGTAACTAAATAACCTCAATTTGTTTAAATATACATAGGGATTTAGGAGAGAGTGCAGGTAACTTTTTTCTTTCTTTGGTTTATACAACATAAAACTAAATATATTTTTTTTTAAAGAAAGAAATATATGTATGAATTTATCTGCTGTTTAAGATATGGGCAAAATAATTCAGTTGAGTTGGGTAAGTTTTTTCCAACTAGCTTTTTTTTTATTTTTTTTTATTCTTTATTTTTGCAGTGCAGGATTATATGTACAATCTCAAGTAAACATTGTAAAGTATAAAGCAATGGTGTAACATACAATATCAGGAAGAAGTGCACTGTTTTTTATAGTTATACGTAACATGGTGGGTCAGAATGCATCAAAAGATTTTCCAGATGAGCTAATGACAATGTAGTTGAGTCTAGTGACCACATTATAAACGATTAAAGATACGTTGTCCCCCAGAAGTATTAATCCTAAAATTTAGTCAGGCTGGTGGGGTGTAAAGTTTAAGTAAAACATGAAGTATGCATGCTGAGTAGGTAGAGTTATAGCTACATGATAGTTGCATTAGCAGGAGTTGTGGTTACAAGCACATAGTTAGTTGACTAGGCTGGCTAAAATGCAGGCGTGCTTGTGTCTTAATGTACCATAAAGTAACATCGCTTTAAAGACTGGTTAAAGTGACTGTCAGAGGGTCAGTAGCTTACTAATATGATATAGGTGCTATATATTGGCAGAGGGCCAGGTGTGGGAACCCCTGAGCGCATTCTGTCAGCACGGCATCAGGTATGGAAGTGTAACTTGGACAAGGTTGATATAGGCTAACGGCCATCATTATTCACTTAATACTCTCAGTCTCTGCGTTGGCAGTTATATTTACATGGCGTAGGCAGTCCATATGTCGGCGGCTGTTGCCGGCTGTGATTGTGCCTTCCAGATGCACATGTGGTATGTTCACCCAAGAGGCACAGAGGCAGGTCCCTCAGCCAATGCCCAGTGCATGGACACGTCTCCTGTAGTCAGCGTTGGTCTCGCCGAGGGTGTCCCAGCCCTGGGGTTCCGCTCCAGCGGTATTCAGCAGGGTGTTCACCTGTGCAGCTCTCCGGTTTGCAGCTGTGATATGGAGGGATGGGTGCAAGCCTTGCTGGACGTCGCTCTCGGAGCTGGTGAGTAGCTTGTGTGGGAAGCCGGCTTAGCAGTCTTATTCTTTCGCGTGTGGGGGCCATTATGTTCGCCCGTGCAGTGTGGTGTCGTTTCCCGCCCTTGGGTTCGACAATGTTTGCGGGGTCTGGTTGCCTGTCTGGGTGCTTGTAGTGGTAGCCTGTAATGGCGCCGCCTGGTTACTGGACGGATCCACGTGGCCACTAGTTTTACTGCCAGACAGTAAGCCCTTCCGCAATCGCTCAGCATTGACCAGAGGCTCGCACAGAGTCGGTCGAAGTCCCCCAGGGGGTACATGGTTGGTTGGGCTTGTGTGCTTCGTTGTTGGGGCCTTTGCTGGGCAGCCATCTTAGCTGCTTCCCAGTGACCCGATGATTGCTGGTGCTGCGCTGGCTCAGTAGGCAGTCACCTCTGTATTTTGGTTGCGGCGTCTCCGGCTTTAGGTGCCGGGATATCCCTCTCCGGTGGGGGGAGGGAGTATGCCGGGGAGACCTCCAGGTGAGTGGCTGCAGTCCCTCGCTTTGTCTGGGTAGGCCTCAGGTCTATCCCCAGGTAGGAGCCTCCGATTTCAGTCGGGATGCTTGGCTCTTGGCTCTATAATGTTAGGTCTCCCTACTCCAGGTCACCCAACTGTCGATTTGGTAAGTTTTTGCCCTGATTTTGGCTATTTGAGAGCGTGTTTGCACGGAGCTCGTCTCCAGTGCGACCGCTCGGCATGGCCGCTTAGCTCCGCACCCTGTTTTTTAAATAAAGATTTTAAGAGATTAACCCCTTCAGGACGGAGTCAATAGTACACGTTCTAATCAAAACAAAACGTAAACAAAAACTGGAATTTGCGCTATATGTCTGTTCAACCGTAATTCACCTCTTTCATATTAAATATACCCACACTTATTATATATAATTTTGTACAGGAGAAACCGGGCTTTCATTTCATATCAAATATTTATATATGAAACATAATTTATTAATAAAATTTAAAAAACTGTGAAAAATGTTAATTTTTTAAAAACAAATTGTAGTTCCGCCTCACATTTTAACTGTAAATGTCATAATACTGTTAGGTTTTACTGCAAAAAAATGCACATATTTGTAATCAGCGATGTCTCACGAGTACAACAGTACCCCCCATTAACAGGTTTTATGGTGTTTTGGAAACTTACAGGGTCAAATATAGAACGTTCCATTTTCAATTTGAAATTTGCCAGATTAGTAATGTTACCTTTGAGACGGTGTGGTAGCCCAGGAAGGAGAATTACCCCCATAATGGCATACCATTTGAAAAAGTAGACAACCCAAGGTATTGAACGTGGGGTATGTTTAGTCTTTTTTTAGTAGCCACTTAGTCACAAACACTGGCCAAAGTTAGCGTTCATATTTGTTTTTGTGTGGAAAAAAAGCAAAAAACTAATATTTGGCCAGTGTTTGTGACTAAGTGGCTACTAAAAATGACTGGATATACCCCATTTGCAATAGCTTGGGTTGTCTACTTTTGCAAATGGTATGCCATCATGGGGGTAATTCTTATTCCTGGGCTCCCATACGATCTCAAAGGCAACATAACCAATCTGGCAAATTTCAATGTCAAAAAAATGAAATGCATGCCTTATATGTGACTCTCTAACTTTCCAAAACACCATAAAACCTGTACATGGGGGGTACTGTTATTCTCGGGAGACTTCACTAAACACAAATATTAGTGTTTTAAAACCGTAAAACATATTACAAATATAATATAGTCCATAAAAGTGCCGTTTGTTTGTAAAAAAAAAAAATGCAAAAAACGTCACTTTTACTTAAAATATCACTTGCCGGGGGAGGGCTGCCTGGGCTGTCAGGCAGCCCTCCAGAAGAGGATAGCGGCGGAGGTAAGTACCGCCGAGGTCCTGGGGGCTTAAGCCGTTACGGCGTTCTATGCTGCCCCAACGGCTTTAAAGCCGTGACGACATAGAACGCCATAACGGCGTTAAGGGGTTAACAGTAACGGAAATATATAAAGGTCCAACTTACCCAGTACAATAGATTTTGTTTTAAACTTTGCACTGGAAACCAAAGCTCACACAGAAAACAACTATTTTGTTTTTATCTTTGCATGCTGTGCCCATGAAACAAAATATTAGAACCTAAGGAATTCAGATAATCATTAGTATGGGGAAATATACCGTACATATATTTTCTATATTTAACAATGTTGGTTCCTCAATACTTACAAAAAATTAAAGTATTATTAATAAAAACAAACTACCAGTTGACTCAAGTTTTCAAGCTGTGGCTTTGTGCTGTGATTTAGAAGTTGTAACTTTTTGCAGTTTCACACTTTTCATGTTTGCGAGAATGTTGTGTGCACAAATCGAAAGACGCCTAAACACCTAAAATAGCTCTTTATGTTTGTGGAAAAATAAACTTCCCTATATAGGAGGCAATGTGTTTGATAATTACGTGTTCAATCGGCTGTCTTCGTCTGCATGTCATTCTATATGTCCCACTGCATCCTGTTTGAAGCCCCTTCGAGCTGTGAAAAAAGCATCAGTTTTTCCATCTGCATTTCAGTGTCTGGAAATGTGGAATGGTGTGATCAGTGAGCAGATTTTGCTTGAGGTGCTCTAAAACACCAGAAATAAGTGTGCATCCATGCCACCAGCAGCGGTAATTCTGCATTAGGTTTAGACGCACAGCTTTAACACTGCTATCGTAACAACCAGTATAAATCATGCTTTTGTGAATTGCCATACACTTGATCATATCTGAGTGTCCACCATATACTTGCAAAGGATTGTGAGACTGCAGTTCATGAACACGAACAAATTTATCCAAACAGGCTGTCACCATGACTTTCCCCAAGATATTAACCATTGTAACTGCATGGTTGTGACCATTTATACATTCTTATTAATTCTCCAGTATGGATATTGTGAGCATGGAGTGACTGATCACTGGATCCACTGAACACAAGATCATTGACAACCTTCATACAGAGAACAGTTTTAGTATGTCCTTCCAGCGTACGAAGCAAAAGACCATTCCCAGCATCCTGGACACAGATGGTACAATCATAGGATCCTGCAAGAAGCAGTATACGAGTGCCCTCTTGTGCTGTTACCAAAGAGCTAACGGCCCGAACACCATGACACTCAAACACGTGAAGCTGCTTGTTGTTCTTAAGGGAAAAAGTGACCACTGTCCCATTGGCAAGCCCTGCGTAAAGGATTTTCTAGTGTGCATGTAGACACAGGACTCTTTCACCAAGACTCAGTTGCTGAACAAACTCTTGGGTCTTGACAGAATAACATCATACAATGTGGTCACTAGATCCAGTAAAAAGCATTGAAGACTTCCCATGCGTATGAGTTACAAGGAGACAATTCACTTTTGATGTGTGCCCTTCAAAGACGCCCACACATTGCCGGGCCACAATATTGTAGGCATGGACAGTTTTATAGAAACATAGAAACATAGAATGTGATGGCAGATAAGAACCATTCAGCCCATCTAGTCTGCCCAATTTTCTAAATACTTTCATTAGTCCCTGGCCTTATCTTATAGTTAGGATAGCCTTATGCCTATCCCACGCATGCTTAAACTCCTTTACTGTGTTAACCTCTACCACTTCAGCTGGAAGGCTATTCCATGCATCCACTACCCTCTCAGTAAAGTAATACTTCCTGATAGTTTTGTCTGCAGAGCAGGTGACCAGAAGAGCTGTGCCCTTCAAAATGTCCCTCTGTGGGTTCCGCATCATCTCCAGGTTCAGAGGATATTTCTGAAGAATTCTTTGACTGCGCTGATGCTCCCTGGTTATTAATGATGTCTTGTATACTTTCGTCCATGTAGCCTGTGACAAGTTCACTGGTTGATGTTACTTCATCATATACCTCTGAATGGCTTTTGCTTGCGTTCACAATATACATTTTAGATGGGCTGTCTGAGAGTCTTTAAGAGAAAAACACTATTACACAACCAAATGTCAATAGTGAGAGTGTGTTGGGCTAAGAGATAATTACTTACTCCCTAGGAGTATTAGGGGCGTAGAGAATGAATAAATGGCTGTGGGAAAAACTGAGAAATATATAGTGTATTACAGTGTTTAAATGGGGATGTAAACCCTTTAATAAGAAGCACTCACGTGGTTTAGAGCCTAATAAGGATTGGCTCTAATCACACACCCTATGGATCCAAGTCCAAGGTATTCCTCAGAGGTATATAGACAAAAAAAGGGGGAGACAGGGAAACTTGCCCTGGTGTTGAAATCCTTTTTACAATATGGGAAAATGGTAAGGATATAGATTGCTTCTCATCTTAAAAAGAGCCTGTAATTTGACTCTGAGTGTATAGATGAATGAGTCCTTATGGGGATGACTCTCTCCCTCTTTAAGCAGGATAGGTGGTCCACCAGATGATGTAATTCAATTACAATTATATTTATTACATACATAAATTAAAATCCATTAATACATACAAAATGCTGGTGTAGCCAAAACGCGTTTCGCCGATTCTGTTCGGCTTTCTCAATTGGTAATTCACATCCTGGTCTTACAATTATATTTCCCTGCTTACATTCTCATAGGTTGCAGGAGATCGTGATACATCCAATCATCTTAGCTCTCTCTCGGTTGTACACCACTCTTGCTTGATTGGTACAGATGAATCAGGAACAGCAGGTGCCGACTTGAATGAAGGCGGGGTGCATATCCGTGCTGGAGTCTGTAGGGCGGTACTTGCTGCTGGTGCATTAGAAGACAGATAATGTGGAGTCTCCAAGAAAAAAAAAAAAAACATTCCCAGGTGGCACAACAGGTGCTGGTGGCAAACTGGTGTTTGTTTCTTCTGTGATATCGCTGGCTGGTTCATAGATCCCTTGAAGGCCCTGTAATATCTGTATTCTCTGTGTTCTCAATGTACTCATTTCCATTGTTATCTGTTGCTTTTGGACAAGTAGGTGCTGAACTTCCATATAAGTAGTTTGAAGTGCAGCACGCTTGAAGAAGTCTAATATCCATGGCAAGCAGGGAGTTAAGTTCCTCCTATCTTAACGAGATAGAAGCTGGTCCACTTGAGAGCACTCCTTTCTTGCACGTATCTTTCTTCTTTTGCTGTTTCTTTCTAAGCTTGGTATTTCGGGACAAGAACAATCTCCTGTTGCCCTTCCTTTTTTTTTTTTTTTTTTTCAGTCCCTTGTCCGTTGTACTGTTCAGTTCCAGATGTACAGCTATCAGTACCAACATCGACAGGGGTGCTGACTCTAAAACTTTGGGTTGCGCTGAAATTCACATACTCGCTAATGCTTTGGAACATGCTTGGACTGTCTGTTGTGCAGATTTGCACATTTTTTTTTTTTGACTTTGAGATATTTCAGCTAATGGAAGGTCAAACATAGCGGCAGCGTTCAGTGCAGGAGATGTTATGGAAGCTTTATTCGATTTCTCTTTTGGTGCTAAAATCAGAGTTCACATTTTGTCCAGATGCTGATGGGATTGTTGGAATGCATTCATCATGCTTCTCATGGCCATGGTCATCAAAGATATCATACACAGAGACCTTGTCCACCACCACGCTGCTTTCAGAAAGACTCCGCTTCTGTGCTGACAGAGGACCTGTGACTGTGCGTTCCCAATGGAAGCTTTTTTAATTCCCAAGTCTGTTTCTTCATCAAAGTCAAGACCTTCTTGTTCACTTTGAACCTGTGCCACCATTTCTATACCAAACTTTGGCAAACCTTTGCCCAACTTCTGTTTCTTGTCATGTTGGATGACCTGTTCCCAGTTTATATTTCTACAGAACGCTTTCAGAATCTGCTTCAGAGTTGGTTTGAGCCCCAAATCCTTGTCCGTTTCACTCTTTCAATGACCGCTAACATTTCGAATGCACCGGGTGCTATTTAGGTTAGGTTCTGGAGGATGAGTGCCAGTTTTGCTTTGTGAACTAATATGCCTTGTCAGATCTCTTTGGAAGGAAGCAGGACTGGATGAATGATTTGCACCTTTCTGTAGTTCAAAGTCTGAAACATTTGCCATCATAAAGAGCCTCCATATTTGTTTGTGTACTAAACTTTTGCATGTATGTTGCATTGGTAACATATCATTCTCTGTGTTGGTAGAATTTTTTTCTGGATATGTTTCTATGGTTCAAGGGTTATCTTTGGATAAATTACAATTTCTAAGAAACTGGGAGGTGCATTTTGATTGTAACACACTTTGCTCCATTGTCAGCTGGGTGATCGTCACCTGATTCTAATGGATCTTCTATGGGTTGGTTTTCGTCTTTTTAACAATGTTTGATACTTCAGGTGTTAAGGTGTCTGGACCTATGGATGCATCCTTCTTAAAAGAATAGTAAGGGTTCTAAATGTATTGAATATTTTGCAGCATTTCCTTCGCTTTATGGAGCACATCCCCAGTGTTTCAACAGATTTCTTTTGGTCACTTACGTGTGGTTCTTGGATAATTTTTGTTGTATTTCGAGAAGAACTGTGTAACTTAGAGATGTAAGAATTGGACCGAACAGTTTCTAAATTTAGAGCACTCAATCTGTTTTGTCTCTCCCCAAAAGAGGAAGTGAACTGCAGTTTTACACCTTTTTAAAGGGTTTCTTTGATCTCTCTTAGAGGTGGAAGATTTCACATCAGGTACATTGAAAACTGGTGATTTTACAGAAAGCATTCTAGGGCTTTTAGGCTCACGTTGCTCAGCCTTTTCTTCCTCAGGTTTATCACAAATATCATGCATAACTTGATCCTCCATCGTATTTACCCTGTCCACTTTTTCTATTTGGTCTTTTTGGTTCAACTCTGTTTCTAGAGTTTATTGCATTTCCACGCCCCTTTGTGATGGTTATGAAGTCCATCTGTATGGTTTATCTTTTGAACAGTTATTGGCTTTGCCTGGGCAAACTAATGGTTTAATTGTGGAAGTAATACTGGGTTTTTCAAATAACTCTCTGACTCAAAACCATTTTCTTGTGGAAGTGTATCGCTGGAAAGTTCCTCGTGCTTTCTTGAGTTTGTATCTGAATTTAATAACATTGGTGAATCTCTCTTTCCTGAACTTACAGTATATACTCGAGTATAAGTCTAGTTTTTCAGCACATTTTTTGTGCTTAAAAACCCCCACTCGACTTATACTCGAGTCACTGTCTGTATTATGGCAACTTAGAGAGCCGCGGCCGTCAGAGCCATGGCAACGATCCGCGCGGCAACCAGACCGCGAGACTTACAGTGGAGCTGACCGGAACGGAGGAGAAGGGAGCTGACAGGAGCTGCAGGAAAGGTAAGTAAATGCTTCCTGCCGGCCCCCCACTTCACAGCCCATGCCACTGGACCACCAGGGATTAAGATAACCGGTCAGGGAGGGGGGCTAACAAGCAGGGAGGGGGGACAAAAACAAATTAAAATAATTTTAAAAAAAATATTAAAATTAAAAAAAATTAAAATAAAAATGCCCTCCCCCCACCCAATTCACACACACACACTACACAAACACACTCTCTTCATTATATACACACTCTGCATTATATACACAGAGTGTATATAATGCAGTGTGTGTTTGTATGTGTGTGTGTGTATATATAATGCAGAATGTGTGTTTGTATGAGTGTGTGTGTATATATAATGCAGAGTGTGTGTTTGTATGAGTGTGTGTGTGTGTGTGTATATATATATATATAATGCAGAGTGTGTGTTTGTATGAGTGTGTGTATATATATAATTGGAGAGTGTGTGTTTGTATGAGTTTGTGTGTATATAATTATAAAAATCACAGAATTTCATAGCCCCAAGTTTTACCCTCGACTTATCCACGAGGCATAGCATATTTCACAATTGTTGGTCACAAAACTGCACTCGACTTATACATGAGATCGACTTATACACGAGTATATACGGTATTACAATTGTCTTATTGCACCCTGGATCTTTTTCTTGTGTTGAATCACAATTCCTTAGATTTCGGTTTCTTCCTTGTGGAAATGTATTGACATTGCCACCCAAAAAAATTCCATGGTTTTCCTTTGTATGGATTAGGCTGCCAGTTTTCTACACCGTTTCTAGGGAGCAGGACAGGAAAACTACGATTTATGTCATGGTGCCAATAAAAGTTTCTACCTGTGCCTCTATGGTGCCAACTAGTAGGGTCTTCTGTATTTGAGTGCCATGGGTCTGATGACCGTTTGATGGACCATTTAATTGCCAGCCAGGTTGACCTCTAGAATCAGGAAGATGCCTATGGTTTACGTTTAGTGCAGGATGCTGGTAATTACCCTGCCTAGAATTGGTGAAGCCTTCACTTTGCCACTGCCAGCCCCTCTTTGATGGATCACAATGCCAATCTTGGGGCCCCCTTCCTTAAATAAAAGATGGTCCTCTCTTTTCCTCTGGTATCTGTCTTTTTCTTGTCTTTTTTTGGATGTGCAGGAGGTATCATTGTGCCGGTTTTGTTCTCTCCTTTGGTTAATTAACGGGACAAGTTCCTTGTCAAAGTATTCTTACTCGTCTTCATCTTTTTCTTCTTTCTTTCTCCTGGGCATCAACATTATCTTTGTGCAGCTGGCTTGAGATGTGTTTAGCGTATGCTGAGAGGCTCACCACCGTCACTCTGCATACCTGGCACTCGTGGCTGCAGTCTCTTCCCCTCAAGTTCTCCAGTTCCCTGTGATGACGCATACTGCACATGTGCCCATCCATTTCCCTTTTGGTGGTGTACACAATGTGGCACAAGATGCATTTCCGCTCCCACACCATTGTGGCCACCTAATGGAGACATCACGCCATGCCTGTACAGCGGCACGCAGATCGCGAGATTTACACAGGGGAGCTGCTGGGAAGGTAAGTAAGAGCTTCTGCGGTCCCCCTCACTGCTCAATCCATGCCACTGGACCACCAGGGAATACTATATCCCCCCTCCCTGGCCACGTATATAGCAGGGAGGGGGGACTAAAAAAAAAAGTTAACAAATTAAATATTCAAATAATAAAAATACCCTCCCCCCCCACCCAGTGTACCCACAAACACACACATTCTGCTTTCATTATATACACACACACTCTGCATTATATACACACACTCTGCATTCATTGTATACACACTACACAAACACACACTCTGCATTCATTATATACATACACTACATCCACACACACACACTCTGCATTCATTATATACACACACTATACAAACACACTGCATTCACTATACACACACTACACACACACTCTCCATTCATTTTATACACACACTGTAAATAAATATTCAAAAACATTTAACCTACTGATGCCTCAATTAATATAATTTTGGGGGGATCTAATTTTATTTAGAAATGTACTAGTAGCTGCTGCATTTCCCACACTAGGCTTATACTCGAGTCCATAAGTTTTCCCAGTTTTTGGGGGTAAAATTAGGTGCCGCGGCTTATATTCGAGTCGGCTTATACACACGTATATACGGTACTTATAAATTACTTTACCTCATATGCCTAAAATAATCAATCACATTAGCATTAATGCATAAATGGTTAATCACCCATAGTGCATAACTATAGGGAAAGTAAAAGACCCTTAATAGTGACTCAGATGGTTATTATGTAGTGTGATTTTAAAAGGGTTATTCATTCCCCACACAAATAGATCTAAAAGTACATTAAAAATATATAGATGCTCCATTTAAAATTACAAGAGAATTATAACGCATAGGAAGCAGAAAGGACTTAGCAAGAATTCCTCAATATTGACTTAAGTATGTGGTTACTGAATTTCGAATTAGTGTGTGTATGTATGTATATGTATATATGTGTGTATATATGTGTATATATATATATATGTATATATATATATATATATATATATATATATATATATATATATATAAAATGGCATAGTTCAAAATCTGAATTCAGTCCAATATGGAATAAGTGTTCATTTTGAAAATCCATTCCATTTCCACTTGTCCCAATTTTTTTTCTTTTTTATAAATCCCCTCCTCTCCAGTTTTTATCCACTTTTTTCACTCCTAAAAACGCTAAACCTTTAGTGTTTTGTTGATGGTGCGGTTTAAAGTGGTAGGAGACACTGTTTCTCAAACCCTGAATTGATGTTCCGTATTTTATTTTAATGCTTCCATTGAATTTAATCTATGACTGTACCATCCTTGGAGAATATCACAGTATCCTCCTTGCTCTAGCAGGGAGTTGTTTTTTAAATAGTGTTTTGTTTAATTTGAAAGACCAGTTAAACATTTATCATACATATAATTCCATGTAATTTATCCTACTTTAGAATAGCCATGACAATTCTCCACACCTGTTATGACCCTTTTGTAAATGTGATACAATTTGGTTTAATGACCTCTTCAGAATTCTAAGTGCTTTATTTATTTCTTTTTGCAGGCAATCTCCCATGCCAGCCCGGACAATGAAGAGATGGCAATATGCTTTGCTAATCGATCAGCAGTCCTCTTTCACCTTGCTCATTATTCGGTGAGTCTTGTTTATGGCTCTTCTGACATTATGGATTTGTGAGGAGTATGAATTGTTCCAGAATATAAGGTGGAAAAATCACTGTAAATCATAATTTCAGCAAACCCCATGCAGTATATATCTGCTTTCCATGGCCTTTTATTTCCCGTCGTAAATGCTGTTTTGCACTACAATGTCAATCACTTGACAGGCAGTCCTCCAACTGTGAGTGCTCAACCCTCCTATTTTTGTAATTGGGATCCTTTTCAGAATCTGAAAGTATAAATAGCTTGTGCAAAACTTCAAGAAGTATCATAGTTCTGTTTTCAAGCAGACTTACAGATTCGCTTGCTTGAAGTGCAGGAACAACTCTATATAATTTGCTCACCTTGTCACATGCTCCACTAGTTTAACACGCTGACATGACTTGAAACCAAAAACAAGCTCTATAAAGCAGTATGCAAAAATAAATGAATGCCAGCATATATACAACCTCAAAATGTACACTCACTATCAGCAGACGAATGCATTATCACAGTTAATTACTTATTATTATTCTTATTATTATTATTATTATTATTATTATTATTATTGGCATTTATATAGTGCCAACTTATTCCGCAGTGCTTTACAATATTATAAAGGGGGGAATTTAACATTAACTGAGACCATTATAAATTGATACTGGGACAATAGGTTGATGAGGACACTGCTCGAATGAGCTTACAATCTATTGTTATTAATTATATAGCGACAACATATTGGCGCTTTGCAGTTATAGAATGTTGATATTTGACAAGAAGTTAAGAAGGCCCTGCTCAAATGAACTTGCACGTTTTAATTAGTATATAGCTTTGCAGCCTTGTACGACATGCTTCCTATCAGTATAACTAGTATATATCCTGGAATGAATGGTAGTATGAATGAGAAATTAGTGTTAGTGTTGTCATAGTCTTTAAAGAAATAGGGAACGGAGAAAAAGTGGATTTGATAGACCAAGATTATAATTAAGATGAACATCTCCATTGAGTAGTATATTATAAAATGTTTGTTGTATTTGTATCGTATTAAATTATATCTTATTGCAATTGTACAATTTCAAGTAAAATAAAAAAAATAACTAGGATATCTCATATGGTTCACCACAGTTGTTATTTTTATATTGATATACAACCTGATAGAGTACAGTGTATTTGTTATGAGTGAAAGATGCATACGTTTTGGTTTTCTACTATACAGCAAAGTTACTATTAAAATATGGGCCTCCTCCATGATTATTATTATTTATTTATTTTTTATCCCTTTTTCACCATTTGTTGAGGGTTTTTTTTCCGTTTGTTCACTGTTTGTTTTTTGTGTATCCTGTTTTGTTAATGTTATTTTTATCCTTCACTATTTTTGCTTTTTGTTTCTATTAGATCACTCTCTACTATACTTGAGCATTTGTTTTTGGACAAATGTGTTTTCGTCCAAATTTTGACTATTCGTTCATTCATCCAAAAGTTGAATGAGCAAATAAAAATGACAATGACTGAACTGAAGACCGAATTGCTTGTTAGACTAAATTTCTTCCATGTTATCAGTTCTTTGTTAGTTCATTTTAGTTTATTACAAGGAGGGAGCTACCACTTTGTGGCTCCCTTTCTTGTAATATTTAAAAATAGAAGAGATGTGGAACGCTGCTCCCCTCCGCTTTCTAAATCCCCCCTCCCCCCCACCCCCCATGCTCTCCCCTCATCCTATATGGGTCGGTATGACTCCATATTAGTATAAGGGAAGTTAATTCCAACCGCCGTACTACAGGTAGGGACATGTCTACAAAACAGTAGGCATCCAGAGGCTGACCAGATATTGCTGACCAGTCGCTAATCAAATAAAGTGGGGCCTGGCAAAGGTCCACCATAGGTGGGGCACCTTTTTAATTAACTTGGATGGACATAGTAACCCTCCGTGTCCCGCGAATGATGGCTATTAAACTAAATGGGGGTATCCTATTGTCCTCCCCCAGTTCCAAGTGGAGGCTAATAAAAATAATTTCACCACACTAGGGGTCCCAAAAGCACTAGTCACACACCCCTCACCAGTAAAAAAAAAAAAAAAACCCTATCTAACCCCTCACCTTAATAATAGTGAGAAGGGGGAGGCAATAAACTACCTGAGGGGAAAAAAAAAGTTTATATTTACCATTAGATGTCCACTTTTCCAGCAGGGAGGGGGGGCAAAAAATTTAAATAAAACATATAAACATTAAAAATTTAAATAAAAAATGCCTTTCTCCCCCCCCTCCCCCCCCACCCCACCCCCCATTTTACACAAATCACATCCCTTCAGGAACACACACACACACTCTGCATTATGTACACACACTACACACTCTGTATATAATGCAGAGTGTGTAGTGTGTGTGTATAATGCACACACTACACACTGTATTCATTATATACACACACTATACAAATACACACACTATACACACTGCATTCACTTTATGCATACTACACACTGCATTCACTTTATGCACACTGCACACACTGCATTCACTATACGCACACTACACACACTGCGTTCGCTATACGCACAGTACACACACTGCGTTTCCTTTACACACCACACACTACATTCACTATACACACACTACATAAACACACACATTCTGCATTCATTATATACACACTACACAAGAAGTCACTGCATTAACTACACACACTACACAAACACACCCTGCATTCATTATATACACACTACACAAATACACACAGCTCCCCTGTCTAAACACACTGTATCCACTGCATGTGACACGTATATTTTGTGCATTTACCTTTAGAAATAGTTTTGGTTTTTTTCAAAATGGTAAATGCACAGAATATTGGCAAGTTATCAGCTATCGGCCTGAAAGTTCACAGATTATTGGTATCGGCTCTAAAAAATCAATATCAGTCGATCCCTAGAGTCAATGAACAAACGGACAAAATTAACAATTTGTTTTTACTTCTATCCGAATGTATTCAGAAGAAAAAAAAAGTTCAGCTGTGCCCAAGTCTGCTCTCTTTCCTTTCAAATAAACCTCTTGTGGTCTCTTGTCCCAGTTTTAACTCTATTCTTGTGGTCCACTGATCCACTTGTGATTCCTCACCCAATTTCCTCATGGTTCTCTGCCTTAGCTGCAGCTCCCTCTCTCTGTCAGTTGTGTGGTTCCAATGACAGCTTGTGAGTCTCTGTTTTCCATTTGTGGTCCTTGTCTCCTATTAATGAGCCTTCTTTTCATCCTTCCTTAGTGTGGTCTCCTATTTAATGTGTGAATATGTATATATGGACTTCTTTATTAGTTACTGACTTTCCAACCTATAAATAGTGGTAGTTTATTGTGCCCCTTTTGTAGTTTCATATTCTCTTCTGTGTCCATCTGTCTCACTTGTGATTCCTATAACATTTGCGAATTCTCTCCTTCTTATTCTTCCCCATCCTACCAGCCATTGTCCTTCCATGTTTAGAAACGTTTTGGAAGTCTATTTCTTTCTTTGTACATCCTATAATCTCTCTGTGAGAACTGGGCTGACTTAGCAGTGTAAAACACAAAGGGGGGAAGAGTCTGCGCTAACTGACAAATGGAAGAGCAGCAACCCTAAAAAAGGGAATCCCTCAAAAAACCCTTGGAAAACAGAAAAAGACAAAGGAGTTAAGGGCTGCGCTTAAAATCAATAAATATAAATTAAAATCACGAGTAATAAAACCAAGGTATAATATGAGTGAAACAAAGTTCATCCAAATATGAAAATTAGATGGTATAAGTAGAAACAGTCTCACTGATATATGGTGGTGATGTGGATTTAATCCTCAGATATTGGTCCATCCGTGTGATAAATAGTCCATATATGTGAAGATAAAAAGACAAAAGAAAAAACTGCCAATGGTGAAATATTGCAGATCCAGATGTGGTAAATAAATCAAGGAGAAGGTATTGCACTCAAATTTTTTGGAGCTAGGGCCAGCTCTGGGATGGAAGGCGCTTAGTGGTATAATCCCCACTTCAGGATATACTGGAATGGTCGGTCCGTCCGTCCGGCCGGCTTGGATTCCTTTAGGTTGCTTAAATATAAGCTAGGACCAGCTCAGGTGTATGAGACTCTTTGTAGTTTGATCTCCACTTGAGGATATATCGGAAGGATAGGTCCGTCTCGTCGGCTTAGGTTCCGTTGTTATCCACAGAATATATAAAACAGCAGATAGTGCTCTCAGTAGGAACAGTAAGGTGATTAAATAAAATAAGTTATACTTACAAGAATAGAGCAGACAGGTACTGCTGTATTGCCACAGCGCTGGTGGAATTATCCCCACCTAAGGATTTCTTTAGATGGGATACACTTGAGAGTAGTGAATTATATAATAAAAAGATAAAAAATGAAAAAATAAAAAGATAAAAAATAAAAATAAATATAAAAAGATGCCAGGAATAGTAAGAGTGTATAAAATACAATAAAAATAAGTAAAAGATTGGTCCTATATGAAAGGTAACCAAAAATAACTTTTATTGATTAAAATACACTATTTAAAACCATTTACGCGTTTCACCTATGAGGTTTTTTTTTTTGTTTTGTTTTTTTGCAGTGTAGTCTGCACTGACATGAACCAGATTGAAGAGTTAACAGTGCACCTTTATTGAGGAAGCAATTTCCTTGGTAGTTTCTATTATTATTATAATTATTATTGGTATTTATAAAGCGCCAGCTTATTCCCCAGCGCTTTACAATAAAAGGTGAATTTACCAAATGAGACAATAACAAAGTGTAACAGAAACAACAGGTAGTTGAGAACCCTGCTCAAACGAGCTTACAGTCTAGAGGAGGTGGGCTATAAACACACAATAGGAAGGGTATTGAGAGAGAGAGCAAATAGACATGGTGGGAAAGTAGCAGAACTGGAGGTGAGAGGGGAGTGTGGCCCTTTAGGAGAGAGCAAGAGGGAGGTTTGAGAAATAGAAGTTACTCTTGAAGGTCATAAGCAATCCTGAAAATATGGGTTTTGAGGGACTTCTTATAGGATTGAAGACTAGGGGAGAGTCTGACAGGGATAGGCAGGCTGTTCCAAAGGAAAGGAGCAGCCTGTGAGAAGTCTTGCAGGCGTGAATTTGCAGTAAGGGTGCGAGCAGCAGACCGGAGAAGGTCACAACCAGTAGAGCGTAGAGACCGACGGGGAGGAGGGGCCATACCTATGAATCAGTGAAGAAATGTAAGAGGGGCTAGAGTTGGTTAGAGCTTTATAGGTAAGGGTTAGTATTTTAAGTTGACACCTGTAGGGTACAGGAAGTCAGTGTAAGGATCGACGGAGGGGTGAGGTGTGAGGAGCAACAGGAGAGAAAGATCAGCCTGGCAGCAGCATTCATCACAGGTTGTAAGGGGGCAGCACTATTCATGTACAAGCCCTGGTAATTCTTCCTATCTGATTGAGCAGCAGATGCCCTTTACTGATGGCTTCTGTCTGGACCTTTTGCTTAATATGCAAAAGCAGAAACAAACAGAACTTTCTTTCTTGTGCCCAGAACCAGAAGTAAAATAGGTAATAGAGTTGTAAATAGCTGCTCATCTATAGATTTTCTACCCTGATGACATGATTAGCCCTTACACAAAGGGACTCTGTTTTATGCTTCTGTATAAGGTTAAAAAAATCAATTTAGCTAGCCCTTCTCTACTATTAAAGAGGATAATTTATCGATCCAATGTCCGGTGGGAGTAGAAATCAATCCGAGAGGGACATTTAAACAATAGGTTGGCAGAATATACCAGAGATGTTACAATTATCTGGAGAATTAATACCTTGGATATACGCTGAATTAACACAAATTTGGCATCTCACACCCAATCAATTTTTAAAGCAAAAATCACTGACAGCTACTTAGAGGCTCTTAAGTTAAAGGAAGGGGAAAAAAAACAACTCTCAACTCTTTTGTTGCGCCTTTAGCATTAAGGTCAGCTCACAAAATCACAAACCCACGAGACTTCGAACTGAGTAACAAAACTGACCTCTAATACAGAGATGTGTAGTACTAGCCTGAGCATAAATATATGCAACCCCCCGACAAGCACCTGATTTTCTGAGACTTCTACTTCCTAACCCCTGCATCGGAACTTGTCATTTAACAAACATATCTTATTTTTGGCCATGATTAGCCATGTGTATCTTATCTGGTTAGTAATTCAAGGGTTAAATTGACTTGACACGGAGTCAGAGAACGTCTTGATATTGCTCACGACTCATTTAGCGGAATCCGCTCCAGTTTTTTGTGGGAACATGGAAGAACATAAAGATCATTTGTAACAGCATCAAGTAATTGTTTTTAAGTAGATAATTACATAGGCAATGGACTAATGGATATAGGTTTTAATTTGATTTTTAGCATTTTCACTGCAGCTCAGTATGTTGCAATATCCACTGACAGCAGGGTCGACAAGTATTAGATAAAAATGTTCACAATTAATGCAGTTTTCTAGTTCATCAGTGATAGCTAACCTTGGCACAATGTGTCTGAAAAGTCTAGCTGGACATCACAAGAGTCTCTTTTACAAACGTTTTGGAGTGCTAAAGTTATAATTAAAGACAAATTATTAAGGTTGGACAAGCAAACAATAAAAAAAGTGCTATCCTAAAGAGGCAGCCCTATCATGCTAAAAAATCACAAGCGTATATAGAAAAGGATGCACCCCAATGTTAAAAAAAACTTTATAAGATCAATAATACACTTACAAAAACCAAAAGACTTAAGACAACAAAAAGTGATAAAGGCAATAATGATTATAAACCACAAGATAGCGTGCTAAAGTTTGCCATTATTGGTTTGCATCTGTGCTGATTCAGAATGTGATCATGGTGTCTTACTGCCTCCTGTTTCTCGTATAGGAATGTCTGGAAGACATAGAGCGAGCCAAAGAACATGGACTTCCTGACAGGCTAAAATGCAAAATCCTTAAGCGACAGACTGAGTGTTTCCAAAGGTTGAAGGAATCTACCAACCCCAGTGCAAGTTCCTCAAAGACAGAAAGTGCGCGTCCAGTGGAAAACAGCACAGCGTACAATACTGATGTTTTAATTGACAAGCTGGAGTTGTTGAAATTGAATAGTAATTCTCAATTATCAAATGCTTCCAGTTCCCTGTGCCTTCAGAATAGCGCTTTAAAAGGACGCTACTTGCAGGCTTCTAAAGATATTGGGCAAGGAGATATTTTAATGTGGGAGGATGCCTTTGTAAGTGTAATTATTCCAGAGAGGACGACGCGGAGTGATAAATATCAATGGGACACCAGCATCACTAGCTGTGATCTTTACTGTCACCACTGCCTATCAAGAGTTATAGCCCCCCTTTCATGCCAATACTGCAGTTTTGCGAAGTACTGCAGTCACGAATGCATGAGCAAGGCATGGAAAAGTTACCACAATGTTGAGTGCTCATTAGGAGAAGTTCTACTCACCCTTGGTGTCTTCTGCCAAACTGCACTTAGAGTGGTCTTGGTGGCTGGTATCGAACAGGTTTCTCAGCATGTTAGTCAGATTCGTTCAGCAGAGCCACAGGTTATAGCCCCGAGCCACACAATAGAGGGAAAAGCTGGTGGAAAATACTGTAGCAACTATGAAGCAATAGTTAATCTTCTACCGCATGTAAAACATCATAAAGATGAGTTCAAGTTCCTCTGTGGACTGACAGCTGCGGCTTTGTGCAAGAAGCTGTGCATGAATAAAATGGGAGAAGCTATTGGAGAACTGTCTTTAAGTGAGAAGCCAAACATTCAAGAAGAACCCATGCAGAAATGTTCCTCAAAAATGATGGTTGTAGGTCCAACTTTATTTCGGCACATGCTGCAGCTCCATTGCAATGCACAGGCTGTGACTGTTCTCCAACAGGAACATGATGGTAATGATTTGAAAATGTGTTTAATTTAAATCTTGGGCTCCTTTTTTATTCTGCCCACTAAAAAGCAACCATTAAAGGGGTACTCGAAGCACCATGACAACTTCAGTGAAGCTGGTTCTCATGGTGCCTGGACTATGTATGTGCTGCATATTGCTCCACATATGGAGCTACCGGGAAAATTACTGGCACCATCATTAGTCAGCCCAGAACAAGAGTTCTGGGCTGGCTAATGTCGATCCTTTGCAACTTTACATGCACAGTAGATTTCTGCAACTAACAAATGCAGTTTTTGTATTTGATACTACCACTTAGCATTATGCAATTTGGAGCTTCTCCTGGAAGATGTCATTTTCCTTTTACTGCCGTAGCAAGTCCATTAGGCGACTATAAAACCTCAATGCAACACATATGAGCTTCACCTGCAATCAGACACCATTGATTGGCTTTGAGGGATGAGTTAGCAGGTTGGACAAAACTGACATTGATAATGCAGGAAGTGTTAATTCCTCATTATCAAAATGGCCAAGATGGGGCAGTTCTTCAGCTCCAGGAACACCCTTAGTTTATATAACACTGACGCCAGTACCATAGGAAATAACCAGTATAGCAAACTGTAGTGGTTAGTTTGGTTAGTGTTATCGTTGTGGTATCTTTCCCCCTATCAATGGTCCCAGCCACTATTTTAAATAATATTTTTTTTACATTTTTTTTTATTATTTGCACAGTTTATTTTTGTCTGCTTTTTCAATCATAGGACTTAGATCCAGTAGCATTTTCATGTGTAACTGTCCCTAATGTTACAGTGGGGTAACTTGCAATATTCTACAATTTCGTTAGGTTGCTTAGAGTACCTCTTTAAGAACCACTTTTATACATAACTACGGAATATGCTTTTAAAAAAAAACTTTTTTTATATTTCCAGTTTATTTATCAACATGTTTATGCTTAGACATCAAGTGGCTCTAGATTTTACTCATGACAAATCCAAATAATTTCTGAATTTGTTTTAATATTTTTAGTGACTGACTATTCCCCTGTGGAAAGCCAAAAGAGCTCACGCCTTGCCACAGCTGTTTTTCCAGTTCTGAGTTTGCTCAATCATTCCTGTAACCCAAACACCAGCATATCTTTCCAAGGAAGATTTGTAACGGTCCGAGCTAGCAGGCCAATCCAAAAAGGCGAAGAAGTGGCTCACTGCTATGGTGAGTAACTTTCCTCTATACTGTTGGTACAACTGTTGTTCTGTTAACTTGATTTTATCATATTATCAGCATTATCTGTACCCACTTACCTACCAGAGAAAAACGATTTCATCTAAAGTATTAAAGGGCTTTACTACCCCTTTATGAACCTAGCCATAACACATTTAAAGATATATACGTCTGAATGTCAACATGTTTCTACTGCGTAGATCTTCTCCTTCTGGTAAGGTTCTCAACAATCAGGAATCTCTCACAAAATCCTTTTGTATGGGTTTCTTTCAAAAGTACTGGTTTAATAGAACCTTTTGCATAGTTCAACAATATAAATGTATGAACAAACCTTTAGCATGTGAATGGAAACTTCTAAATAAACAAAGTATCTACTTCTCTTTGTGCAAAATATAAAGAACATTACCACCCCTGTGACAACTTAAGTTTGTTGAAGTTTTTATAGGGGCAGGAGTGTCTGGATGCCACCATGCCATTTTGCAACGGTTTAACCAAGAAGTTGATACTCTGGCACCTGACACACACCCATCTTTTCTCTTTGCTATGCAGTAGGAGCAAGGTTTAGCCAGGCAGACAACTGCCACTCAACCTATCTCTGGTTTCCCATTGAGAGAAGTAGTGTCTACTATATCTCTCAGTGGGCGACATCAGCTGTTGCTCTCAGCCTATCAAAAGCTTCCCTACTAAACCTCTCTCGTTGTCCTTTAGCTGAGAGTAAGGAAGCCCTCGGGGCAAAAAAAAAAGCAAAAGATGCTGCACTCAAACGTAAATAATTTCATATTGTAACAGCACTTGATGAAGCAACCACTCAAAACAGGAACTCCTCAGCCATAAAGGTAGTACAGTCTTCAGGGCACTTGGGGCAGACATTTCCCAGTGGAAACAACTCTCTGAAGCTCCATGAGATAGACAGAAAACTTTACCATTAACTGAGCATGAGCTGTGACTCCATGGGCATAGAGAAGCCTGGGGCAAGTGCTGACACACAACAATACAGAACAATAGGGTGCGCCAGGGTGTTGGGGATTGTTGCGGCTCCCGGCCCGCCGCATGGCGCAGCCGTGCCCGAACTGCTCCTCCTCATCTTCTGGGCGTTCCGCCCAGATCAAAGAGGGCGCTGACCACGTGGTCGCGCAGATCACAAGCTCCACCCCTCAAATTTATACGGACGTGCGCGTGACGTCACGACGACGACACACACGCACGTTCTGGGGTCAGAGGTCACCCTCTGACCAATCAGAGCCCAGAGAGGGATATTTAAATCCAGTTCCTTGCCCTGTCATGGTTTCCTGTTCCTGGTTCCCGAGAGTGTGTTTATCTTTGTGAATCTGACTTCCTGGTATCCTGATCTTGGCTTTTCCCTGGTTATTCCGAATTCTGGTTCCCCTGACTTGGCCTGTTTAAACGGTATCTGAGTATTTCTGGCTTCCTTGACCTCGGCTTTCCCTTTGACCATTCTCTAGCGTATTAGTCCGGCCATTCTAAGGTCCGGTTAACGCTCTGTCCTTTTATTTCCTTTCCTTTTTTATGTATATGTTTACATAGTTTCTGCGTGTTGGACCACACTAGCAGCCGTGACATTACGACAGGGCCATGGATCCTGCGGAACTATGCAAACATATGATTGCCTGTGAGAGAAGGGTGGAGGATATGGACCACAGGTTAGATCAATTTGCCCAAGCATTCCAGACCTTGCTCCAGAAAACTGCCTATCTGGAGGCACCTCCGATACCGCCTGTGGCTCTGCCACCTGTAGTAGCACCTGTAGCACACAAACCACCGTCCATAACCCTTTCACCTCCCCCTTGTTTTGGAGGTGATTCTAAGGAATTTAGAGTTTTTCTAAACCAAATTGAATATCACTTCGAAGCTTCCCCTGGTTCATTCCTTACAGATAGCTCGAAAATTGGCTATCTAATGAACCAATTAACGGGTAAGGCTCACCGCCCGGATACAGGGATCACACGAGGAGATAAGGTGATTCTACTCACCAGATCTAAATTCCTATTTAACATACTTCCTACAGCATTGGAGTTTTCTTTTGTTCTTCTATCTCCTATATATATCATTGGCATCTGGAGGACCATCAACACTTCAACCACCATACATCCTTAGGTGGGGATTGTACCGTCCATGCGCTATACAGCAGAGCTCTAATTAGCTCTAACATATGTGAGTGGTTTTCTTATAGCGATTACTTATCTTATTTTGATTGTACCATATTGTATTGCACTATTATTTGTCTTTCTCCTTTTTTTCCCCCTCAGGTTTACTACATTTCCTTGAAGGTTTATGTATGTATAAATGTATGTATAAATTTTAAGGCACAGTATACGCTACACTCTATTTAAGGCTTTAACCTGGGCTAATACCTTATGGGAGAGGGGAAATACAGTTGCCCGTGATTACAATGTTCTAACTTATCCATAGCCCCTCGTTTCTCTAACCCATTGGTAATTAGCCATGCTCCACCTCCAGAACCTGAACCCATGCAACTGGGCATTGCTAAACTCACTGAGGCAGAGAGACAACACAGACGCAACGAGGGGTTGTGTTTGTATTGTGGCAAAAGGAGACATCAAAGGTTTTCATGTCCGGTTCGGCCGGAAAACTTGCACACCTAAAGCACGTTCGGGGACCGACCTTAGGTGTGATGTATATGTCCCCTAAATTGACTAAGAACCGTTTCCTTATAAAACTTACTTTGTCTTGTAAGGAAACCACTGTACAGTGTGAGGCTATGATTGCCTCTGGGGCAGCGGAGAATTTTCTAGACAAGGAATTCTCTGCCAAACTTCTCCTCCTGTCCTTAAGGCAGAAAGATAGACCCATAGCAGTAGAGGCTATCGATGGGAGACCTCTTACCCAGCCTCTCATCACGCACGAAACCCTGCCAATCACTGTCTCAGTGGGTATCTTACATTCTGAAGAAATGGTTTTCCAAATTATATCTTCACCTACATGTCCGATAATACTGGGTTTCCCTTGGCTCCAGAAACACAATCCACGTTTAGATTGGGTTGAAGGAGAAATTGTGAGTTGGGGTGAGAGATGCTGAGGTATTTGTTTAAAACAGGTGCAACAACGAATTGGTACCCTCAATATACCTATAGCGCCTCCCTTGACCACAGAAATCCCACCGAAGTATTTGGACTTAAAGGAGGTATTCAACAAGGCACAGTCGGAGGTATTACCACCACATAGACCCTACGACTGTGCCATAAATTTACCAGGCACTATGCCCCCTAAAGGAGGAGATATGCACTGTCTCCCCAAGAAAATCTTTGTTTAGAAGAGTACATAAAGGATGCTCTCAGAAAGGGTCACATACGTAGATCCTCTTCACCTGCTGGGGCTGGGTTCTTCTTCGTTTCTAAAAAAAGGAGACCTACGCCCTTGTATAGACTATAGGGGTTTGAATAGAATAACAAAAAACGCCTATCCCATTCCCCTTATTTCTGAGCTATTCGATAGGTTGAAAGGGGCCCAAGCCTTCACTAAGCTCAACCTAAGAAGTGCTTACAACCTAGTCAGAATTAAGGAAGGGCACGAGTGAATGACCACGTTTAATACGAGAATGGGATATTACGAATACGTAGTTATGCCGTTTGGACTGTGCAACGCTCCAGCGGTGTTTCAGGATTTCATTAACGATGTCCTTAGAGAATATCTCCACATGTTCGTTTTAGTGTATCTAGACGACATTCTCATCTATTCCCCAGATTTAGAGACACATCATGAACATGTGAGAACAGTACTAAAAACCCTGTTAAAGAACGGCCTCTACTGTAAGCTGGAGAAATGCCAATTTGACCAGACTGAGATACAATTTCTTTGGTACGTTATATCTCCGTCTGGTTTCAAAATGGACCCACGCAAATTGGAAGCAGTCTTACAATGGCCATTACCCAAAGGCCTTAAAGCTACCCAACGCTTTATAGGTTTTGCAAATTACCGCAAGTTCATTAAAGGTTTTTTCCTCTGTAATCTCTCCTATTACCAACCTAACCAAAAAAAGAGCAAATTGCAATTCATGGCCCAAGAAAGCAAAGGAGGCATTTGAGCAATTAAAATCTTTATTTGCCTCAGCACCTGTCCTGACACATCCCGATCCAACCAAACCATTTATTCTAGAAGTAGATGCGTCAGAAACAAGAGTAGGTTCCAAAAAGCCACTTCTGATTTTTACCGATCATAAGAATTTGGCTTATATTGGGGACGCTGTCCTCTCGTCAGGCTAGATGGTCATTGTTCCTCTCCCGATTCAATTTTGTAATTACGTACAGGCCCGGGACCAAGAATATCAAGGCAGATGCGCTGATTAGGCAGTTTGAGACAGATGAGGTTCCTGAACAAGAGGTATTCCCTATCATACCTCTAGAATGCCTTATTGCTACTACAATTTCCGAAGTGTCTTCTCCACTCTTCTGTGCCATAATAGCAGATCAAACTCTGGCACCTGTGGAGAGACCTCCAGATAAAATGTACCTTTCACCACCATTAAGGAAAAAGGTACTTGGATTATTCCATGATAATTTGACAGCAGGTCATCCTGGAGTCCATAAAACTCTCTCTATCTCCAGGAGGTTCTGGTGGCCTACACTTAGGAACGACATCAAAGATTATGTAGGGACGTGTCAAATATGTGCCGTTTCTAAAGCCTCTCACAAATCTCCTCCTGGGTTGCTACAACCACTGCCTATACCTAATGCTCCATGGACCAATTTAGCCATGGATTTCATGGTGGATCTGCCCAGTTCAAACAGATTTAACACAATCCTTATGGTCATAGATAGATTCTCGAAAATGGCACATTTTGTACCTCTTAAAAAATTACCATCTGCTCAAGATCTTGTACATATATTTTTCAAAGAGATCTTTCGGTTACATGGAGTGCCAAAAAACATAGTATCTGACAGAGGTACCCAATTTATTTCTAGGTTCTGGCGTGCCTTTTGTAAGCAATTGGGTATAGAACTTTCATTTTCCTCGGCGTATCACCCTCAAACTAATGGCGCAGCAGAGAGGGCAAATCAGTCTTTAGAATCTTATTTACGTTGTTTTATCGATGCCAATCAGTCGAACTGGTACAAACTCTTACCCATCGCTGAGTTTGCCAGAAATAATGCAACTCGTGAATCCTCTAATCATAGTCCATTTTTTGTAAATCAGGGTTATCACCCCACTGTTTTACCTTCCGAATTTTTAGACACTGATATTCCTGCCTTGAACACCCGTTTGGATTCTATTCATGACACTTTGGATTCCGTTCATACAGCACTACAGAAGGCATCAAAACGTGCTAAATTCCAAGCTGACAAGAGACTGGGTGCCAATCCTGTCTATCAACCAGGAGACAAGGTGTGGTTATCCACACATCATATCAAACTTAAGGTCCCTTCCATGAAATTTGCCCCTCGATACATAGGTCCTTTTCGGGTCCTCTGTCGTATCAACCCTGTGACTTATTCCTTGACACTTCCTGCTCACATGAGAATTGCCAATTCATTTCATGTGTCCTTGCTTAAGCCTCTTACTTGCAATCGATACACTAAAGTGGCTGCCCCTCCTCCGCCCTTGGTAGTGGGTGATCAGGAGGAGTATGAATTTCGTTCTATATTGGACTCCAAAATCTCCAGGGGTATTTTGTCTTATCTAGTTGAAAGGTGGAAAGGTTATGGTCCAGAGGAACGCTGTTGGGTTCCTGCTGACCGGGTTCTTGCGCCCCGTCTTGTCCGGTCGTTTCACAACCGCTTCCCTCATAAGCCGTCTCCTTCCCGCCCGGTGAGCGGTATTCGAGTGGGAAGTAATGTTGCGGCTCCAGGCCCGCCGCTTGGTGCAGCCGTGCCCAACCGTCACGACCTCGCCGATATTGTAAGCTTACCTGCTCGTCGGCGAGCCGGGAACTGCTCCTCCGCATCTTCTGGGCGTTGCGCCCAGATCAAAGATGGCGCTGACCACGTGGTCGCACAGATCACAAGCTCCGCCCCTCAAATTTATACGGACGTGCGCGTGACGTCACGACGTCGACGCACACGTATGTTCTGGGGTCAGAGGTCACCCTGACCAATCAGAGCCCAGAGAGGGATATTTAAATCCCTTATTCACTCCAGTTCCTTGCCCTCGTGGTTTCCTGTTCCTGGTTCCCAAGAGTGCGTTTATCTTTGTGAATCTGACTTCCTGGTATCCTGATCTTGGCTTTTCCCTGGTTATTCCAAATTCTGGTTCCCCTGACCTGGCCTGTTTAAACGGTATCTGAGTATTTCTGGCTTCCTTGACCTCGGCTTTCCGTTTGACCATTCTTTATCTCTAGCGTATTAGTCCGGCCATTCTAAGGTCCGGTTTACGCTCTGTCCTTTTATTTCCTTTCCTTTTTTATGTATATGTTTATATAGTTTCTGCGTGTTGGACCACACTAGCAGACGTGACATGGATAAAGTATTACTCAATAAGACCTCTGAAATAAAATGTGAAAATACAAACAAAGTTACAAAAATAGTGCTCTCTGTATAAAATATATGTAACCAGGAGTAAAAATAAATGAATAATACTCACATTCACCTAAGCAGATAACCCGATCAGTGTAATCAGCGTAGGTGGTATAATCCCTACCAGGTATACTTTGTGAGGTCCTCACTGGGAAGATAAAACCTCGATGCCAGGTAATTAAAAAGAAAAAAAAAATGTATATGGTACTAATATTTTTAGTAAAAAATACCAAAACCTTTATTAAAACAACAGCAATGATAAAATAAGTCCACAGCGCGTTTCACCCACAATGGGCTTTTTCAAGTGTCAAGTGCTGACATCCACCCAAGTTTGTATGTTGGTGACCGAATCTTTGAAAAAATGCACATATCACTTCAGTGGATGTGTATCCCATTTCAACACTGTACTGACTAAGCAGGTAAAGTTGATGATTAGGAAATATGTCTGGTGTGAGACCTGGAAGTCATATGACTTGAGTCATACAGTCAACAGATGTTGTCATTCCCATCCTTGATGACCAATATATCCTGTGTGTAGTGGCCTTGTTTTGTATATCTCACCTAAAACTCCTGGAGAGTCTCCACAACTGGGCACAGGATACATTTCCCTTTTAGAATGGAATAGGAGATGTCTAAAAACAAACCTAGCTGGGGCCGCCATGATGATTGTTGCATAATGTAACCACAAAAACCACACAGTAAAACGTTCTTTGTTTTTCTTTTTTAACTTAAAGCCATTTATCATAACGTAAACTTTTTTTTTTTTTAACGCTTTTCTTTTTTTCCTTTTAGGTCCGCATAAATCACGATTGCCTATAGAAGAAAGACAGAAGTTACTGATGGCTCAATATTTTTTTACATGTCAGTGTGAAGCTTGTACAGAAGAGTTAGGATCAACAGATAAACTCACTGATTTCTGTTGTCCAAAATGCCAATCGCCACTGAAGGTGCATTATTTACTTCACAAGTATTATTTAGAAGATTAGTGGAAAATAGAATCACATATCTGAATCTGTTTTGTCCTAGGGAGAAGCGGAGCTGCACTGTCTCACTGTAACCTGCTTACAAAGAAGCAGGAGAGACCAGCTATTGCTTAGGCTACAATGTTTGGAACACACTGTTGATATTGCCAGGGAACAACTGCAGAGAAACCACATAGGTAAAAAGATTTTGTTTTAATTTTGGGGCTGGTGAGGTTTAATTTTACCTTAACCCCTTTAAGACACAGTGTTTTAAGTGTCACAACATAACAATAATTTACCCTGTCTACTCGGTGATCTTGACTTGCAGAACATTGTGCTATAATTTTGAGGACAGGGCATACCTATGCGTGGACACTGTTGCAAATTATTTACTAGTACATCGCCATGATGATGTTAATATTCATTGGGCACATCATTCACTTATGATTCATCTGTCATTTCCCAATTATTTAACTAAAGTTGCTACATGTGGCTCAATCAGCTGCATATTCCTACTAGAAAATTAGCCAGGACGCTAATTCCAGAGCAGTATATTAAAACAGGCTTTGAATAGTTCTAGAACATTCAGTTGGTTCAGTTGGTCCATGTTGATTGTACTAATTTTATACCTTTGCCACATAACTGAGTGGGAGCAAAGATGTGATATTTGTACTTACTCCCCCAGTGTTTCTTTAATGTTAGCAAGCATCTTCGAGAAATCCAACTGTTCAGTTAAAACTTCCATCATGCTGTGTTCAATTTGTTGACAAAAGCCTCAATTTAAAAGGCTTTTTAAATGATTCAATACTGCTAGAAAAACTTTCCAAAATGATTTATCTACAAAAATCCATGTAAACTTTAATGGTGACTTCTGTAGGTAAATAATTTGGAATGCCTTTCTAACAGTATTGATTCATTTGCAAAACGTATTAATTGAGGCTTAATGTAGTTGTTCTGGTCTCTACTGCCTGCCCCTGCAGGCTTTTTAATGTAAACACTTCCCTTTCAGAGAAAAAGCAGTGTTTACATTACTACCTAATAACTAAGAGGTGCTTCCAGAGTCAGTGTTACACAGTGTGCAGCACTTGGAGGTGCTGAACTTTCCTCATAGAGATGCATTCATTTAATTGAGGAGATGGTGATTGGCGCAGCACGGCGTTTTGCCGTGCGTGAGCAATAGTTTCCTAATGCTTTTCTATGGAAAATAGTCTGCGATTGTCAAGTTTGATGATCTTAGCCAAGGAGGCGGAGCCAACCACGACAAATCAGCACAGTGCTGAAATTTTACACATTTGTATTCCTGTCACTATAGTTTTCCTTTAGTACTGAACAATGCCATCCCTGAAAACAGTCGATGGTCTCATGGATGGCAAATGATTTATGCTGATCTATTTGCCAATGGAATAAAAAAAGTATGAAAAGTAGCTAAGGATTGGTCATTGCTTTCAAATTATTCAAATTTTCTTTTGCAGAGAAGTCTATAATAATGTTGAAGTCATGTTTGTCCGAAGGAGAGAAATTTCTTTCCCCAAATCACATACTTCTGGGAGAGATCTCCGATCAACTTGCTCAAGCTGAGGCCTCTAAAGGTACAGTTTTTCATGGTAATGTGCGCAGTGAAACTGTGTGTACTGCAAAATGTTACTGATGCACATCTCCTTACAGGGGACTGGAGAGCTGCCGCAATGCACCTCACAAGAAGTGTAAAACATGTGGAACTCCGTTACGGATCATGCAGCTTGGAACTTGGACATGAGCTCTTCAAGCTGGCACAGATCCTATTTAATGGGTAAGAATGGAAATCAAGCACGTGGTTACATTATGTGAAAGGGCAGACAGGTTGATTTTAAGTTTAAAAAACAAAAATGTGTTCTTGTCAGAAAGTGTTGCATCCTATACCATTGGGAGTTTAAAACATTTGGCATTTACCTAAGCTAACACAATTGCAGCTTTATACATCTCTCCTTGTATTGCTCTCCCATCTAGGTGTGAGGTTGCTGACGCTATGAACACCATTCTGAGAGCTCAGCAGATTCTTTCTATGAATTATGGGACTGATCACAATCTAGTGAGAGAGCTGCAGGAAATGAAGGCATGTCTATTACAGCTCCCTGGTATCCAAGATTCACAAAGGAGATGATGGATGAAGACTGAACATTGATTACAATGTTACCATGATCCAGAGACTAGATTTGTGCATCTACACTTGAAAATACCCTTAACGCAGACGCACAGTGAACATAGCATGTGTGTCAACTGCTGAGTTGCAGACTGTAACTAATTAACAATATACACCTCGTTATACCTTTATAGATGATGCACTATTCCCTCTGCATTAATTATTTTAATAAATATCACAGATGTTTTCGTGCCAGAAAATGAAGCAAGGGAGAAATCATTCCTGAGCAGTATATAAAACAGGCTGTTTATTGCTTTGGATCGTCCCGGCTTATAGAGATAGAAAAGAGCTCAGCTTGAAAATTGCACAAAGGGTACAGTGAGGAATAAAGGCACATGGTTTCAACTTTTTATAGATCGGCAAATTGACATTGGTAGCACAGAACCAATCAGAACAAAAGAAACACACACAAAGGTAAAGCATTTGGAGAAGATTTAATGTTCTATATCCAACCTGAGCACCACTTTTAGGTCTAGGACTATCCGGGGTAGTTGGTATGAAGCACATTGGTCTTGTCTTGAACTCACCTATATCATTTTTTTAATCTACTTTGTATTAACCCATACATATCTACTATATTTGAGACAAAATAGATCTGTAATGAAAATGGATACCTACAATACATTCCCCTTCTAGTCACTATCATAACCATTCATATTCATTTGGGAAAACAATAAGTAACATAAAAAGCTTCTAGGTGCAGGCATGTGCACCTTATGGCTTAGTTTTTTTTGGTGGGGCAGGGTTTGGGGGTGGTGAGGCTGGATGTTTCAGGAGTTTCAAGAGTATGAATGACTGCCTGTTCAACCCCCTTGACTGTTACAAAACTAAAATACGTAAAATATTTCAGTTCTTCAGCAGTCAAATTGCAAACTGTGGGCTATGAAATTATTTACGAGCTAGTCCTTTGGGGTCTAAGACTTTTCCAATGAAAAGAAGAGCACCGTTGTCATCAGAACGGAGAACGAACAGGTAGGGATGGTCCAAGTGGTATTCCAAGGGGAAGTGATGGCGAGTTTGGCCTTCCATTGGCGGTATGCTTGCTACACCATCCTCATTTAGCTCCAGCGCAGCTTTGTGCACTACTTGTGTGAGCTTAATTGTCTTGGCGGTGATTTTGTTGAACTCAGGAGAAGAGAAGAGAGGCTGTAGCTCTGAAACAAAGCAAAATATCACAGATTACGTGAAAAATACATCAAGGACACGCAGCAGTACCCAGCCTTCCCCACATACTGTGTTTCTCATCAAGTTTCTAACTGTTAAAAACAGTACTTTAAGTGTTAGTCGATGCACCAAAGTATTGTAGATATTAAGGTATACAGAGATTTTGGGTGCCAATCCCTATTTTCGTTTTGTCAAACCTTATTTAAGCAAATGAGAAAATATAAGGCTTAGTCAGCATCCAAATTCTGGTAGTTTAGCATCTGACGTGATAATGTAGAAATTCACTTCCATATAATTCATCCAACCTTGGACACTAAGTGAAGCTGCCTATCAATTCTCACACTCTTTCACTGCAGTCCAATATTTGACGGGTGTTCCGTAATTATAAACATCAAGTTCCCCTGTAAAAATGATTTGATTGAATTCTTGAACACAGCTATTTTGTTTGCCAGAAGACTGTGCTCAACTTGTCAATAGTGTATGTATTAATGATAAGTTTAATGTTCGGATTTTTTTATATATATATATATATATATATATATATATATATATATTTTATTCAGTAATCTAATGCAGTAGATATATATGTATGTTTTTTTTAGTATTACATGTGTTAACGCTACTGGTTTCCCCTTTAAAAAAAAAAAAAAAAAGATCTAGCTCACCGGCATATTATTATTTAAAAATACCAGAAATATCCTTGTACAAAATAAGGCAGAGAAAACATACCAATAATTGATGACATTTTAAGCTTAGACATACTGAAACAAAAGGTGAGAAAAGCCCTGCTGCTACAAGCATGTTAATTAAACAAATGTGCAGTTCATCTCACTGTTCCAGTAATTTATAACATATTTGGTGTTACTGTGGCACTGTGTGCTCCAGTGGCTTGCCTTTGGGGTTGTGATCACTAGGCTAGTGAATCCTGTTACTCAATATGGTGTGGCCTTGTTCACTTAGACCAGGGGTGCCCTAAAGGTAGATTCCCCAGATGTTGTAGAACTACAACTCCTATGATGCTTTAGAATGCCAAAGCATAATGGAAACTGTAGGTCTACAACATCTGGGGATCTGTCTTTTGGACACCTCTGAGCTAGACCATCAATGGTTCACTTTTGGATATTTCAGCAGTTGTGAGTTATGCTGCAAGTCAAATAATTAGCAGAACATAATGGGCAATTTAGTCCAAAAGCTGCACTCACTGGATTCTGTCATTGTTACAGAGACACTCCAAGACTTCAAGCACTATTACCACTACCATTACAGCTTTTTAGAATGCTTACAGTGATATGACTTATCCTTTTAACCTCGTTTTTGTTAAACTTAGTTGAAGTGGTTTGACAAAAAACAGGAGAGTCCACCCAAAGTAAAGGTGACTGGCCAATTCAGCAATGCCATAAGCATATATTATAGGTGTGTGTGTGTGTGTCTCATCATGTAAGTAGAAAACCCCAGAAAAGAGACGTACTTGATTCTTGCAGCGTGCTGCCAAACTCCGCCTCGTAGTTCACCTTTAACTTAGGAATGCTTATAGTAATAGTGACAGGCTGCAGTGCCCGATCTATATCATGAACAAACTCTGACGTAAGACCTTCCTCAATATGGGTGAGGTTCTGGGTGACTGTGAGGGGCAGGAAGAACATGATGCTGACTCCACCACTAAATGGCAGCTGTACAATCTGTAAAGAGAGAAAGAAACATTAAACTATAGTGTTTGTTCTTAAAGTGAACTTGTTGTCCATACATTGGGTGGGTGACATGTTCACATTCAGATAGGTGTAGATGTCATTTATACACTGTGCAGACAAAATCACATATACTTGAAGTTCACTTTCTCCACACATAGCACGGGATCCTAAAGGGGAATGAATCCCCCATAACACTGTCACCATCCTACCATTACTATCATTCAATATTTTAGGAAAACGTGATATGTGGGTGTCACTGTCTGTGAAAATCTCACTTTGCTGATTTATTTTTTTCTTCTCTATTTCACGTTTTTCTTGGTGGTTTTTATTTTAGTGCATTACTTCTTTTACATTTTGGTGGTGGGTTGCACTTGTCAGCTGTAATTGAAAACAATCATCTATATTGAACTGTGTATGAAAACTCACAAAAGTGATCATTCTATCTGTTTATGGTTTGTTCTTTAATTATCCAAAATCAATGTAGAGAAACAACTTAGGCAATAATAATAGTGGAAAAACATGAATTGCAAGATATAATATAAAAGAACATACAATATATTTAAAAGAACACTTTAGAGTGTACCCTCAGGAATGGCACAAGGCAGAGTCGTCCACTATTGAATGTTTTATCTCCTGAGCTGTTTCTTGTGGCCATGAGGCCCAATGAGTGTAGACTGAAAATTGAGAAGGATTCTATCCACAAAGTGTTGCCGCACTCAAGGACGACCTATCTGTTCTTTTGTAAACAAAACCAAATAAGATATAAGAACAGGAAAAATATTTTACCTTGCTCTTCTCAAACATGTTTTAGCTTACATGTGCCATTGCAGAGAGAACCTAGGTCTGTGAATTATCAGACTGATTCTACACAAAAGGGTGGTCCGGATCTGAAATGCAAGAACGTTCCCTTTGCAGAAGAGGTATAGCATCCCCTGGTGCTCATTTTGGACTTTTTTGGGGTCTTGTCAGCGCAATGTAGCTAATACCCCTCTAGGTGCAGTGAGCAAGGATTCCATTTTTTTACTTTCTGAGATGTTAAAGCAGTTCTGTAACCTACTGGGCAAACAGCCCTGAAGGTGACATTGCCGCTTGCATTGCTGTTGGTCAGGGGTGCAGGGGAAAGGTATGTTTTACTTTCCTAAAGCTGTTCCTCATGACCACCGCAATCACCATATTATTGGTTCCTCTTCAGCTCCAGGCCTTTAGTCTACCAGGAGCTGCATCATTGCTGTACTCTCAAGCGTGGACAATAGTACAACACTGATATCTATCTTTTTCTCCACAGAAGTCACTAGTGTCGACTGTGGGAAATAACAAAACTTGGCAAAGGTAGCTCTGCTTTTATTTACCATAATTTACTTGTGCTGGATTCCGCACAGTAGCTTGACACTTTGGAGCATGCCAAGTTTAAACCTCATAACTGAACCATCGACTGTTCAAGAACAGCTACACAAGGAAATACACTGTATAGAATTGCTGATAGCATCCGTCTAGGGAAAAGCAGAAATACCTACAAAGTAGCGATCAAAAGCTATTATGACATATGTAGATCTTGTTTGATCTGTATTGAATGGATATGAACATCATGCCTTTAATTTTCATGCATTCTGTGATTACAAACTAACCACATGTTTTTAGTCATAAGATCACGATCATTCTATCCCTCTTCCCCTCCTCTCCTTTTTTTACCCCTCCAGTTCTTCTGGATCACACTTAATGATGTAAGTAATTGTTCTTATTATTGTGCTACACATGTCATTAGGTCTTTGATTTTCTGTTAGTACGAAAAGAAAAGAACACACTTGTTTCATAATATTGCACCTGCAAAAGTACTGACTTTTCCACTGCACCTATTCCATGTTGAATGCTTGCTATATCTGTCTCTATGACTGCACTTGTTAATACTTCCTTTGTTACTCTATTATACCAAAATTCTGATGAAGATTTAAAAAAAAAAACGCTGTATTTAATGTAAGGTTTTCCAATGTGCCAAAATACATCTAATTTGTAATTATATTTGTAGTTATTACAGTCATAAAATACATATTTAATAAATTAATTAAAAAAATGAATAAAGAACAATTTAACACAAATCTAGTCTTGTATGCATCTTATTGGTACATAACACACATTTTGCTATCAAACTATCTGGCAAATGTATCAATGAGAATTTATTTTAATGTATACCATTAGCATCGAGTTACTGTATAAACTAACATTCACTAGACTCTGTGGCATGTGTACCAACAATAGAAAGTGAATGGCAGAACAACAGCCACAGCTATGTATACATCCACTACAATAAACTATACTTACATAGGGTTATTCACCAACTCATTTCTGTTTTGTGTATTAAATCCCAATGGAAAATAAAAAGGCAAAAACAGCTGTAAAACATTTCCATTTTCACAACGTATAGGATATTTATTTTTGCTTCAGTTTTTCAATTCAGATTTAATTCCCCAAAAACTGAAAGTCAATGAATAACTTATTATAGTGGATGCATACACATCGGTGCCAGATATTACACCATTCATGTATCATATGTATTCACTTTTAGAGAAATTTAGAATTTAAATATCAGGTAAGTAGAGTGTTTAGGCTGAGTGTCAATTTCACTAAAAACTCAAGATCACTTAAAAGAAACAGATCATGCCATCCACATGGTCCATTAGGCTTTGATTCCACTGTTTAAACTTTCCTACTTCAAAGAAAGACATTAGTCAATGCTGTGTTGCTGGCTGCAGTGTTTTCCAACATCACACAAGTGAAGCAGCTGTTATGTGAAGGTTTTTTTTCCCAGAGGGAGTTCAAACTTAAGCCAGTTACCCTAAAAATGTAATTTAAATGTATTGCTATCCTGTCATCTTGCCGAAAGTAATTAATTGTTGTTGACTATAAATGCTATTCTCCCTCTACAGCAAGACGATACATTCTTTTATGAAATTATTAGAAAAAAAACATCTGTCTTAAATTCCCATTATAATTTTCAGAATTTCTTTATCATAAAGTATTATATTTACAGCAGGTTTCAATGGGAGTGTATGTCAGTGCTCATACTGCCTTATATTTTTTATCTTGCCAGTTACTGTGTATGACTTTGTATGACTCAAAAATATTCACACTCTTCTTGCTTTTAAGTGAATATTGTTTTGTGTTTTAGTGTAATACAATTTTTTAAATGGACACTATAGTCACCAAAACAACCTTAGCTTATTAATGAAGCAGTTTTGGTGTATAGATCATGCCCCTGCAGTATCACTGCTCAATTATCTGTCATTTAGGAGTTACATCACTGTTTCTGTTAATGCAGCTATAGCCACACCTTCTCTGGCTGTGATGGTTTCATTTTCAATCACAGGCAGGGTCTAGCAAGCTATTAATAGAGCAGGAGATAAATTCTAAATTAAACAGAATTTGCGATAAAGGAAGTGTACTACTTTAAATCATTTGCTTCTCTCCCATTTTCAAAAAAATATGAATTGTCTTCACCTGCTGCGTAACTTGATTGATAACTGAAGTCTGTCAAGATTCACAGTTAAACCGTGAGTTTAGAGATGAGAGCCAAAACACATGGTTGGCATTGAAATAATTATAGATTTCTAATTAAACTAACTTAATTGCAGTGTGTGTGTATATATATATATATATAAATCCAAGCCCTGATGAAAGCTCTGTGCTAGAGCTGAAACGTTGACTGGAACTGTAAGAATAAATAAGAACTAACTTCTCTTTTTTTTACCAAATCCTGGAGTGCCGGTATTTTTTTCATTATACAAACCCTTCTCCTGGTCTTGTCACATTTTCAAAAAAATAACAAAAGTGAAACATACAAGAAGTGCATACAACTAAAATGAGTGAGAGTTAGGGTCTTCTTACTGAGGTGTCAGATTGTAGCTCCTCCAGTTCTTAGTAGCAAAGTATTGCTGATAAAGAATATTCCCGTTTTTTTTTTTTTTAAGGGCCATACATACAGACAAGGTGCACCTTCTGTGCTATCAATCTTACGACAGAGCTATGCACACAACATATAAATCTTAGGGATTTTTGCTTTTTGTTTGGGTCACTCTTTTTTTTTTTCCTGAGAAGGTACCACAACTGGGAATTCCGAGCTTGGAATGCAAGTCTCTGTGATCAATCATAGAATATGAAAAATGTAAGACAGGATTCAGAGTATATAGTCATATGACCATGGTTATAATAACCAGAGATACTTCCTGGTAAATAATTCTTCAAGACAAATTCAACTTGTAGTCCAGGAAAGACAGCTGCATGTTGATTGTAGGCTGCCATTCTCATGCTGAATTGGAGACTTGGACTGATTTGAGTAAACTATTAGGATCGCTATTATTATGAAATGATAATTGGAGAACCAAGTTGCCTCAAGCTTGGTAGATTTTTCGTACCTGTTGAATCATTGCCTGTAGATTGGGTTCTCATTCCAACTCATCCATGATAACACTTACAAGCTTCCAAATAAAAATTGTGTATAGCAACAGAAGAAGACAGAATCAAAACCAATGAACCAAACCTAATAATTTTTACAAATCATCCCTAACATTTCACGCAAATCCCCATTCAATTATATGTTCGCTACATTTCATAAGTGTTTCAACAGCAGAGACAGTTTATTTGGTAATAGCCAATAATATACAAGCACGTATTGTACAGTAAATGTGCTTTTAGTAAAGAAAATGTTCCCCTATTCAGTCTGCTAGAATTCACCGAGGAAATACACTGGAATTGCTGATGTAGAAGTTGTCAGTTCACAATTTACCGCTGTGTTAATCAGTTAATGCAACACTGGCAGAAAAAAAATATCAAGTGACACATTCTAAAAGCGATAAAGTGACACTGGGATTCCAAGTACATTTACTCTATTCAAAAAGCCATGTTCTAACCATAAAATCTAAAAGCGGAATATGAAAAGTGACAATTTTATTGCAGAGGGCACAGAAAGCTGTACTATAAAAATAATATAGGGATGGCAATTTGTGGCAAGGATTTATATTTAAAAATACACATTTAAAATAAAAAATCTCTGTTGTGTGTAAGTAATAAAAAAAGGATTGTGTAGATTTGAGGTCAGGGTTCGTACGGGTTCAAAATTGTGTCTTGTCTGATCTTGTTAAAGTAAACAAAAAAGAATAATAGAAGACAATATCTATAAAAACAGAACTAAATTGTACGATTCAATGTTCCCAAGGCATAGCACCTTGTTCTATAAGAGAATAAACAGAGGATTATAGTGAATTATAGGAGGGCATAATCATTCACGAAAACACCTTTAAAAAAACGTAAAAAACAGAACGTAATTCAATACAACTTCACTATAAATAGCGTGAACTGCATGTGATGTTTTCATTCTGTTTCGGCAGAATAGTATGGCGTCTATCGAAAATCATTAATTCTGTTCTGCTTTATTTCTGCAAATACCAAGTGCATCTTTAAATCTACCATTTATTTTATTTTCACATGTGATATTGGAGCTACTACAAGTTCTGTTAAAGCAACCTTTCCTGTAAATGCTTCTGGCATGTAGAGCAAAGGTATAAAATATAAAATATTATTTGCGGTATTTCTTGAAAGGGTATATTTTTAGTTTTGCCCAGACTTTCTGTAAAGCCAGTCTTTGTCTCAAGACTGAAGTGGATGCCGGCCATGAATATGTGAAGTACACATACTTAAAGAGAAGGCATGTCAGCAGCGATATCGAAATAAAAAGAAATCGCTCTAGACCTTTGTACTAGGCTGCGGAAGGTTTTGGCTCTTTGTTAGCGCTAACAATAACAAAAGACTGAATAGACAGTGTGTCAAAGGATCTGTGGATGGCAGGAATTCTTTACTTCGATTTATTTGTTAAAATGCTCGTTGTGCTTATAATCAGGGTTACAATATCCACCGTGTTTTGAGGGACACATATAATTTTGCCATATTTCTGAAAACGCATGGTTTGTAATTGCCAGATTAGTTTGCTGAACCTATGTTGCCTTTGAGACCGGATGGCAGCCCAGGAATGGGAATCACTCCCATCATGGCATACCGTTTGAAAAGTAGACAGCCTAACGTATTCAAAATTGTGTATGTTGGGGCGTGGCCTGTACTCCGACCGAGATGGCCGCTTAGACTCTGAGCTCCGCCGCACCCGTACCTTCATACAGCGATCCCACATCAGCCAGTGCGACAAATGGGTCGCAACCGCCGCTCCGACCACCCGCAAACCCAGAGGGATCCCCAGCCGGGCTCGCAGCAGGGACCAATGGACGGCTTTCTGCAGCCGCCACGTGGTAATGGCGGCGGGAATGAAAGCCCACCCCCGGCCGCACAGCACTCAGCCCAGGCACCGGGGGGTGACCCCACGGCCATAGAAAGGATTGGGGAAGAGCTGAGGAACATAGCAGCAGCCATGGCGACCAAGGCAGACCTCCTAACCCTGACCACTACCATTCAGGACGCCCTGAGGGCAGAAATGGCGGGGCTCCGCACGGAGGTGACTACCCAGGCAGGCCGCATCCAGGCATTGGAGCAAACAGCAGAAACCCACTCTACCAGGATCAACGCGACGGACGTCGCCATAGCCAGGCAAGGGGACATGATCTTGCATATGCGCAGGAATCTGGAGGACCTCGACAATAGAGGCCGCAGGTGCAACATCAGGATAAGGGGGATTCCTGAAGCTGACGAAGGAGAAAACGCGGCAGAGGTACTGACAAATCTATTCCGCACTATCTTACACACCGATGCACCGCAAACGTTCGAATTTGAAAGGGCACACAGGGCCCTACGCCCGCGATCTGCTGAGGATGGTCCAAGGGATATGATCTGTTGCCTGCACTCGTTCCCTATCAAGGACACAATAATGAGAAAGGCCCGGGAACGCCCCACGTGGCCCTTCCAGGGCACTCAAGTATCCCTATACAATGATCTCTCTCCATACACGCTGGAAGCTCGGCGAGCACTTAAACCGATAACCACTGCGCTGCGTGAACGCAATATTAAATACAAATGGGGATTCCCCTTTGCCTTAATGGCCAGACACCAAGATAACTGGCTGGCTGCCAGATGGCCTGATGAAATACCGCGACTCCTTGACACCTTGAATATGCCTCATATCCAGTTTACTGACTGGCTGCTGGACACCTCTAGGCCGGTCCAAAGGCAACAAAGAGCAGCCCGCAGACGGGGAGAGCGATCACCGCCCGGACCTCCACCACGGAGACGCATGGGGAGAGGAGAACAGGCCGAGTGAGTACAGTACATCATGCCGACGACCGGCTCCTGGCAGCACCTGAAAAGGTAATACACCACCTCTGACTTACACACGGGTCCCCCCACCAACCGACAGAAATCGGAGGACAAAGGGAGCCACACGCACTTGCCTAAGGGGGGGGGGGGTTTGGGGGAAAGCGGACATTTCGCCACCCTCTCCCCTCTCCACACATGCACATGACAATTATAAAGTTTATTTTGGGAGGAGGGTTACTGGGGTAAGGGGTAAAACGGGACTGCCACGGGTTGTGATTCCGAGGTCAAGGATGAAGGGGATTTGGTCTTCGACATGACAATCCGGCGACACAATACCCAAAAGTAGCGTTCCACATGACGAAATTGTGTCCACCAGGGGAAACGTGCATGGGCCTTTTATATTGGGGGAGATGAAAAATGGGACTCTGGAGGGTTTTCTGCTCCGCCTCTTTGTGTTCATTTAAGCACCCCTTGGACACCTTTGGGAGGGACGGGAACAGGGGGGGCGGGAGAACACAACGAGACATTGGGACACTATACGCTGGGAGGCGACCGACTACCCAGCCACTACTGGACCACCAGGCCGCCGAGAGATGTACTGGTATCACCATGTGAGGCTATACCCTGTGTTGCCATTAACCCCCACGCCCGGATACGAACTGACATATGCTCATGGGATGTAAGAAGGGGTCATAGACAGGTTACCGGAATAGAAAGCTCATATAGTATTCAGCTAAGGCCCTCCTTACGGCTGAATGGCGGGGTCCCAGTAAGGCTTCATTGCATGGACCAATGAATAATATACTACGCTGAACCCCCCCACATGAGTGAAGGGTAGACTAGAGACAACCAACCAACAGGGCACACTGGGACACTGACACGTAGCCAAAGACAGACGAATATTCACGACAGACAAATGGGAACTACCCAAAGATCAACCTTGGGAAATAAGGGAGGGGGTTGAGACCTAGGGAAAAGGACCCATAAAGTTACGCTCACATGGGCAACCCCACATGACAGACAAATACAGGTAGGGCGGGAGAAGGAAGTAGGGAGAAGACGACTATCCCAAAGCCAACACCCATACTAGAAGCTATGAGACGACAAAGGGGGGGAGGGGGGAGTCTTTTAAAAATTTTAAAAAAACAAAACAAAAAAAACAGGGGAGCCCTCACACGCTAAATGATATAGACACCACCCATGAAGAGCACGACTGTCACGGGTCCACGGGGGGGGGCGGGATGTCCAGCTAGACGAGACTTAGACAGCTACATAGTGATAAGGGATGGAATATGCTGCCGACGCTGGGGGCGCCACTTCCACCACCCCCCAATCACGTACTGACACCGGGTACAAACCTAAGAGGCCCACAGAGGGATACGACCGTGGCCCATATCCTGTGACCTGAGAAGCAATGAGGTGACGTAGGGGAGGGGAGAAAACACCACGTTAGGTGGAGAGCTGATAGTAGCAATTCCCCACTCACACCTTGGGTGACTTGACGTATAACCCTGCGACAGCTTGGGGGGAGGGGGGACCTGGAAGGGGGTTCGAGACACAAGCCATGGGAGTTCCCCTGGCTCACACTAAACTGCCAAGGAGCCGGGATAGAACGCAAATACATGTGATCTTGCTTATGAAAAATATACCCGATATTGTTACACTGTTGATTTGGGCTTTGGCCAAATGTTTGAAATGGATCTTATATACTACTCAAGAATGTTAACTATCACGGGAAGCGGCGGATACGAGCTCTCCGAAAGAGACACACACTCTTTTCCATTTGGACGGGTACGGACCACTCACCTCACACCACACTCGTGCCCATACACATACGGCGGAACCCCACGGGCTCTGACCCTCTGGTCTGGTTACCAAGGCGAACCCACGGGGCTGCTGTCCGTAGCACGAGCCACCCCTTCACCAGGGGTAGATCAACCGAGATATCTCCTATCCCGGTTACAGTGCCCATCTATCTGGGCAACTGTTCACTCTCTCTTCTCTCTCCCTCTTCTCTATCCCTAATCTTCTTCTCTGCTCTTCTACTACTCACTCTCTTTTATATCATCCCCCTCCCAGCCCTTCCTCACTACTGCTCCTTTATCTGGGGGGGCACGGCGGGGGTCCGGGTCCCTAGCGCGGGCTGAACACAACAAGGGGTGGGCACCAAGGGATGGCCAACAGCGCTGCATCCAGGGACGCGAGAGCGTATCGCCCCGCTCCCCTGACTGTCCTCACCCTTAACTGTAGGGGCCTGAATGCGCCTGAACGAAGATCTCACATATTGCGAGAGATGAAGAGAAGGCACATACAAATCGCGCTACTGCAGGAAACACATTTCCGAAAGAACGCCGCCCCCAAACTCCAGAATAGACACTACCCGATCAACCATTTCTGCGATCACCCTATGACCAGAAAAGCGGGCGTTGCCATATTGATTGCTGGAGACCTGGAATTTCAACCGCTGGACAGCATGCAGGACGACCAGGGTCGCTTTTTATTTCTAAAGGGGACAATTGCAGGGCTGCTCTACACTCTCGCTAATGTCTACACACCCAATAAAAGACAAGCTCAGTTCCTCAGGACAACGCTAGATAAGCTTAAAGGTTTCTCCGAGGGCACGCTAGTCCTTGGGGGTGACCTTAACGCAACCCTAAACCCCATCGTGGACTCATCGACGGGCCACAGTAGCATCAACCAACTTCATATACGCTCCATACAAAGGGCCTTAGGAGATATGGATCTCGTGGACTGTTGGCGGACTCTCCATCCTACTACTAGGGATTATACCTACTACTCCCCGCTGCATAACAGATACTCGCGTATCGACTACATCTTCATAAGACAAGTAGGACTAACGCGCCTAATCTCCGCAAAAATTGACCCAGCGACGTGGTCAGATCATGGCCCTGTGACCGTTGAACTCGAATCACCACTCTTCCGACCCTGCACATGGACATGGAGACTCAACGAGGCCCTCCTTCTTGATCAGGAGGCTCGGGGGCAAATATCGGAAGAACTAACTCACTATTTTCAGGAAAACGACACGCCAGGAACCTCACCGATCTCTATCTGGGAAGCGCACAAATGCGTGATTAGGGGCGCCCTCATTCGGATCGCATCTAAAAAGAAAAAGGCAGCCACCCGAGAAATGGCAGAACTCTACAAATCGATCACGACACTAGAACAGCAACACAAGAGGACCCAACTAATGGAAACTTATGGGGAACTAATGCAAGCCAGACGCCAACTGAGAGATCTCCTTACAAAACGCCACCTACGTTCGCTACAACAATCTAAGGGTTTTTTTTTACACCCATGCCAACAAGGGAGGCAAATACCTAGCACGGCTTCTAAAAGGCAATGCCCCTCGCACGCAGGTCCGCACCCTGCGCCTGCCTTCGGGCGCCTCGACGGCATTTCCTGACCAAATAGCCGAAGAATTCAGGCGCTACTACCGATCACTGTACAACCTACAGGACCGGGAAAGAGGGGAGGACGGGAGAGCCGACCATAGCAGTACACAGGAATACCTAAAAGAGACTGTGACGAAAACAATACACCCAGATGCCGCAGAAGAACTGGACGCCGAGATTACAGCAGAAGACATCCAGGCAGCCCTGAAATCTACCAAAACGGGAAAGGCTCCAGGCCCAGATGGCCTCTCCTCTGGATATTACAAGACCTTCTCACCGATCCTGCTGCCATGGCTGACTAAAGCCATCAACGCAGTGGCCGAGGGGGGAAAATTTGGAAAAGAATCCCTGGCAGCTATAATAACTGTACTACCAAAACCTGGGAAAGACCCGACTGCCTGCGGAAGCTACCGCCCGATATCCTTGCTAAACGTGGACACTAAGCTGTTCACGAAAGTTCTAGCGACTAGACTTCAAAGGGCCCTCCCATCACTGGTTCACGAGGACCAAACGGGGTTCATCCCCGGTCGGGAAGCAAGAGACAGTACCCTGAGGCTATTCGCAATACAACACAGAGCGAGAACGGCGCGAAAACAACTTCTATTACTCTCCACGGATGCCGAAAAGGCCTTTGACCGGGTGAAATGGCCCTACATGCTTGCTACCCTAACCCAAATGGGGATGGGACCCAGACTCCTCACATGGATACGCGCACTATACCACGAACCAAAGGCCGCGGTGAGAGTAAATGGAGCGCTCACAGCACAGTTCGAGATCTCTAATGGTACGCGACAGGGCTGCCCACTTTCACCATTATTATTTGCCCTATCTCTGGAACCCCTATTACAGACGATTAGACAACATCCGGACATTCAGGGTCTATCCTGGCGGGGAACGGAACATAAGGTGGCCGCATACGCGGACGACCTTATGTTCTTTGTTACCAACCCCAGAATTACGATGCCTAACATCTTGGCTGTAACTGAACACTTTGGCAAAATGGCGGGTTTCAAGCTTAACCTGTCCAAGTGTGAGGTATTAAACATCACTTTACCGGAGGAGGAGTACGCAGCACTAGCAGCACTATTCCCCTTCCGGTGGTGTTCATGTAAAATGAAATACCTTGGGATATGGATAACGAAAGACCCGAAAGACTTGTACTCACAAAATTTCGCGCCGCTATTGAATACTGTACTGACGGACCTAACTAAATGGGCATATCCACAAGTCTCCTGGCATGGACGCGTTGCAGTCCTGAAAATGAACATCCTACCGAGACTCCTATATCTGTTCCAGACGACTCCGTTAGCAATACCCTCATCCTTCTTTGCCAAGCTGAAATCAGCAGTCATCCACTACGCCTGGAGAGGCGAACGCTCAAGACTCCGTCACGAAATCCTATGCTTGCCACGACATAGAGGGGGCCTGGCACTACCCGACTTTAAAAGATACCATCAAGCTACTGTCATGCAATGCATCCTTGACCTGCATGCAGATCCGCAACAACGCAAACAGTGGGTATCTCTGGCACAAGAGGGACAGGGGGCACACCTACAGGCAGCAGTGTGGGAGAAACGGACGAACGCAAACCTAGACCGGGCAAAGGAGGGAATTGTAGCACAAACGCTCATCAGCTGGAGACGCATGAGGGAACAGGTACACGTCTCGCCCACACCGAGCCCCATGATGTCTATCACATATAATGACGCAATAGGGGGTGGGCTCACATCGACATCCCTACCTTTCGGAGGAGGCCGCGAATACATCCCAATCATGAAGATACTACAAGACGGCAATATAAGGACCCTGGACTCCCTGCTGGGGGATACACCCCGGACCCATCTCATAGCATTCCGGTATATGCAAGTGACACACTTCTACAATCGCATGCGTGATAAAGAGCGCCTACATAGAGTCCCAACGTGGTTCGAGACACTGTGCGAGAGAGGCACTCCTATGGTGAAAGCAATATCCATATTTTATCAACACCTCTTAGTTGGACACCTCACGGAAAATGATACTTTCCGCAGACACTGGGAGACCATGCTCAACACTACCTTCACACCCACGCAATGGGAGACCGCCCTAATCTGGCAACACAAGAGCTGCACTAGCTCACTCTATCAGGAAACAAATTACAAAATAATCGCGCTATGGTACCGAACGCCAGCCCTCCTCCATAGGATCTTCCCATCAACCCCCCCGACCTGTTGGAGGTGCCAAGAGGAAGAGGGCACGATGATACACATCTGGTGGGAGTGCAACACTCTTGCTCCCTTCTGGGAAATGATACGACAAAACATAACCGAAGTCCTGGGAGAAATACCCACATGGACAGCAGCCTTGGCACTACTGCATATATCACAACTGCCGATACCAAGGTATAAAAAGTCGATATTACGCCATTTACTCAACGCTGCCAGGGCTCTGATCCCTATATATTGGAAAAAGACAGAGACCCCCAGCGTGGAGGAGTGGATTCGTAGGGTGGAGGGCATTCAGGGGGCGGAGGCGATGCAAGCATCTCTACTGAGCAGGGGAGATAAACATGCAGAACTGTGGCGCCCGTGGTTTACATTTATATCCAGGATTCGATAGGATGAATCGAGAGAGGCCTGCGGGGGGGGACCCGGGCCTTCGGTGTGAAGCCCTTATCTCCTCTCATAGCTAAATACTCTACCCTTAATCTTTTCCTTTCTTTTCTTTTCTTTTCTCTATCACGACTCTAGTGACTACAATCCAACCACTTTCCTTCCCATATACACACGCACACAACCAACTTAACATAGACACGCCATTGTCACATACCCCGAGGAAAAAACAAACAAGACACACTACCATTAGAGCTACAAAACACGGATATACAGTTAGAAGAGGTAGACCCACAAACAAACGCATGGCACAAGGACAGACAAGGTAGCACGGACAGGGTAACCATGACTCCCCACCACCTACCACAAACACTTTACCAAAACATAAGTTTAGCAAGTCCATAGGTATCTGACACGACGCATAGCTACCTAAAATATACTGCATACGACGTCAACCTTCATAGGTTCCCACACCCACTACGAACACCCACAAAAAAGCTAGGGAGAGCTCGTGGCTGACCGATCACGTAATATAAATGCACTCTGAGGGGTAAAGACAGGAACTATGTACTAGTTAAGCAATATAATCTGAATGTTGGTAATCTAGATTGCCATAATGTTAAGTGGCAACGGAGTTGTTCTCAGGAACGAATGTTATGCTTGTGCCTTATTTGAACATATTGCAGCAGATACACACAGGTCGTACGTGACCTCAATCTGCTGAACACTGAATCGAATAAGCTGTATTACCATTACTCTACCTAATAAAAACAGATTTACAAAATTGTGTATGTTCAATCTTGGTCACAAACCCTTGCCAAAATGAATGTTCATATTTGTTTTTTTCGCATTTTTCACACAATAACTGCACTTCCACTGATGATATCATCAGCATTATAAATTGTACTGCTCTAAAACACTCACATTTGTGTTCAGTGATGTCTTACAAGTACAACAGTACCCCTACAGGTTTTATGGAGGTTTGGGTCAAATATAGGGCTTGCAAATTAAATTCTCTGGACTGGTCCCTTAATATTTACTAAAATAATTAATAAAATCACGTAATTATGTAAAAATAATACATAAATATACAGGTAGAAATAGATTATATGTATGTATATATATATATATATATATATATATAAAAATATATAATTTTATTTCTACCTGTATATTTATTTATTATATAATAATAATAATAATAATTTATATCTACCTGTATATTTATGTTTTATTATTATTTCATTCTAAGTGTATTTTAATATTAATATATAATATCAAAATACAGTGTGTGTGTGTGTGTTAACTTACTTTAAAAGTTTGTATCTCCTGCTCTCTAATTAGAACTTTAATCACACACAGGAGGCTGAGGCAGAGTCTAGCAAGCTATTAACAGAGCAGGAGATAAGAAATTCTGGATACATACATATAATTCATATATATATATATATATATAGTCAGTTTCCAGTGGCTTTGCAACTTAAATATTTGATTTATTACCCAGTGCTCAGTAACACAATAAATATACTGCAATAAGATACCAGCAATCTGGGAATTCCAACAAATTCTTCTTTGTTCAGTTAAAATCCAAGAGTCAGCATTTCAGCTCCCATCAAAAACTTTCCTGCACCACTTATTTTATTTTATTCTTCTATTTCTTAGTTTCTCTTTTTACTTCTCTCCCCTACAATATTACTGCTTCATTGTTAACTTTGTACCTTCCATGCTCAGCTCTTGGTTTGATAATTGTTTATTTTGTAAGTATTGTGCTAATCGTTAATTTATGTCCACCATTTATGACCTAGCCCTATTTGTGTTAGTTTAGAGGTATTGTGCTCATAGCCATGTTAATTTATGTTCACCATTTATGACATACCCTTATATCTTTAAATCTCATTTCCTTTCTCCCCACCTTGCCCGCTTGATCCTGTCCTGTCTCACCTTATCAGATCTCTCTCCTCTTGTCTTGTGCCTTCCTTAACACCTGCTCTCTCTCTTCTGGTGTTGTCCCTGCTGCCCTTAAACATGCTACTGCAGTACCCATCTTGAAAAAAACATCACTTGACCCATCCTCCCCTTAACTATCATCCCGTATCCCTCCTTTTTTTTCCTCAAAGCTTCTGGAAAGACTTGTCTTTACTCGTCTGACTTGTTTCCTCAATTCCAACTCCTTGGCCCTCTTCAGTCTGGCTTCCGCCCTCTCCACTCTACTGAGACGGCTCTTATTAAATTCACTAATGACCTAATCACAGCTAAATCTAAAGGCCACTACTCCATACTAATTCTTCTTGACCTCTCTGCTGCCTTTGACACTGTTGACCATGTTCTCCTTCTTCAAACTCTTCAATCACTCGGTCTCTATGACACTGTCCTATCTTGGTTTTCCTCCTATCTATCCCAACGTTCATTTAGTGTCTCCTTTTCTAATGAAACCTCCTCCCTTCGTCCTGTCTCTGTTGGAGTCCCCCAAGGCTCTGTCCTTGGTCCCCTTCTATTTTCTCTTTATACTGCCTCTCTTCGCAAACTTATTACCTCATTTGGATTCCAATACCACCTGTATGCTGATGACACTCAGATATACTTCTCCTCCCCGGACCTATACCCTGCCATCCTGCAACGTGTCACTGCTTGCCTTTCTTCCATCTCTGACTGGATGTCCTCCCGATTTATGAAACTCAATCTCTCTAAAACTGAACTCCTTGTCTTTCCTCCTCCTAATTCTGATCCTCCTCTTTCGCTCACTCTTCAAGTTAGTGTTACCCACATCAGTCCATCCTTGCAAATGCGCTGTCTTGGCATTATACTTGATTCTGGTCTCACATTTGAGCCTCACACCCAGCCAGTTACCAAATCCTGCAGATTCCACCTTAATAACATAGCCCGCATCTTTCCCTTTCATACGCAAGATGCTACAAAGCAGCTTGTCAATGCTCTAGTAATCTCTTGCATGGATTATTGTAACTCTCTCCTAATAGGTCTTCCCACAAGTTGTATTGCCCCACTACAGTCTGTAATGAATGCTGCAGCTAGACTGATTTTCCTCTCCTGTTGCTCCTATCACACCTCTCCCCTCTGTCAGTCCTTACATTGGCTTTCTGTATCCTACAGGAGTCAATTCAAGGTACTAATCCACACCTATAAAGCACTGACCAATTCTAGCCCCTCCTATATTTCTTGATTGCTACCTCCTTTCCTGTTGTGTTTTACCCCCCACCTCCTATAGACTGTAAGCTTGTTTGAGCAGGGCCCTCTTCAACCTATTGTTCCTGTAAATTTTTGTAATTGTCTCATTTATTGTTAAATCTCCCCCTTTGATAATATTGTAAAGCACTAGGGACTATGCTGGCGCTATATAAATACCAGTAATACTAATAATAATCAGGACATAACATGTAATGTTTTGCCCTGATGAAAGCAGTTTTAGTGTATAGATCATACACCTGCAGTCTCACTGCCCAATTCTCTGCCATTTAGGAGTTAAATTAATTTTGTTTCTGTTTATACAGCCCTAGCCACACCTTCAATGGTTGTTACTCACAGAGCCTGAATGAAAAAATTGTCTTATTTCCAATCAGTACAGTGTGTTTACTTTAGTTATCTCCTATTCCATTAATGAATGTTAATCACACTCAGGAGGCTCCTGCAGGCTCCACTAGGCTATTAACAGAGTATTTGATAAGACATTTTAAATTAAATAAACTGTACAATAAAGGAAGTTTAAACATGAGCTCTCTCTTTATAGGAAATGTGCAGGGAGACTATGTAGGTCACCTACACTGGAGGTGTGGCTAGGCCTGCATAAAGTAAGTGAATTAAATCCTAAAAAGCAGAGAATTGAGCAGTGAGACTGCAGGGGCATAAGCTATACACCAAAACCACTCCATTAAGCCAAATTTGTTTTGTTGCTTATAGTGTCCCTTTAAGTGTTTGCCATATCAGTATAATGCATATTAAGTGCTACTTTCATATATTTGACAGGAGACCAAGGATTTGCTAATATTTATTTTTTTTAACACATATTACAAAAAACAAAGACAACAAACAGCCTATCAATTCACAGTGTATTAATATACTATTATGACACAGTACGGGTAGTAAACTATACCCTTCGTCAGTCTCCACAGGTTGTCCTTTTACCAACTCTTACCCCGATTTCCCCTTTTGTCCTGAATTAGTCGGAGTCACCAACCTCCCACCTTAGTCGTCATTTAACCCCATATCATGGGGGGGGAGACCATATAAAATATGCCCATATTCTATAACACTCTATATAGAAAAGAGTGAGAAGGTATAAGAAGGACCATGTGAGAAATAACCATAGAAAAGAGGGCAGCCTGCGTAGATACCAAAAATACCCATACTTCAACAACCGCGCACATACCACATATACATTGTTACGAGATTCCATGGGGAGGTGAGCCGACGAGGAGAAGTAACTATACGGGATTATGTCCAAGGCTCAAGGGGATTTGCTAATATTTTTCAGCCCTTGTTGCTGTCAACTTGGAATGTTGACAGAAAGTATTTCATTCTATATTTTAGTTTTCCAATTTTAACACATTGTCACATAAATGCATCAATAATAATAATTATTATTATTATTTGCATTTATATACTGCCAACTGATTCTGCATATAGTAGGGTCAACTGCAGCCCAATGTGTTCATTTAAGAAGCTGGATCTACATCATAAACATATATATATATATGTCTATTAGATATTTGCATATTTTGTTAGAATTGGGAATGCTAGCAGCATCCTAAAGTGGTCTAACTGTTATTTAAAGAGGGAGTCAAGATGTCTATTTAAGGATTTAGTTGCTTTCAAATTAATAAACAGAAAGATTAAGAAGGGACACATCTCACCTTGCAGTTAAAATCAGAGTCCAAGCCGTATCTCACTGGGATGTTCTTGGCTGTCATCATTGGAATGGTAACAGTGTTCTGCTCATCAATGTGGAATTCACGCTGGACAGTTTCCCGAGGATTGAATTTGTGTGCCCACTGACCTGTTATAAATTCAGAGATGTTTTATAGTCCCTACTGTGTTAAAAGAAAATACATCACAGAAATCATATATTCTCTGTACTTCATACTTTAAAGAGAACATAGTGTGACATTAAAAAGAATACTGTGACAAAGTAGGGTTTTCTTTAAATGTGCTGCATTTTAGTTATTCTTTACCAACAAAACATTTTAATTTGGTGAATGAAATCTGAGCTGTTTTTTTCCATCTGTGGGACACATCCACTTGGAACCCTGACACACACAACTGTAAACACATGTTAAATAAATTGAAAACAATGCAAGACAAAGCACTGTAGCTAGACACAGACAGACACAAACAGAAAACAAAAAGAAGTCTATTGTGCTGCAAATATAGTATCTTATGGTGGATATCATCGTATGAGGGCTACAACTACTGTTATATTCTTCTTTAGTACATGTTATCCAATGTCAATAAAGCCATGGCTAAATACCCAACCTACCTTATATATACCTACCTTAAATCTCAGGGGTAGACAACCTTCGGCACTCCAGATGTTGCGGGCTACATCTCCCCTAATTCTAAGCCAGCATTAGGGATGGAAGACCATTATGGGAGATCTAGTCCTCAACACCTTGTATGCCGAATGTTGCCTATCCCTGCGAAACCTTTGTGTTTATTGAGATTTGGGCATACAGTCTTTGTTATAATATTGGTATGTGGGTAATCAACAGACAATAATACCTTAGTCTGAAATGACAGAATTGCAAAATAGGTGGGTCTGAGACTTCACTGTTTCATTTTTCATAGGTTAGTACATAAACACTGCCATATACCTTTTAGGTTTACCTTTAAAGTATGCAGCTCCAAGGAGTAGGATACTGATACTTGGGGGCATTTCCTTAAAAAATTTCACGACTTTGCCATCTGTCTTCTTTTGTACAAACTCATTTGATTCTTGCAGGTCTAGCCGACTGCTTCCTGTTAATATTCTCGGTTTGTTTCCATAGTACTTTTCCATCTGAGTTGCAAAATCCTGACGTATCCTGAGCTCTAGAAAGAGAAGCAATTGGAATAACGCATAGATATACATAAACACAAGAGTAAACTCAACAATGGAACAGACATGCAATGCTGTTTTAGACTTCATTGCATAGTTATCCAAAAAACATTAAAATGTGGCATATACATGTGATTAAGCATTGGAAAAATTAGGTTAACGTTTATAAATGTGCCAACTATATCTGGTTACTCTGGAAAGGTGTCTACACTAGTATATACATGGAATGCCCAGGAATAGATTCTCAGTAAAAAAATGTTGATGCCACCAGACCCAGTCCAAGACTTTGTGCTGCCTGGGTCCAAGCCCATCACCTGCCCCCAAAAAACACCTCCTGAGGCCACACTCTTATGAAGCACTTCACATCCCAGTTCATTTTCAGTCTTGCTATGTCCCCCAATTAATATTCTGTGAATCTGAGGTTGATTACATACTATTGTCTCCCAACCCCCAGCATCTTGGTATTGTTAATCAATTTCTCTCCACATTTCAATACACTCCCACTTTACTTTCTTGGTAGTCATCTCACCTGAGTTATTCCTCTGTCTCCTCAGTCATGCCAGTTTGTCTTTTGTCCCTTTCCCACCCATTCTTACTTCTGTACCTTAGTGTTTCCCCGAAATGGGATGTTTAGTGTGGGTGGGCTCTTTATAATTCCTCAGGGTCACTCATTAGAGCCAGCCAGGGGAATGAGTACTTGTGGTTAATTACCTTAGTGAGGGAGGTGATATGTTACCCACCACCAAATGCCACCCAAGTGGGTCCAATGTATTGCTGGCCCTTAGTGTTATGTACAGGACTGGCAATCAGGAAAGGATGCTCACTTGTATTATATATAATTCTAGAAAACCTGGAACATCAGCATTTTTATATAAGTGATATTGTCAGAAATATGCATCTCATCATTAAATATACAGCCACCCATATATTAAGGACAAAACATATTAAATTTATAAAAGCATAACTTACTTCTTTCTAAAATAACCCGATATGCACTTTGCAGCCCTTTTCCTGAGCCAAAGCTTGCAAGTAGCTCCTTGTAGGTGGCATGTACCTCTGGATCATTTAGAAGGTCATAATAGAGAGACCTATGGATTAATGACTCCGTCCTTTGCCCACCTCCTGTGTAATGAAAAAGAATGTAAATCATTACCGTGTAACAGTCGATTTTATATGGATGAGTAATAGTTCTACTTAAACATACAAAATATTTTTTTATGTATTGCTTTGTACATTTTTTGGTTTTATTGATGACGTTTTATTTATTTTTTTTGTTAATGTTCCTCTTCTCTCTTTTTTTTGTCCCTTCAACTTTGCTCCTACTTATGCATTTTCATACAGTCTCTCTTTCTTTGGTTTTATTGATGATATTTGTATTTTGTGGTGGGTTTTTTGTTTTGTTTTGTTTCATTTTTTGTTTTGTTAATGTTCCTCCTCTCTCTTTTTTTTTTGTACCTTTGACTTTGCTCCTTCTTTTGCCTTTTCATTTACCCAGTCTCTCTTTCTTTTGTTTGTATTGCCACTTATTTTATTTTTTTTAGGCATTTTATTATTATTATTTTATTATTTATATAGCGCCATCACATTCCGTGGCACTGTACATTAGGTGGACTAACAGACATGTAATTTAACCAGACAATTGGACGTACAGGAACAGAGAGGTGGAGGCCCCTGCTCAATGAGCTTACATTCTAGAGGGAGTGGGGTATAGTGACACAGAGGGTAAAAGTATGGGTACGAAGTAGATTGTTAGAAAAGTATTAATTGAGGGCTTAGTTGGTCATTTTTGACAGTTGCAGGAGAGGAGTCATGGGGGTGGGGGATAAAAACCTGCTTACAGTTTAACTGATATGCTTTCTTGAAGAAGTGAGTTTTCAATGAATTTTTGAATGAGTGGAGACTGGGTGAAAGTCTTACGGAGAAGGGAAGGGCTTTCCACAGAAGAGGTGCAGCCCTGGAGAAATCTTGGAGGCGAGCATCAGAGGTGGGAGTACGGACAGAGGATAGACGTAGGTCTTTGGCAGAGCGTAGGGGCCTCGATGGGACATACTTGTGTATTAGGGAGGATAGGTAGGTTGCAGCAGCATTATGTAGGGACTTGTAAGCAAGCACCAGAATTTTAAATTGAGCCCTATATTTAACTGGAAGTCAGTGCAGGGACTGACAGAGCGGGGAGGCGTGGGAGGTGTGAGCGTACAGGAAAATGAGCCTCGCCGCCGCATTCATTATAGATTGCAGCGGTGCAATCTGGAAAACTTGTAAGACCACTGAGAAGGGTATTGCAGAAGTCAAGGCGAGAGAGAACAAGAGCATGGACCAGCACCTTAGCCGCATCTGGGGTTAAATAGGGGCGAATGCACGCTATGTTTTTGACATGGAAGCGACAGGATTTGGTGATTGATTGGATATGAGGGATGAAGGAGAGGTTGGAGTCAAAAAGAATACCCAGGCAGTGAGCCTGCGAGGTAGAGATGATGGTAGCGCCGTTGACTGGGAGGAAGACAGACACAGGAGTAGTAACACTTGAGGGAGGAAAGTACAGAAGTTCTGTTTTCGACTGATTGAGTTTAAGGAAGTGAGCAGTCATCCAGTTGGAGATCGAAGAGAGGCAGTCAGAGACACGAGTCAAGATGGGTGGAAAGAGATCAGAAGAGGACAGGTAGATTTGCGTGTCATCCGCATAGAAATGATAACGGAAGCCAAAGGAGCTGATGAGTTTCCCAAGGGAGGCAGTATAGATAGAGAACAGTAGGGGACCAAGGACAGGACCTTGGGGGACGCCGACAGAGAGTGGTTGGGGTGAAGAGACAGAGTCAGAGAAAGAAACACTGAACGGCGCTGGGAGAGGTAGGAGGAGCACCAGGAGAGAGCAGTATCCCGTAGACCAAAATTATGAAGAATGCAAAGAAACTGTTGATGATCAACAGTGTCAAAGGCAGCAGAAAGATCAAGGTGAATTAGGATAGAGTAATGGCCGCAAGATTTAGCAGCGATTAGATCTTTGGATACTTTGGTCACAGCGGTTTCGACAGAATGACCAGCGCGGAATCCAGACTGAAGCGGGTCAAGCAGAGAGATGGATTTGAGAAAGTCAGTCAGTCTGATGTACACAACTCTCTCGAGGATCTTGGAGGCAAATGGCAATAGCGAGATAGGGCGGTAGTTGGATGGTGAGCTGGGGTCAAGGCTGGGCTTTTTCAGAATTGGGGTTACAGTTGCATGTTTGAAGGGAGAGGGAAATGTGCCAGAGGAAATGGAGAGATTGAATATTTTAGTGAGAGGAAGAGCAAGAGAGGGAGACAAAGTGCGTATGAGATGCGAGGGAATAGGATCAAGGGAACAGGTGGTGGGGCGGGAGGACCGGAGCAGAGCACGAACCTCTTCTGCTGTAGCAGGTGCGAATGAGTGCAGAATGGTGGAGGGAGTGGGGTTGGGTGATGTTTTGGTAGGGGAAGGAGAGAGATTAGCGATCTCTTCTCTGATTGTAGAGATCTTCTCAGTGAAGTGAGATGCAAAGTTTGTGGTGGACAAGGTGGTAGAAGGAGGGGGAGTAAAAGGGTGAAGAAGAGCATCAAAAGTGTGAAATAGGTGTTTGGGTTGATGGGATTTTGTGTCTGCAATGATTACATATATTTCATTTCCATAAGTTATATAGCTTTCTCATGCAGGTCACTGTATATATTCATCACTGAGCACATTATACGTCAGCAAATTAACCTATAGAATCAGGTGAAATAAAACAAGATTAATATTGGCAACTGGTTAAAAGATAAGTAGCTGTCGTCATGATAGATAGCCAGGGTGAGAATTGGGAATAAAGTGACAGAGTAATGAGGTCAGATGAGTTGCTCTGAGAGTACTAGTGAGAAAGAGGTCAATTAAGGTCAGAAAACAAAACAACTATGAAGGATCACAAAAGGAATTTGCGAATACATAGTTTTCTAGGACTTTGCCAAAAACAGTGAAGAAGGCCCCTGACTGGAGGTTATAATGGAGTTTGTTCTAGTCACAGCAAACTGAGGAAAAATTAGCACAACCACAAACGAGAACAACGAGCCAGAAAAAAATAAGGGTTGTGGAGATGAAGATGCAGATAGATGTATAGGAGTACAGCAGGGGAAAGCAGGTGCATGGATATAAAAGGATTTCTGTAGCACAGTAAATAATTTGCAAACAGATAACTGGTAAAGACGAAGCAGTAGAGTTTATACAGCAATAAAAACATTACTGAGAAAATGTAAGCTTTATTTTTTGCTTTGGCCTTTTAGAGATCCATGTGTGCCAACCTCATTTCCTTACTGCTACTTACTACTGCCAGCAGGGATCACAGACTCAAACAAAGTTCTGCAGCATTGGGTGAGCCAGAAACAATTCTACTAATCACCCAGTTTACTATACAAGCATGAAAAACTAGGAGCACTACTACCAGGTTAAACATACTCCCAGATAAGCAAGGGTGCTACTAATAGCTTACACATACTAGTGGGTAAGTGGAGCTTTAACTACCAGGTTACATATACTAGCACTTAATCATGGGTACTGCTAACAGGTCACACAAACTATCAGTAAGTGGAAGGATTATTACCAGGTAACAAAAAACTAACACTTAATCCAGGCCACTACTCTTTGGTTACACATACTTGGGACCAAGTGGGCCCCTGGAAATCTACAGGTCTTATTTTAGCCTGTATTCATTCTTAGCCCCATCTCCCCTACTTCTCAGCATGCCAGGACATGTGTAATGGGATATCGAGGACTGTGGGGAAATATGAGTAATGGAGGTCTGTGGAGAACCTGTGACATTGGATATTGGGGGGCAATGGAGGGATATGAGTAATGGATGGATGTGGAGGACATGTTGCATTGGGTACTGGAGTGGGGGATGTGAAAGATATGAATAGTGGAGGTCTTTGCTGGGCATGTGACATTGAATAAGAGGGATGTGGTGGACATAGATATGACATTGAATAAGAGGGATGTGGTGGACATTTGACATTGGATATGGGGGCTTAGGGGGAAATGAGTTGTGGAGGGCACATGATACTTCACAATCCAGGCATGCCTACCACTGATGCTGTGCCCTATAAGTTTCGTAAACGACAGCCCACTTTAATCTGAGCTGATTGCTAAATATCCACCCTTTACATTGCTAATACTAATTAACCCTCATTGGGTAACCACTAATTAATTTTAATAACCAACAATGTTTATCTAACAGTTCATTACTCATTACATGTTGACCTCTATATAAAAATTTATTTCTATTGAACATTGCATTTTTCTATTATTTGCACTCTTTTGCCACGTTCTACGTTGTAGTGTATTTTTTCCATCCCCCTTTTTCGTTGGGTGGTATACCAATTGGATTCCTACTTGTATGAATACTGAGAGGTAGTCATGAGCTGTGCTACCAGATTACACACACTAGGTGGTAATCAGGGGCTCTACTAGCAGGTTACACATACCAGCAGGTAACTAGAGTCATTACTACTAGGTTACACATACTAGCTGAGAACCAGAATTACTAATACCAGGTTACACATACTACCAGAGAACCAGAATTACTAATACCAGGTTACACATATTACCAGAGAACCAGAATTACTAATACTAGGTTACACATATTACCAGAGAACCAGAATTACTAATACTAGGTTACACATACTACCAGAGAACCAGAATTACTAATACCTGGTTACATATACTACCAGAGAACCATAATTGCTAATACCAGGTTACACATATTACCAGATAACCAGAATTACTAATACCAGGTTACACATATTACCAGAGAACCAGAATTACTAATATCAGGTTACACATACTACCAGAGAACCAGAATTGCTAATACCAGGTTACACATACTACCAGAGAACCATAATTACTAATACCAGGTTACACATACTACCAGAGAACCAGAATTACGAATACCAGGTTACACATACTACCAGAGAACCAGAATTACTAATACCAGGTTACACATACTACCATAGAACCGGAATTACTAATATCAGGTTACACATCCTACCAGAGAACCACAATTGCTAATACCAGGTTACACATATTACCAGATAACCAGAATTACTAATACCAGGTTACACATATTACCAGAGAACCATAATTACTAATAACAGGTTACACATACTACCAGAGAACCATAATTACTAATACCAGGTTACACATACTACCAGAGAACCATAATTACTAATACCTGGTTACACATATTACCAGAGAACCAGAATTACTAATACCAGGTTACACATACTACCAGAGAACCAGAATTACTAATACCTGGTTACACATATTACCAGAGAAGCAGAATTACTAATACCTGGTTACACATATTACCAGAGAAGCAGAATTACTAATACCAGGTTACACATACTACCAGAGAACCAGAATTACTAATACCAGGTTACACATACTACCAGAGAACCAGAATTACGAATACCTGGTTACACATATTACCAGAGAAGCAGAATTACTAATACCTGGTTACACATATTACCAGAGAAGCAGAATTACTAATACCAGGTTACACATACTACCAGAGAACCAGAATTACTAATACCAGGTTACACATACTACCAGAGAACCAGAATTACTAATACCAGGTTACACATACTACCAGAGAACCAGAATTACTAATACCTGGTTACACATACTACCAGAGAACCAGAATTACTAATACCAGGTTACACATACTACCAGAGAACCAGAATTACTAATACCAGGTTACACATCCTACCAGAGAACCAGAATTACTAATACCAGGTTACACATCCTACCAGAGAACCAGAATTACTAATACCAGGTTACACATACTACCAGAGAATCAGAATTGCTAATACCTAGTTACACATGTTACCAGAGAACCAGAATTACTAATACCAGGTTACATATACCAGCCGGGATCCATGTACACTATTAGCAGTGCCAGCCTCTCTACTGATTATGTAATTAACAGGTTTTATTTTTCACAAGCTTTATTTTATAGTTGCTAGTTCTTTTCTCTATTTGCTCAACATGATTAATTACTCTGATTAATTACTCTGATGAATTCAGAGATGCCAACACTATAGACATGATGCACTGAGAGTCTTTTCAAGATGTACAATTACTTCATGCTGTCCTAATAGATCAAAAACTCACCCAGAGAAAGGCTGGAGAGCGCGGTGGCGATGGTCAGTGGTGACATAAAGATGTTGCTAGTTGGATACTTGTTTGCTTGTATACGGTAAAGATCATAACCAAAATTGGATGCCGAGGACGCAAGCCTGTTAACTGGGCTCTTGTAGAATGGATCTTCTTCTTCCTCTACCTGTGACGTGGGGACCTGCAAAATGAGGAAACCTTAAAATCAGCTCAAAATCCATGAAAAATTAGAAAAAAAAGGAAGAAAAAGCATTTTTTGTTTCTTTATATTTTTTGGTCTTGAGTAATTTTGTGATATGAAGAAATATAGAATTCATTTTGTTTAGCACTAAATTGGTTTATAGCGGGTGTAACGGAGCTCCTTGTACTCCGACTGAGTACCCTCCGTTGACGGATGCTCCTAGCGCTTCCTGAGGACTCCAAGCAGTGCAGCAGACACCACAACCACCGCAGACTCCGCAACCGCTGTATCTTGACTGGAGTCTCGCCGTCTTCCTTCCACCCTGGATCAGCTTCTGTCCTCCAGGACTGTGTGGGAAAGAACTCTTCCTTCCAACAAGCTCTTAAAACAGATAAGTAATTTAAGCTCAGGGGAACATGCAGAGCATAACAATCCCTAGTGTGTTTATAACAGCTCCCTACAATAACAAGACAAGGATACATTTAGAGGGATCAAGAAGAACTGTCTAAACCGTTATTTCCCTTGGGACCAGCCCATAGGGTCACCACAATAACATTGTTGTGAAACCTCAATAAAATAAAAAACAGTCAAACCATAGCAGGCAACACACAGTGACTTATCACAACACAATGGCACATTTTTAAAGGGGTGGGGGAGACAATATTTAACAGTAAATATCTCACCTGCCTGCAGAATTAGCAATATGCAAATCTACCCGAATATGCAAATGAACCAGTCTTGCAATTCAGGTAGTGCATATTGCTGTTGCTACCAACAGAGGGCACTAGACAAGCTCCATAGTCAAATCCACTTAGTTGGTAGCAAACCTCAGCAGTACAGGAGAGCAGGCAATACATTTCACAGTACACACACACACTATAAACAATTGCATTACACACACCCTGCACCTATAATGGGTACAGGGTGACTAAAACATAAGATAAATAAAGCAGCCTACATAAATAGTCTGTCTGAAGGTAGACTAGGGGCTTTAAAGCCAAATACATGAAAGAGTCATAGTCACAGGGGAGGAGGCTGGCAAGCAGGCTTCTCCAGGACCAAGTGGCGAAGGGCACATCGTCACAGCGGCCACTAAGTACTGTGAAAATGTTCCTCCAGAAGGAGTCTGACTTTTCTCTAACTGTTATAGAATCCCATATCTTTGTGTGGCGTACAGATAGTCTCACAAAAATGAGAATTCAAAGTGAATTTTACATTTAGAGCCACATTAGCCAAACTGAACGTATATCTGACTTAGGGAATATTTCCATATTGACTAGGGAAAAGATTAACCCCTTAAGGACACATGACATGTGTGACATGTCATGATTCCCTTTTATTCCAGAAGTTTGGTAATCCAATCCACTTTTAATCAATCCACTCGATTATTACTCGAGAGCAGAAGAAAACTTTGTTTCATTTGGACCATTTGTTCTGAACGTGTCTTCCTTACCATGCTTGGTTCACTTCATTGGGGGGCTGTTTTAGTTTGTTTGAATATCGTTAATTACATTTTGACCTCTAATATTAACCCCTTTAGTTCACATCTCTGATACTAAAAGGGTTTCTGGACAAATTTCTTCACTGCTGTGATGCAAGTAAATCCAATTTCCATTCATTACAGCCACTTAAGAATGGGAGTTTGGGAGATTCCACCAATCACGCTAGCTCGGTCACTCACTCCTTTCTTAATTTCTTCACCACAATAAATGTTATTGAAGCATTTACTGGAGTAAGGATTACACTTACTGCCGCAGCACGCCTGTGTACAATACAAGTCCACTATGATCCAGATGGGCTCATTCATACTTAGACATACACTTAGAAAGACAGTCCAAGGCATTGTTAAGGTGACATGGGCCACGATGGGCCCCAACTGCATTGCATGACTGTCCAGGGGCAGTTTTGTAAGGCAGTATTTGATTGGTTAATTATGTTTTAAAGAAAGTATAAATTGTTGCAACTTACCACCCCTCCTCCTTTTTGGCTCTGGGCAAAAGTGTGTAAATCTCCCGCCCGCCCAACCTCCCTTCCTTATGTCTATTGCTCCTCTTGCTATTTTTCTTTACACTCCTTCTTTCTGCTCTTTCTTTTTCTTCTCTTTGGTTGTGGTGTTTGTGTTCTCCTTCTCTTTGGTTGTGGTGCTTGTGTTCTTCCTCCTTTCCTTTGGTTGTGGTATTTGTGTTCTTCCAAATTTCCTTTGGTTGTGGTATTTGTGTTCTTCCTCCTTTTCTTTGGTTTTGGTGTTTGTGTTCTGTTTTGCAGTTATTGTCACAGCAGTAGAAGGTACCCTGTCCAGTGGCTGGATAAAATGGGTTACTCAAGTCTGAGCATTGGGAGAGGGTGTTCCTGCCCTGGTAATCGAACAGGAACCGAACTCTGGTGAATGATAACTGCCTAAAATGTTATCTATACAATATGCCAGCAGTTTGTCTCGCAAATGGCAGATGTATAGATTAGGAGAAAAAACTATTTAAAAATAGTTTTTACGCCAAGCCGTCAGTCAATTCCACAGGAGATCCCTCTGCTCTCCACCCATAGCAACCACAGCATTATGGAATCTCCCTGGTTGGTGCTTCTAGCACCAGCTAGGGAGTATAGAAACAAAGTGACATGACGCTACTCTTCTGATGCCAGCATGTTGACAACCAAGTCAGTGTGCCAAGGTCACTGACAAAATTTGCCCTGCTTCAGGTTGCATCCCAACTCAAGGCAAATGAAAGCGGAACGAGGTAGAGCAGAGGAGCAGAGGACAGTCTGGACAAACACAAAGCATAGAGATAGTAGTGCTGGAATAAAGTAAAAGTGAGTAAATCTTAATGTTATTACATTAAATACACCATGTGTCTTTGTGAAATATGGTGTATTCAATATATATGGGAGCAAGTTAAAGTAAGTACATTTTATATAGGTTCACTTTGAATATATTATTCTATATTATTATATTATATATTATAAACTTCCACATATATTAGATGTTTTTGTTTTCACTAATGTAATATAGGTAAATATTGCAATTATTTAAAATTAGTGCTTTTATCTCTAGGTAAAGACCATAGAAGATAGGAAACAAATTAGAGACTAGCAGCACAATTTATAAATAGTTACTGTGAAAATATATAGTGATAGCTACATGGAGATATGATCAATGTATCCCAGTGTATTTAAAGTATTGGGAGACGTGTTCATCTACAGGGCTGTGCAACACTCAGTAGGTCATCCTTTGAGATTTTACATTCTGCAACGGAAAGAGTTCTGTTCAATAAGCGTATTAAAAAATATTGTTTTTCCTGCCTAGGGAAGTCATTTAATCAAATACAGCATTATGAACTATATCTTGCTCTTGTTCCATAATCTATTCTGCCTTTATAACACTTACAATTAGTGTGAGTTCTGTAATACAATATGAATACAATTTATACATCAGTGCAGTTTAGGCCTATAGTGCCCTCCAAACCCTATAACAAATACAGTACACTGTAGTGGTTATGGTGCCAGAAGTGCCATGGAAAACCTATTATTAGAAATCCAGCTGACAACTTGCCCGGGGTCCATCAGGCACCTCTTTTGGAGTTGGAATCTGTTTGTATTGAGTTAAGTACGGCAGTGCATAGGCCAAGAGTGATCAGCAGATGCTCTCAACCTATGAGCTAGCCCTGCACACCACAGTTTGGCTCAGCAGAGAAAATGCAAGCTCCATGTAGGAGCTTCAAGCTCTCACTGGTGGAAGTGATTGGCACTCGGCAGGCACCAGGTAAGTCAAATTAGCACTCCTGTCACCTTAGCAAGTACAGTGTGCTGTAATTGTTATAGTGCTTGGAGTCATTGTAGGACTGGCAAGAAGGGCAAAGGGGCAAACGTCCACTGAAACACTATCATGGAAAGCCTGGCAAGGGGGCCTCAAACAATTCTGAAAATTAAATTAGCTAAAAGTGTGTTGAGCTGTCTATCCTGGTACTGCGTGGGTTTGTATATGGGCTGGTGGCCTGTGCTCTCGAAGCTCTCCAGGCCAGGAGTGGCCCATGGTATATTTCCTGGTGGACTCTGGTAATTAAAGGACCACTCTAGGCACCCAGACCACTTCAGCTTAATGAAGTGGTCTGGGTGCCAGGTCCTTCTAGGGTTAACCCATTTTTTATAAACATAGCAGTTTCAGAGAAACTGCTGTGTTTATTAATGGGTTAAGCCTTCTCATTGACAGCCACTAGAGGCGCTTGCGTGCTTCTCACAGTGAGAGCACGCCAGCGTCCATAGGAAAGCATTATGAATGCTTTCCTATGTGACCGGCTGAATGCGTGCGCATTCAGCCGACGGGGCGGATCGGAGGAGGAGAGAAGGAGGAGAGCTCCCCGCCCAGCGCTGGAAAAAGGTAAGTTTTTACCCCTTTCCCCCTTCCAGAGCCGGGCGGGAGGGGGTCCCTGAGGGTGGGGGCACCCCCAGGGCACTATAGTGCCAGGAAAACGAGTATGTTTTCCTGGCACTATAGTGGTCCTTTAATGCTAAACAAGCTGCCAGACTATAATGAGGATGTGTGATGTCACTGGAGAGATGAGACATTGATCATGACAATCATACCACACACCATTTATCTGTCATATCTGTACATATTGAATTCTTTATATAAGTATTCATTCATTGAGATCTGTGGGTTTCATGCACAAAAAAGGTTATTCATTTGTACTTGCCACCAAGCCAAAAAAGGTACCAGCCTTCCCCTGCTTGGTACGTTTCTTTAAACCACTTTAATACTTGACTAGTGATTGCAGCCGAGGTGCAACTTATCAGCCCTGTCTTGTAAATTACAATCCTTTTGCTTGTACTGTATAGTAGAAAATAGAGAAAGCAGAGAACGTGGCCACGTGGACTTAGCGGAATCATAAAAGTCTTAATTTGTTGCAGAGTACAGATTTTTTTTAGATGCTATTTATATTTAGATAATAATTGGAACAGGTTGCTTCTACACATCTGTAGCAAGACATGTCAGAAAAAAAAAATTCAAGTGAACTGTCTGATTCAGATTAGTGGACAGATGATCCCCATAGTCAGTGGAACAGACTCACCACTTTCTGGAGTATAAGAATCCGACTGAGGCCTGAAATATTAAAGGGACACTATAGTCACCAAAACAACTTTAGCATAATGCAGCGGTTTTGGTTTATAGATCATGTCCCAGCAGTCTCACTGCTCAATTCTCTGCTATTTAGGAGTTAAATCCTATTCACTTCCTGTGAAGAGTAGTCTAATGTTTATACTTTCTTTATTGTACAGTCTGTTTAATTTAGAATGTCTTATCTCCTGCTCTGTTAATAGCTTGCCAGACCCTGCAAAAGCAGAGTCTGGCAAGCTATTAACCCCTTAAGGACCAAACTTCTGGAATAAAAGGGAATCATGACATGTCACACATGTCATGTGTCCTTAAGGGGTTAAAGTTGAATTTACAGAGCAGGAGATAAAACGTTTAAAGTAAGTTACATCTGATTGAAAGTGAAAAAAAATGAAAATACATTTTTTTATTTGATTTGTAAAGTGCGAATTCTAGCTGGGCAGCCATCAGAAACGTGCAGTCCACCGCATCAACAGATGACAGTATTTACTCATATTATCAAACAGTATCATTTGGGTTTTTCTCCACGCATCATCCAGCGTCAAATGTGTACAGTTTCTGTAGAACTGCCTCTTTGTACAGCGCTACAGAATCTGATGGCACTATATAAATAATAAAATAATAAAATAATAATGAAGACACTTTAACAACCCACCACCACATGCATTTAAATGGTATGCATCACACACATTAACACAGGTCAAATATATCACACACATATAAGCAAATCATAGAAAGTGACATTTCGATTTTGTCGGATCTCTGACCATTGCGAATCCACAAGCTAACGCACTTCATTACAGCTTTGAAATTTTACACTTTCGCTGTTATTTTTGTTTGTTTACAACGCTGAGATACAAAATATTTATTGGTAGAAATCATGTGAATTTCTCACCTCCTCTGCAGCATCTTGGGAGTTGGTGAGAGAGAAGAACGCTCCGGCAAGGAGGAATACCAAGTAGGTCTGCATTTTATGTCCTATAAACATAAATTAAAAAAATAATAATAATTAAACACCATAAAATATCAAGCGTCACATTTCATAATTTCTAAACAGATTGTTTTTTTAACCATTAGTAATGTACTATTATTATATAATGTACTGATTTTTGGGGGGCTAAACCAAAATGTACTTTTTTTGTTGTTGTTGTTAATTGTAGAGCAGATGTTATCCCAGTGTTACACTATGTAAATGTATTTAAGGAGTGGGCAATGCTTTATGGCAACAATTGACAACCTTTTCTTTTGTTATTTCTCCTGACACTGGATCTAGTTGGCTAACTGGCAGAGTGTAAAATAAAGTCAATAACAGCTGGAATGTCAAAGGTTAGCAATTATTGGTTTATAGGGTGCTAAAGAAACCCCTGCTCGTAAAATCATTTTAATATTTTTTTGTTGTTGTTACCACGAATCACTTTAAAACATATTCAGTGTGAAAAATAAAGGCACTACAAGCTTTGCAATAGCTATTGTACACTTTGGTAAAATAACAATAATAATCGGAGGACCTTTTCTAACTATTTGTTTATGCAAGGAAAACAAGGGTAGAGACTGTGAGGCAGTATGAAATATACAACACACAATACGATATATATAGTATAACAATTTATGGGGGAAAAAAGAAAATCCAAACAAATCTTTATTTTCCAATACTTACAGAAGTGAAACTAAGCAGATAATTTAAAGGGTTACTTCAACCTATTTTTCCACAGTATTTGTTTTAAGTCTAAATGCCCTGTTCGCACCCTACCCCGTTTTATGTATTTAGTAAATCCTGCAGAAAAAAAAAGATTAAAACTTTTCTAAATCTAGCACCTGGCCAAGCTCTCCCCGATTGTGCCCCTGCCTTCTCCGTCTTCACATGGAGTCATCTCCTTCTCGTTTGTGGTCCAATCCTATGTTTCTCATGGATCAGGCCTGCACAACCTGCGGCCCCCCAGATGTTTTGAACCAAGCCCATCATTCTTAGAATGAAACAGATTGCCACGGAATCATGGGAGTTGTAGTTCAAAACATCTGGGGGGGCTGCAGGTTGTGCAGGCCTGTTATAGAGCTAGCTGCACAGCAAATGTACGAGGCACTTAGCTACACTGTAAATGCGTACAGTGTTCCCGTTCATGAGTAGTGAGATAAATAACAGCTCATTTCATTCATCATGTCCTACTCCTGATTGCTGCAAAGGGGAAGGAGGGTGGGCTGTACATAGAATGGTTGGGCTGGATAAGTGGCTGGAGAAGTTGGGACATTAACCCAGAGCCGTTACTAGGACTGGGCCCATAGTCCGACCACGCTTTTACTTGCAGATATGCTCACAGTGCTACCTGCATGAGAGGAATCTAAATACATCTGTCACCAGCTGCAGTGCGGGCTGACAATGTACTTTTTTTGCACAGAACTCACATTAGTCTATGGCAGGGGTTCCCAACCCAGTCCTCAAGTACCCCCTAACAGTCCAGGATTTAGGAATTACCCTGCTGTGTTTATAGAGTTTATTTTTATTTATTTCTAAAAACACATTGGACATTATTGGGTAATCCCTAAATCCTGGACTGGTAGGGGGTACCACTGGTCTATGGGAACAGAGTTCAGTGGAATAATTAGACCTCTGGACACAATTATAGATCTCTCTTTATGGGCAGTGTTACAAATTGAAATTTTGCTCATACAGATTGCTTGCACCATGACCACTTTTAAAAGCACAAGTGGTCATGGTGGTTGGAGTAACCCTTTAAAACAGAGTGATCACAATGAGAAGACATACACTTCACAAGGGAGCAAATGGGCAAAGATGGGAAAGGGAGGTCAAAGGAGAAAAGACTTGGCATATTTCTGAAAAACAACTTTTTGTAAGGTGACAGATAGCTAGGGAGATAGACAGCCATATATTTCATTCCGTAAGCTTTGCATTAGTGCAGATTGTATTCAGCAAGAATTAAACATTCTACATTTAAAATATAGTGAATCTAAAATAATGACCTGACAATGTCTGTGCAATCTGTAGGTGGACAGATGTCACTTATTTACAACCCCCATAATCCTCATCAACCCATTGGTATTGTTTTGTTTCACAGTTGAACTCCAGGTTGGATATTCCCTGACCACATCACTTGAGATAGAATTCCTTCTAACAGCGTTTATTAGTGTTCCATACTAATGCATTAGGACCTGTGGTATCTCCGGGAAATGAGAATGGCAATGACCCATAGTTATCCTTCATGGTCTGTTAAATCTATCTTATTTATGTATATCATGTGCCTGACATAAAAAATAACTTCACAGCTATCAATTGCATGTTGCTGTCTAGTCCAATTTCCCAGACCATAATGAGTTGATTTAATTTAACTGGAATGGAGTCAATACAGTAAAGTAATGTCTATTAGAACATGTGCTATGTTAAAGACAGAAGACTGGGTTCTACTTCTATTGTATAATGTACCAGGATGTACAAATGAAACCAAAAGAAGTCAGGTGTTGATGGGCACTGGCCAAGTGATACACAAAAGAGATTTGATTTAAAAAAATGTGGATCTCCATGTCTGAATAGTTTTTTGGGTCAAACTGCTGTTTTAGTGCTTAGCGTGCCCCTTTAAAGACAGTTTAAAGTATTTGGTTTACTTTATCTTTCTATATTTATGACAATATCTGAAATATTTGCAGAGGAGCACACACAATTTGTCACCGTGGCGGACCGCCTGGTACCCCGACTTGACCTAAAAAATAATAAACAGGCAAGCGAGTGGGCACAGTACTCAGTGACGGCGTTCCGTCACACATTCTTTTTACAGGTCTTTGTACATGGCCCGTAGTCATTGGTCAGGAGGCTAGCCAGCAGGCTTCTCCAAGAGCATGTGGCAGAGGCATCTTTGCCACAGACACATACAGCAGATATGATAAAAATAAATAAATAAATACAAATAAGAATAATTGTGGGGTATTTATAAGTAACTTGAAGGCATTTTCATAAATGCAGATTTCTAAATTTGCATTTAGAATATGAAAATACCTGTATAATGCACAGTGTTCATCTGAACTATCAAATACGTGTATGCATAGTTGCAACATAGACTCTAACGGAGGGTTCGAGAGAAGAGGGACTCACACCGTTATCCCTAATCAGTAGTGTTCCTGCAATTAAAAGGACTTTCTAATGTTGACCTCCGTCTTCATTAAATGCATTATTTAGATCAGGGGTAGTCAGCCTGGCCCTTTTTCAGGTGGGTGGTGGCGGCTTCTGCAGAAAACGCACAGTGGGCCTCAATGGCCATGGACCCATACCAGCAGGGGACATTCTTTCATCTCCCCTGCCGGCCCATACAGAGCCAGCTTTGCTGTAAGACCTCTTGGGCTGGTGAGGCGATCAAAGATCTCCCTCACTGGCCTGCTGGCACCTAGTTCCAGCAGAGGGAGGAAAGGGCCTGGGAGGCTCTGTGTTCCTCCTGAAAGCAGGCTGGTCGGAGCGTTGCTGCGCATTACCATGGCAACGTTCTGATACAGTGCTGTGCTCAAAGGAAGACAGGAGTCAGCCTGCAGTCAGAGTAGCTGCATGCTAAAGTGAACATGCCACCACTGGATCACCAGGGCTTTCAGCATTATGTCTCCCCTCCCTGGCAAAAGGTAAGAAGAAGGGAGGGGGAGACATTAAGATAGAGGTTCACATCTCACCCACCTACACACCTCACACAGCACCTCTCTCTCTCACACACACACACACTGCACCCTTCACACACACACAGCACCATTCACACACACTGCCCCCCACACACACTGCACCTCTTACACACACACTCCACACAAACACACACACAAAAACAGCACCATTCACACATACAGCACCTCTTAGACACACATAGAAACAAAAGAAAAATACAAAATATAATTTTTTTATTTTTTTTTAATTTAAGTACATATTTAAAAACAAAACAAAAAAAGCCTCCTTTTAAAAAAAATATCGCCCTAGTGCTATAAAATTAGTTACTGTGGCACTGGTGGGAAGTAAGGAAATTTTACCATCAACTAAGATACAAAAGTGGGCAGTAGGTATTAAAAGGTTGACTACCCTTGATTTAGATAATACATTAAAAAATATGTTGAATAAATACATTCAATAAAGAAGATACCTTTTATTTTCTTAGATTGCAGCAAAACCCTCAAGGTGAGAAGCACCCTGCAGTGAGCTTCCCAAAACCAATACGTAGCTGAAATCCATCAGCTTATTCTAATATTCCTGTTATTTTAATTTTTAATTGGGAGTTTCAATAATCTTGAATATTCAATAATCTTGTTTGTGAGATGTACAGCTAAACAGTAGCAGCAGTTCCATCAGTGTGTTGGTAGAGTATATTGCGTCAAGAGATGAGTTATGAGATATACATTGTTATTCAGTATACCTCTAATTTTAGCAAATTCAATACGAATGGCAAAATGTAGCCTAAAATAGTTGATTAGTAAAAAAAAATTATGCAACTCTACTATTGTCACAGCTTGGCTACTTTAACTTTAACTTTGTTATTCGGGTTTAATTCACAAAAATTTGGTGTTTAGTGATTAACCTTGATAGGAAAAGCAACATTGTAGAGCATATAGCTTTTTCTACGTCAAATCCGAGACCCCTTAGATCTCCAGCTAATCCCCGTCCACCATTAAGCAGCTCACATCGCAGCCGATGAAAATGTGCTATTTTTAGTAGGCTTCCTTCTAGTTTAAATCCCTTGGTTAAATGCAAAGTTTTCCACTGTCTCTCACGGGATATTAGTGGCTAACCACGGAATCCCAAGGTAGATATTACCCCACAAATAATATCATCTCATACACAGTATTCTATATTGAGAACGCGTTCAATTCCAGAAGCCTAGTGTGGGCTTGTCACAGTGATGGTACTGCAGGCGCAGAGATATGTGGCTCTGTCATACGAACACAGTATCCCTTATGAATAACAATCCCAATAAAAGCCTGCACACGCTGGGATCCCAACATCAAACGCCAGACACCTTGTTATTATATAATGAATTCTGTTTACATGCAGATCACACACCGTATAATCTCATATTCTAGACAATTTTTTTTATTTATTTTTTTTAATAACAGCGGGGCTCATTAAAAACTGTGAGCCTTTTGCAGGTGATTTATAAATCCATTCTGAGTACTGCTCTGCAATCTACTTTTCCCAAGTTAAGAGCGCACTCATGTTAAGGATTGCACATTCATTTTAGCCATTGTTACATCTTGCACATTGTGTCGGCGCAGTAAATTCTACCATTCTTTTCAATTAATGCTCTGACCATGCACCCTCTTGTGAAATACCTGCCTTGAATTATCTGTGACAGAAAGGAGACTACAAGATGCTTTTGTAATGAGCTATTCTTACTTTTGTGTCTCCTGCTTTGCATTATGGGTCAAAGAACAGCATTCTTCATCAATTCAGCTTACTGTTAAAGTAGCCAGTAAAAACAAAACTTTTTTCTTTTTAAATAAACGCAGATGGTGGGTGGTTTCACCTCTCCACAACCCTTATACATCTTTGTTTTGGGACAGAAGTCTGAATGAAAGATGATTTCAACATCTTGTCCAAACCCTCTCTCTTTTCTGAGCCTCCAGCTGTTTTTTTTATTTTTTTATTTCACTCATGCATTCAAATGTCTCCCGTGCTTCCTTTGACCTTCTTCTGTGCCCATAAAAATAGTCTGGTTAAGAGAGGACATTATTCAGCCTTAGGATAGATAGCTGTTTTATTAGTTTATTCTTAAGAGAATCTTTCTTGGATATGTATCCCTACAAGCTTAAGAGCTATGGTGGTTCTTGGATTTCCTTAAACGAATCCAACATAGTTTTGAAAACGCAATGTTTGTCTAGGATTAACGTAAAAAAAAGAGACGCAAGTAGAACAAGAAAGATATCTCAAACTTTCCATAGATGAAAAACATATGGAGTTTTGTTTTAACTTCAACTTTTATGTCTTCCATGTGCCAAACAATAAGTCTTGGCTTAGAAGTCAATACCTCTCCCTGAGTAAGAACCTTATTCTAACACTCACCTGTAAATGTGTATTATTGACCGTGTTTCAATTATTATTATTATTATTATTGATATTTATATAGCGCCAACTTATTCCTCAGTGCTTTACAATATTATGGAAGGGGGACATTCAACAATAAGAGTGACAAATGAAAAATTATACAGTATAGGTAGATGAGGACCCTGCTCAGACGAGCTTGCAGTCTAGAGGACAGTAAATGTGAGCAGAATGAAAGGAAACATGAAAGCTCGTAGCCACTACATTATACTATAGTGGCTATGGTGCCCCCACTTTTGGAGACATCAGGGAATAGTTTCCAAAAAGCATAGTGTGGGCGCATCATTACTGACGAGCACTACGCTAAGGGCACCAGTGGGTTGACCTGCTTGATTGATAGACAGCCAGGTGTGCATTCATACAAGGCTGGCCTGTCAATTCTTTGAGCGGAGAAGAAGCTCTCTTTCAATTCGGGGCACTGGCCTGCACCCTTCTGCACCCTTCAATCAGTGTCCTACTTGCACGTACGATGTATTTGGCAGGTATGATATATATTAAACCACAGCCACTCTAACATAATTCTAATGCCATAGCATTGCTCTCAATGATGAAGATATACGTGTCACTGCCTTGGATCCATTGTTTTATGTTGTGGTAGCTTTCTCGCATAACAGATGTATATTCTCCATACTTATAGGCTGGACTGGCACCATGGGAGGTGTAGTTCACAAACATCTGAGACCCAAAACACTCCAGTCTGAACAGTCGTGGAAAACAGTGATGAATTTAAACTTCAAAAATCACATTATTAATATTACTCTTATTATTGCTGAAGACCTTTTTGTGGAAATATATAAATATATATATATATATATTAGTAAACTAGTGAGGTGTCCTTACAAAAGTGTATCTTCGTCCCCCGTCACCTGTTTTTAATCCAAGCCTGAGAGAGAGTTAAAACCTAATTTATTTATTCCTGGGATTACCATAGCGGTCAGTGATCTCATAATATGCAAAAAAGGACAATATCTCCCTCCCGCAGCAGCTCCTTCCCTCCTTTTCCTTCTTCTCAACTTTTTTTTCACTATATCTGATATTGTTGTGTACTGTTTAGGTTGTTTAACAAGAATGTTTTTTTGTTTTTTTAAATGGCGTTCTTGTGGTGCATATTGCATGTGTTCCTCAACCAATAATATGTATTTTCAATTGCAAATGTTACACCTACTGACTATCAATAAATATAAATTTTTCATTTTTTTTTTAAAGATCTAATTTATTTATGGATTATTTAATACTACCATATTTATAACTTTTCCTGTGGAATCTAATTTGTATGTCGTAGTCATAGATGTTCTGGCTTGCAAAGCACTATGGGAGAAGCAAACCACTGAAGCAAAAAACAAACGCCCAACCATGACTGGAACACTCTGCTTGAGAGGCTGAACTGATGCCAACACACAGTCAACGAAAAACAATTCCCGCAATAAAGTTATTTCCAAGACTTTCCTTTTCCAAAAATATAATTCTGTGCATTAAAGTATAATAATACCAGAGAGTCGGCCAGGCCGCACAGGGGGAAAAAAAAGCCAGTGATTTCAGGAATATGACAGCGTTTCATGTCCTTCCCACTATATAAGTGCAAGTTAAGGGAAATAATTTTGCTGATACCACGAAATAACGTGTTGGAGAGTAAAACTATTTCTGTGATAATGAAAGACATGTCAGACAAAGATCTGCAATGCTAGTGGGAAGATATCGTTGCATTCTATCACACATTAATGCTGCCAGAATACAATTTGCCAAAAGACAAATCCTTTCAAAGTGTACGAAAACTAGTTTAATCTGGAGTTTTTCTGGTTCAGTCACATCGGCCCCTTCTGTGCTTACAGCCGTCTTATGAGCCTAAAACAAAAAAAAACAAAACTGCAAGAATGTATATATCAGGATCACCGCTAGGAACCTTTCGGGGCTTTTCTGAAAAATCAGGTTCACAAGGTGAAGGTTCAGATTGTCAGGAACATATAGCTAATAGCTAGCGTTTGGGAAGATTTTACAAAACCTACAAGACTTACATATGTGTCACGGCTTCATCATGTATTTTAATACACATATTTCTGATACCTTTAACCCTTAAAAGACCAAAAATGTTTTTTTTGCTTTCATCATAATTTAGTCTTTAAAGGGATATTGTAGACATAAAGCTGAAAGGGTTACTCCAAACACCATGACCAATTCTGCTTTTTGAAGTGATAATGGTGGTAGGAGTCTAAATATGCATTTTTTTCTGCTTGAAACACTGCACATCCAGAGATGGGATGCCAGGGAGCCAGTGATCATAATTATGTATTAAATGTTTTTAAAATAATAAAAGATACCTCTGAATATTATCCATCGTTTGCAGGCTATAGTTACGGATCTAACAAATCAACACTGCCCAGGACATCATACAGCTGTCCATGGGTTTTTATTCCACAATCCATGTGCATGCATTGATATATGATGACCTACCTGATTATACTCAGTCATTTCTAAATGTGCAAGTGAAATATGCAAGTTATTTATACAGAAAATTAACAGCAGTGAGAGAGTCTGTAAAAAAAAAATACTTTTAGCACCACCAGGTAACAATTACAGCTGCAACAAAGTGAGAACGGATCTAGTGGGTGTTTTCTTGACAAACAACCTATTTTATTTTGAATACTAATCTGCTGAAAATGAATAAATAAAATGTGTTCTAAGTTGAAAATACATCCCAAAATGCTAAAACTGCAACAACATAAAACTGTGATGTGAAAAAGAAATGGAATACTCAACAATTTCTATAATTGTTACACACATTTCTGAGTTAAGTTTTCTTTGAGTTGACATCTCTTGTTTTGTATTTGTCTTTTGGTGGATAACTAAGTAACCTATTTACATATATTTGGATTGGGATTTTGTGCATATCAATTGTACTGAATTCTTCCACTTTGTGGCACATGCATAGATATTGCACATGGAGAAGTAATATTAAAATAATTCAAAGTCAAAATGGCTGCCGACCTTTGAGATTAATGGGTGTGTTACTTTTTAATCTTGTTTTTTTTTTTTTTTAATTCCTAGGCTATTGAGGTAGTCTAGAGCAGTTGAGAAAGCGCTATTCAGATGTGAAATATGTTCTGCATGTTTTAACAGATATTATAGGCAGTAATACAACTTTAGCTTAATGAAGCAGTTTGGATGTATTGATCATGGTCATGCTGTCTCGCTGCTCAATTATTTGCCATTTTAATCACATTTGTTTCTGTTTATACAGTCCTAGTCACACCTCCCTTGGCTGTGACTTAGACAGCTTCCATGAAAAAAATGGTTTCATTTAGAAACAGAATGTGACGGAAGATAAGAACCGTTGGCCCATCTAGTCTACCTAATTATCTAAATACTTTAATTAGTTCCTGGCCTTATCTTAAGTCTAGGATAGCCTTATGCCTATCCCATGCATGTTTAAACTCTCTGACTGTGTTAACCTCTACCACTTCAGCTGGAAGGCTATTCCATGCGTCCACTACCCGCTATGTAAGCTAACACTTCCTGAGATTATTTTTAAATCTTTGCCCTTCTAATTTAAGACTATGTCCTCTTGTTGTGGTAGTTTTTCTTTTTTTAAATATAATCTCCTACTTTACTGTGTTGCAATAAAAATAATATAAACATTAGATCTCTCTTTACAGGAAATGTGTAGGAGGGCTATGTAAGTCACATTCAAGGAGGTGTAGCTGGGGTTGCAAAAACAGTGATGGCAGAGAATTGATCAGTGTTACTGTAGGGGGCAAAATTGTTTTGGTGCTTATAGTATGTCTTTAAGTCCTGTGCCCCACCCCCTTCAGTTAGTAATAGTGGCACTATACTACCTGCCATATTTTAATTTATTGTGTTATGTATTTTTTTTATAATAAAGAATATATATTTTTTTTTCTTATACTTTTGTATCGACTCCGCTTTGAATGTGAGGAATTTTTCATGCTAACCTTCATGATCTTTAAACCCAATACTACTTTTAGTAGTTTTGCAACTGATGATAATTTAAAATTGGCTCCCAAACCTCATGACTGATTTAAGAGATGTCAAAGCATAAGAGTATGGATAAAGTGCAGGAGGTATTGTATGTAGAGAAGTAAGTGAATGTGAAATTCAAAATGTCTGCTGGCAAAATGTCTGCTTTTGATCCTCATAATGCTTTTATCACTTCTACCATTGACTAATCATATATTTAACATGTTGTAGTATAGTTCAACAGAGAAATAAATGCAAATTTATACAATTCCAGGATACACTGTTGCTAATCGGCACGTAGATAATTATGTGTGGCAAACTGTTTTCTAAAAGAAGTTGGAAGAATGTTATGGAATGAAATATGGTCATCAAACCTTGTGAACGAATGTAACTCTAGGTCACAACATAACTTTATACAGCAAGTTGTAGACCTATAACATATGAGATTCTGGAAAAGGGGGTTATTTAAAGGATCACTTTAAATAATAAGGATCACAAAGCTGTATTCCTAACACTATAGTGTTCCTCTGCCCACTTTCTTTTAAACGTGTTTACTTTTTTTTTTCTTTGAAAAATTGTTTTAGATTGCAGGGTTACAGGGACAGTGCACTCAGACCACTTCAATTAGATGAATTGGTCTTGGTGCCCATAGTGTCCTTTTAATAGTGTACAAAATTGGACTCAAAAAACAAAACAGCTGCCTGACCATGTGACCTATATGACCAAGCACAACAACATAGACACAGCAAATTGTAACTCCGTTCAGTAGTGAAATAAATTAAAATGTATGCAATTCTATGAGACCCTAAAAGTAACTGATTTATGGTGGCAATTTTGATTTTACTATTGATATCCTTTGAGCAATCATGGCACAGGTCTTAACTGTGCAGAAATGTGACAAATTAACATTGTTATGTAAAACGGTTTACATAATTTTGCACTATTCAATATGACTGCCATACGACGTTACCAATTGACTACTTTTGAAAAAATAATAATAATAACAAAGTATTTAACCAGGAAAGGTACATTCAGATTACTCTGGTTTTCAAGTACGTCCTGGGGATGTTACCTTAGCCCAACATCCAGGGGTTGTTACTATTACCAAATTTAACCGCATAAGGACACAACTTCAGAAATAAAAGGGAATCATGATGTAATATTTCTGTCATGTGTCCTTAAGGGGTTAATGGTATTCCTAATTCATAGCATTACCTCACACAATAATTTACACACCTATAGCAAAAATGTTGGAATATTGCTCAACATGGGTCACCAAAATTAGGACAGCTGCCAGATTATGTGACTAATGGCCTGCATAAAGCGCCTCGTAGGTCACTACCAATGCGCTAAAGTGGATTCGCTTTACACAAGTGATTTTGTTTTTATAGGCATTTGAAAAAAGTGGGAAAACAGTAATCGTAAAAGATTTTTTTTACAAAAAAAGCTAATTATTTGTGCAAAAACAATAGGATGTCCGGCAGCTACACTGCCTGGCTGCATAATAATAATATACTCAAGAAAATATACAATAAAAGTATCCCTGAATATTTGAGTTGTTTGTTCAAATTTACTTTTCATAAATGTGCTCTATATTAAATTTGTATATGCCCTTCAGGACTTACTTGAAAAAGAATGAAATCTCAATTTATCTTTCTATGTTGAAAGTTTTATGAGAAAATAAACATATAACACCCCTCAATGCCATGTTCTCAGATGAGAAAAACAGCACAAATAGTTATAAAGCTTCAAAATTTGCTTTGCGCTTCAATCTACAAGTTTGTATCATTTAGTCAAGGGGCAGTTTATCCAGAGAGGTGCAAACTGTCATTGGGGTTATGTAACAAAAGCATCTGAACATGTTGGAACAATGCAGTTCTAATCAATCAGTCTCCGCATGAGATTACATTGCTTTGATCACCCCGGGCTACAGGATGATAAAATGACTCTCCCAAGGTTACAATGAAGCTATCACAATGTTCACTTCAAAAAAATTGTAATAAAATTAGATTAATATGGTTGCTCAAATTTGTACTCCAACAACAGCACAAACTACCTTAAACTTGTGGTTTAGTATTTGAATGAATACTAGAGACCATTAATATTTATTTTTAGAACCAACATAACCAACACACAATGAAAACACAGAAATTAACAAAACGTATATTCACAACAATGTAAAAAAAGGTAAGAGAACAATATCAGTGCTGCCATTAATTGCAGATGTTCCAGACAATACAAAAAATACAATACAAAAAAAAAAGAATATATACAGTAAAGATAAAGGTAATAATCAAATTGAGAAAATATCAAGGGTTGTTAATGTGGATGGACAGGACATATCAGACACAGATCCTAAATTGTATCCGATATGTTTAAGGAATTGTGGATTTAACTTGCCTGCCTGTCCGTCAAGGTATTTAATTTTGTTGACAATTTCACCTATTGATGGGGTCCTGAAGGTATTCCAAACTGGGTTGACACATCTACTGAACAAAAACATCCAGAGATTTAAATTCAGTGGTTTTGTCTTCTATTACCATGGAAATTAGACAATGGGGTCAAATCCAGAAAGGAATTTGTTTATGGCAGGAAACCCAATTCAAGAACGTTTGAAACTGTTCCCATTATATCTCTTCAAAATTGAGTCATTAGAGGTTCTAAGGATTCAGAATAAGTAGACAATGGTCAAGAACAAATATAACATTGTTGACAATGTTTGGTGTTTGAGGTTAATATATAGAGCTGTCGTGTTCTTTAGTAGAGTAAGGGTTCATTCTGCTTACTGAAGAGCAATTGTGATCAGTAAACCCTGAGAATCCCGATCATAAGGTCAAAGAGGCAAAACTGACTTATATCATTATCATTATATCATTATCAATATCATCCCAGTCAGATTTACGGAAGGTGTTTTGGAGGCCATCTTCCCACATACCAGATATCAAATATTCTCTTGGGCCAATCATGTTGATAAATAGATGTTAGTTCCAGTAGACTGGCTGCACACACACGCACAAATCAACTGTAATAATGTATTTAATTCTAATGACTTGAAGTTATCATGTGCTATATTGCATATAGAAATCCTTATGTGACATTAACATGCATGCTTGTCACATTTTATTATAATGCTCACTAATTCTGCTATAGAAAATAGGCTAAAATTAGTAATTTAATGGTCAATTTCAATCAATTCACAGTTTAGTAAATAACCCCGTATTTATTAAAAAGAATTAGCTCTACGGTAAACATTATTATGGCAAAATTTTCAATTTTTTCCAAATGATTTCCGTGATATGTTTCCAATGTTTTAATGCAAATATGGTTGTAGGTTTTAGTGATCAGAAAACTGAATTGCAGAATCTGGGCAAAAAAAAAGGAAAACTGAGATTGTTGGAGAATATTTCCAATTTATCGATTAAAGGACCACTATAGGCACCCAGACCACTTCAGCTTAATGAAGTGGTCTGGGTGCCAGGTCCAGCTAGGGTTAACCTTTTTTTCTATAAACATAGCAGTTTCAGAGAAACTGCTATGTTTATATTAGGGTCAATCCAGCCTCTAGTGGCTGTCTCGTTGACAGCCGCTAGAGGCGCTTGAGAATGCTTTCCTATGAGACTGACTGAATGCGCACGCAGCTCTTGCCGCGCATGCGCATTCAGCCGAGGAGGCGGAGAGGAGGAGGAGAGCTCCCCGCCCGGCGCTGGAGTAAGAGGTAAGTTTAACCCTTTCCTCTCCATCCAGCCCGGTGGGAGGGGGTCCCTGAGGGTTGGGGCACCCTCAGGGCACTATAGTGCCAGGAAAACGAGTATGTTTTCCTGGCACTATAGTGGTCCTTTAATAGCTGCATGCTACAATTTGTTTACAGCTCACTCGGATTCGATGTTTTGTAAATAAACTCCATCTGTGAGAACATTCATTTACATTCATCAGACAGTCATTGTAACTCCTTTGCCATATTAAAAGCATTTATAATTAGACCAATCGTATTTCCTATTTTCCCCCTCTAATTAAAGTGATAAATTACCCAGCAGTTTACCTTAAAGCCATTAATGAAATCACACTCTTAAACATAATTAATCTTTTCCAACTATAAAGACACTGGTTGAAAGCGTTATATGGTTGCAAACTATGTACATAAATAGCGTTGGATTAACAGAAACTCTCCCTTAATGCAGTGTTGGTGCTGTGGGTTCGCGGCGATTTACTTTAATTTTGTAGGCGGCAGTTTTCAATAACTAATGTTTTACTTGGAACCTTGACTACTCATTACACAGTGGATTATAATAGGGGTGGAAGTGTTCCAGAGATCCCACTGAGATTAACTCATTCGAAATTAGTGAATGAATTGAAATGCATTACTATATAACTAGCTTTACTCTTAATTGTGCTAAATTTCTACAAAGATATGTATGATACAAAAACTATGTTCAAAGCACATGATGTAACTTAGAGCTACTGTACTTTATGGAGCAAAGTTTTTAGCAAATAGGTCTTGCTAAGGCTGCATTCTTCTTCAGTACCTTAAAGGCATGCTATAGTCACCGAGGTCTGGTTGCAGGGTCCCTACAATGTTTACATTACAGGATTAAGTCCACCCCAATGATTGCACTGCATTAACCGAATAAAACCCGGTCACGTGACACAGAAGCCTCTCATTGAATTAATGCTTTTATAGGGTAGATTGAATGTGTGCTCAGCGCTTACCACGTATGTGCATTAGGCCCCTATGAGGAGCATTGGATTGGATTATCGCCTCTTCCGTGACACTAAGTAAGGCTGAGTGGTAAGGAGCGCTGCTCCCTTGGTGCTGGAAAAACGTATGTAAAACTTTTGTTAAACGTTTATTGCCAACAGGGTGGGGAACTTTGGTAGAGCTAGGGACAGGGATACTTTAGTGTTAGGAATACAGGTTTTTATTTCTACTGCCATAGTGTTCCTTTTTAATCCAAGGAAAGTAATGCCAATGGATATGTTACAATTGCTGCACTGCTAACCTTGTCTTGCTTTCTTTCCTTCAAAGTAATTTACAGGGTAATTTGTAATTCCCTAAATGGGAAAAGGGTTATTGAGAGGAAACAGCACAAGGACACATGGACAATGGTGGACAAAGGCAACAGGTGACAAGAGTCAGGATGGAAGGGAGAGACCGTCGGAAAGTAGAGAACCTGCAGAATGGAATGACCAGGTGAGAATAGTGAGAGGGGTAAGGAGGGGTATCCTGTTCATGAATAGACTTACATAAAACATATCAGTGGACAGTCAACTTCACAAGGTAAATATTTTTCTAAATTCTGAACTTTATTTCTTCATTTACAAATTCTCCTAGAATAGGCTTTTAAGAAGAATAGTGCTGGAATGTAACATCATATACAGTACAATGTGTGTGTGTATGGATGTCAGTGTCTGTATGTCTGTCAGTATGTCTGTATATATATATGTATGTGTGTCTGTATGTCATTATGAATGTATGTCGGTGTCTGTATGTATGTCAGTGTGTATGTATGTATGTGTCTTTATGTCCTCATGCATGTGTGTCTGTATGTATGTTAGTATGTGTCTGTCTGTCACTATGTATGCCTGTGTGTATATATGTGTATGTCTCATCCTGATGAAAGTCTGTGATACAGACTGAAACGTTGATTTTTATTTTGAGCTAATAAAGGCTAAGTTTTATTCATTCTACTTGGAAGTCCCTGGAGTGCTATCTTGTAATTTTGGCTGTATCTGTTTGCTGATAAGCACCGGGCAAGTACATCAAGGAAGGTGGAGTGCATTACTATTTTTGTTTTGTATGTCTCAGTATGTGTGTGTCAGTATGTATGCCTGTATGCGTGTATGTCTGTTTCAGTATGTGTGTCTGTTAGTATGTATCTGTGTCCTTTTGTATCAGTGTGTGTGTTTGTATCTGTGTGTGTATTCCTGTGGGCGGTATTTGGAGGCGGACCCTGTGGGCGGGATTGGAGGCGGGTCCCAGGGGGCCCAGAACCTGAGCTGAGTTAGGGGCCCCAAAATTTCTGGTGGCAGCCCTGATCATATATGACACTATACTCATGATTTAAAGGAAACCTGCCATCATCGTTTTATTATAATTTTAAAATAAATGATTACCTGTACCACAGCCTCTGTGTATTATTTTGTAATATACATATAAGTAATTGCCTTTTTATTGTTTCTCCGGGTTTACCCATTCTCAATAGAACAGACATCTTTAAGTCCCCCTTGGACATAAGCATAGTTTATCTGACCAAAAACGGCAGAATATTACGATCTATTGTGAACTCGAGAATCATTACATCGTGTGCTAGCACAGAGCATTAAAAAATGCACTCTGGATATAAACATTGTTTGCCGATACATTGATGTGTTGTATGTTTACTATTGAAATATTGTACAATGCAATGTTTATATAATATTGTTGTAAGAGACCTACACTCTTTCTTAATAAAAAAAAAGATTATTAAAAAAAAAAAAACAGGTCCTCCTCTGCCTGTAAACTTTATTTTGTCTGTCAATTATTTGCTACTGTGTATCCCCACTGTATAATTTAAAAGAGCTGCAGAATGTTGGCACTATAGAAATTCTAATAATAATAATGGTAACCTGATCTACTACATCCGTTTCTGCAAAACGATGTGTCCAAGCATGGGGCCCGTATATTGGTCCTCTGTATTTACTCTTTTTTCTGAATTGTGTATACCCTTTTCATTTTGTTGTCTTATGGATTGGCTCTAAATGTGCTTCAATACTGAATTTTTCTGACACACAAAACTTCAGATTTCTCCTTCCTTATATTGTATCACAGTTTAGTGCATAACCCTGAATTATATTTAAATAAAATTTACTATCCCTCATGTTTACACTCATAGTTTGACAGCCTGGTACATAGGTATAGGTATTTCTAAGGCAGAGCTCGACAGATCCAAGGTTGCCATGATGACTCATAAATGCCAAGTGGCACACAGATTTTTTGTCTCCATTGAAGGACAACCTAAACATAAGTTTTATTTGAGCAGCTTCTGCAGTCCTAAGCTCTTAAATAGGCCCGAGTTTTAAAAAAGTTTCACAAACACAAACTCATCTTCATACCTATACACACATTCACATGCCACTAAAACCGTATATATGCCCACAAGCATGTCATCTTTAACACCTATATATACACACGTTATATAAATATGGATATTTTGTGTGAAAAGTCACAAAAGAAAAACCTAGATTTTCTGGACACCTCTCAATTACCATTTAAAGCAAATAGAGGGAGGGCCTACCTGCTTCCTGGTGCTTAAGAACACAGCAATTTGGTTGAAAATACTGACACAAAGTTCAGTACTTGCAAGAGTTTCTTTTGAAGTGTCTGATATTCTGTGTGAAAAAATATAGGATTGATTTCAGTAAAACTGTGGAGTCACGCAAAATCGACAATGTGTATGTTTACTTAAAGGGAAAATATCACTTCTGAGGATTTTTAACATGATTTATACTTATCTTTATATCTAACAAATATGCATCTGTGAGATGTGAGAGATAGCATTAAATGTGAACATTTACACCACATTTTATCCTGAAACTGGGAACCTCCATCTTAGCTTCCTGTCAATGTAGGTGATAAGCTCTGTTCTTTGCACCTGGCACTCAGCATGAAGAAGGGTAACACGGAAGGGGAGATATAAAACAATATTTCTATTTATCCTCCTCATTCTACTTGTGTGCTCTGGTGGTTTCTTGACTCAACTAGATTTGATGTGATTTGCTAAATCTTATAATATAAATTGAAAAGAAAATGGAGGATCACATAAAAATAATAGTTTAACACACATTATAGATGTTTTTCAGTGTTTTATTCAATGGTAAAAACTGCCCTTTAATATGTGCAAGTATGAGCAAACTACCAAATGTGGCGTAATCACCATGGTAACTATTAGAATGCATGGAATGTTACTGCAATTACATTCTGTGAAGTTTAGTACTATACTTCATCTATGTCAAAATGTTTTGTTCCCCCAGGTATGTACATGATTTTGGACGGAGAGATGGTTTTCTTCCACATTTTCCCTTTTGTTTTTTCTGAACCTTTTCCTTTAATTATTTAAGTTTTATAAAATTCAATAAAACGTATTTGAAAAGAACATTCCTGCCAGTTGCTTTAGTTTGCCAATGATGCTCCTGAAATACTTTTTATTAAAGGACCACTATAGGCACCCAGACCACTTCAGCTTAATGAAGTGGTCTGGGTGCCAGGTCCAGCTAGGGTTAACCCTTTTTTTTTTTTTATAAACATAGCAGTTTCATAGAAACTGCTATGTTTACCTATGGGTTAATCCAGGCTCCAGTGGCTGTCTCTTGACAGCCTCTAGAGGCGCTTGCGTGCTTCTCACTGTGATTTTCAGAGTGAGAAGACGCCAGCGTCTATAGGAAAGCATTGAGAATGCTTTCCTATGGACTGGCTGAATGCGCGCGCGGCTCCTGCCCACATGCGCATTCAGCAAAAGAGGAGGAGAAGAGGGAGGAGAGGAGGAGGAGAGCTCCCCGCCCGGCGCTGGAGAAAGAGGTAAGTTTAGCCCCTTCCTCTCCATCCAGCTCGGCGGGGGCACCCTCAGGGCACTATAGTGGTCCTTTAACAAATTCCTATTAATAATAGACAATTAGTTTATTCATATTTTATTAAAAGGAACAAAGTTTATTGAACCATTTATTCATGTGACATTGTAGGATGGTAAAATACATACATTGTTCCATAGTTGTTACCAGTTGTGGACTCACTGTCCTACAAATTTCCACACTCATGATATAAAGGGCCTTTCACCAAAACACTTTATGGGCATTTTCAATTTACATGGCTGTATCATGCAATAACATTTTATTTAGGTATTTTAGATAGTAAGTGATAGGAGTTTCACAAAAAAGTAATAAATAAATCCACAGAAAAAGTGAAGCAAAAGGCAATATCACGTTAATGACCTTTAACCCCTTAAGGACACATGACATGTGTGACATGTCATGATTCCCTTTTATTCCAGACGTTTGGTCCTTAAGGGGTTAAGGACCAGTTTGGGCACCATAGCAACTTCATATAAATGAAGTTGTTCTGGTGCCTGGAGTGTTCCTTTTCGTACAAAACCCTTAAAAAAACAAAGAACAAAATCTGTCTCAAGCTACTTCTGTATAGGGTAAAATGAATGTTTAGTACATGTGACATTATGGACACATAAAATGCTCAGTTCATATTCTGCTGCCATGTTTAAAATTTACATTCCCAAACATACAAGCAGATTACTAATAAATACAAATCAGCATAAAATTTGAGCAACTGCAGTTACACTACACTATCACACCAACTTATGCTTGTACAGCTATTCTAATTATTACCATCCTGTTGGAAGGACTACAAGACAAGGATGTGTAATGTGTAAAAATTTTATTTGAAACAATATTTCTGCAATGAAACTGTAAAAAACTGTAAAGAAGGTGGAGTTGGAGTTCCTGAAGACTAATTAATGGTGTTTATTTGTTCTTTTATATGAAAAAAAAATAGAATTATGTTTTTAACATGAATATTATGCATTTATTTCTACAAAAGTTGTTTTGTTTAATTTACTTGTATGTCTTCTCCATCCATTGTACTGCATTTAATGTACCTTTATTGCTAATTATTGGACAAGTTGCTAGTTTCACGTTGTAATAAACTCATGCCCATAAGTTACCGATTCTCTCAACAAATGTACTTGGAGAGCAGAGACTGGTTGAGATATATCATTTTGATCCTGGTTTCACAAAATATTTTATCGAAATAAATATTTACATTATTCAATGTATTATCACGGAATCTATCAATCTGTTTTAGAAATCAGAGGTAAATCCCCAGTTTGTCTCTAGATTATGAATGGTTATAAACGCACAATAAAAAAGTTATTTATTGCGGAGCACTGTGGAATATATCTGTGCTGTTTAAATAATAATAATCATCATCTCTTGGCATATCTTTGGCAGATTTACCGCAAATACGAAATAATAAAAACTGTATTGTTATTCTGTGGACCATCAGGGCATTGCTGGGGAAAAACTACATGCAATAATTTGGGACTTTTAATATATTCATTCTCTGTTAACCTACATAGTAAAAAGTTTACATCTGATTTTCTTGCATTAACTAATAATAAGGATTGGTTAATGTATAAGGCAGTCACTAAAAGTCTGATAAAATGTTTTTCTAAATGAAAGGTTATCTTGATATGTTTTGTAATATGGGGTAAAATTTTGCTCTGTTGGCAACCAACGATGACAGTTAAAAATATCAGTGAAGTAGTTTTAAATGAAAGACATTTCTTTGGCAAGCAGAAGTTTTGCATTACTTGGGGTTATGATAAATTACCATGTCAGTAGTTGATGTACTGATGTACAGTGGTTTAACTAATGGTTTTTAATTATTTTTAGAGTTTCACAATTCCAAATTGGCACAGAAATGTAGCAATATTTTGTTCTTTAGATAAAAAAAAAATCAGTTTCTTAAATTTAACAGATAATCACATTTCCCCCTTGTGCTTGCCAAGTCAACTTAGCTTACAACGACTTTAGCAGCTGTAAAGTCTGTTTTTTTGCAATTGTCCCATATGTCAAAATTTACTGAACTCCAAATCCTAGGACTGTAAGCCAACCCAAGTACCAAGGAAATTATGCCCAGTAGCCTGATTTATTATACCAAAGCAACTTTTTCACTAGCTGCTAGAATGTTTTATGGGCCAGACACACTTACCTATAATGTTCACTGGTTTTTAAATGCAGCAAGAGTAGTGGATACATGGCGTTGCTATACGGTTGGTAAGGAGGTTGAAGACATTTGTGATATATGACTAAAAGAAGACATGAATAAGACATTGGTTCACAGTTTGAGAAACTGTAAAACAATGGTTCATTATCTCCCATCAATTCCAAAATTCTATTACCAAGGAACTGGCTTTTCTTTGAAATTATTAAATTATCTCAAGGTGATTTGCCCAACAACTACCACCATCTCTTCAATACCAACTGGTTACATCATATGCCTAAAAAATCATCTAGAGTGTAAGCTCCTTTGACCAGTGTCCTATAACAATATGTAATTGTCTCATTTATTGTTAAATGTCCCCCTACATAACATTGTAAAGCCCTGCGGAATAAGTTGGCGCTGTATACATGCCAATAATAATATTTCATAAAGTATATGAGTTATTAATATATATTGCTTTCAGATAAGCTGGGAATATTTGTCCACATTTTGTTGCCCTAAAGAAAAAGATCCCAGTCATACCTTGATGATGATGAATCCTTTGAACCACTGGTTCTGTCTCTTGGGACAGGATGGCCTGGCTCCCTCCCCCAGGAGGTGGCTCTGTGGATCTGCAGCTGGGAAGCCCCTTAGCAGGCTCTTTATGTGGGCTCTTTGCTGTGTGCAGTGAGGTGGAGCTAAGGGCGGCTCTGGAAGACAGAGCACAGCTGGACTAATTCCCCAGGGGGTGGGAGGGAATGATTCATTTTACTGATCTTATGTGGCATTCCAGCAAATTCTCACATGGCAAGCACAGAACAAACTCACAGATGTGTGAACCCCTCAGATATTTATCTGCTGTGAGGATCTGGCATATTGCAACAGCCAGAGCTTGAAACAGATACCTGGGATAAATTCACACGGGAATATGTATCTCAGGAATTGGAATACTTGTATGAATTGCATATGGAACTTTAAATTACTTTTTATCTTTTTTTTGTTACCAAAAAAAATATTTGTAAAGTGTAACTTTTAGCACAAGGACAGCGCTACATTGTAACATCAGCAAGACCTAATGAATTATCTAGCTAACCCGCTGTTAATGTGTCCTGACTTCCATTCATCAATATCAATTATATGCCATTAATGGAGTAGTGAACATAATGTGTACCTTTCATGGTGCGCAGAAATTATGGTCAAATGGAAGAACATAAAGTTTCATCATTACACGGTGCTAAAAGAATTACTAGAGAACATATACAATTTATTAAAATTCAAAATAGAATAAAAAATAAAAAAGACCCCTTACCTTATCAATTCTCAGCACACATGGCTATGCCATCAGAATAATGAGCAATCTCAGAATTGATTGACTGGGGACTAGCAGGAGAACCCATTAGTTGGCAATTAAGTTGGCATAATACTGTAAAGCGCTATGGAATCTGTTGGCGCTATATAAATGGCAATAATAAATAAATAAATTAATGATTAGGGAATTGCTCCTTGCTTTGGGAGGCATTACTGTGTTTCTCAAGCAGAGTCAATCAGACAGGAGGCAGGTAGGTAGGAAGGAACACTGATCAATCTGGCATGGTGCTGGTGGGGCAACACATCATATTATAGATAAAGCATTGAAAAAGATGAAACTAAATAAAATTACATTTAAAATAATGTACTAAGATTCGAATGCTGTACTGTTTAATGTAGCTTCAAACAGCATCAAGCATACTATCTCCAGATCAGAAAAGGCTCCACCATAATTCTAATCTAGTTATATGATCCTACGGTCCATTATTATAGTCTCAGAACCTATTGTATAAACCCCTGTCCACCAGAGGTTTATGAGAAAAGTATTTTATACATAGTCGCAGTTCCAATCATCAGTCTTTAAACTGTGGTCACTGTTTGGTTGTCTCCACTCCAGGGAAGAGAGAGATATTTCATAGTTGTGTTTAGTGCGCATGCTGCATAAACAGATGGACAAAAAGTGAAAATGGTGTTCCTATAACTTTTATACAAATCGCTGCATTTATTAGCCAGTCAGAACTGAGAGCGTGTACCGCAGGGTATTCACTGCTCTATAAGTCTTGCAATAAAGCTTAACGAACCCTCTAAGGAAGTGATTTGTATATCTCACTGAGGGTGTTTCCCATAAAACCTGTATTCAGCGCTAAACTAAAGCATAATTCCGTCACTGTAGACCTTAGCGAAAGGTGTTCTATATAATGAAACCTAAATAATGGGCATGGTTCTATTTTTATTCACGTGTCCAATAAAATTGTCTAGATTGTCTTTTCCTCCAATAAACAAAAAATCGAAGAAAAGGCTAATGAAATGGCTAATTGACTGGGTCATAAAATGGTTTTAATGGTTTTAAAGATTTAAAGAGACACAAAATTTGTAGCTTGCCACTAAACATGATTGGGGTACCAGGACAGATATGTTAGGCTATTTATCAGCACGCCACTTCAGGCACCATAAGCTTTTATACTGCATGTGTAAGTTCTGCTCTGTGGATCCCCTATCCATGTCTCCCTTTAATCTAATCAGTCTATTTATCATGGTTTTCAAAAAAAAACACAAGACTCTCACGCATGAAAAATACGAAAATCTAATAATAATAATAATAATAATAATAATAAAAGTCATCAAAAGCATTGAATGCTCATTCCCATTCAAGACAATGGAAGAACTAGGATTGTCTAAGAATCTTCAGCCACTTTTATTTTGTATTTTTTGTATGGAGTATCCCACCTTGATAACACTTTATAAAAGTGTCTATTTCAATTTGTAATCAGCACTTTTAGAACTCAGTTAGGAAACACCTCCAGGGCTGTTAATCAAACTGCCAGGAAGATTCTGTTCCTCCTTCCGTTACCTTCACTGAGCTAACGGAAGTGACGACATGTTCTGCTAGAGAGTGCCTGCCGTCTACCATGAGTCGCTAGGAGCCTGGGAGTGTGCGCACACCTGTTTGCTCATGTCCACAATGCTCTGTTTTACCTGAGAGCATTCTTCAGGTCTCCTGTGTCCCCACAGCTACTGTTTTATCTCTGGCTCCCCTTTCACTGCATATTGGCGCTAATTAGTTATCTCAGTGAGAAGCCTCTGATTGATCTTTTTCTCAGCCCAGCCTAAAGGTCTGTGCCAGAAAAAAAAGATAATCTGCAGTTTTGCAAGTAGTTTTTTTTTTTTAGAAAAAAAACCCCTAATGAAAAAAATGCATGCATGTAGTCATTTGGGTATATCTACTAAACAGTGATTTTCCTTTAATATTTTCAGATTTCAAAATTCTCCCTAAACCTGATTTTTTACCACTGATATCATTACACCTTGGCTGAGGGGGAGGGCAGGCTGAGAGGAGGACATGGGCAGCACGGAACGGGAGACGTGCATCCACTGGCTGTCTGGGGCCAGCAAGTTGTGTGTGCAGGCATCTGAGGTAAATTTTGCACAGAATTAATATAAGCCAGTCCGAAATTCTTGTTTCAGACTGTTGAGAAAAGAGCAAATGTAGTGAGTTAGTGAGAGATTTTCAGGTTTGTGTTAGCAGTTGGAATTGGATCCTGAAGGGTACAGGAAGCCAGTGTAATGACTGGGGTGAGGTGTGGGAGTAGTGGTCAGTCAGGAAGATGAGACTGGCAGCAGCACTGATTGCAGACTGAAGAGGGTCAATGCGGATATTGGGAGTAGTGAGTTGCAATAGTCAAGTCAGTAAATGATGAGAGCACGAACAAGTGCCTTAGTTGTATCTTATGTTAGAAAAGAGTAAATGTGGGCAATGTCTTTAAGGTAGAAGTTACATGTTTTGGAGACAATGTTAGGAGGAGTATTATTTGAGGTGGGGAAGATGAGGATTTTAGTTTTAGTAAAATTACATTTTAGAAAACAGGAAGACATTTAGTTAGTGATGGAAAAGAGGCAGATTGTGAACCCATTCCAGAAGAGAGGTTGGTCAGGAAAGGTAAATCTGTGTTTCGTCAACATATAGATGGTACTGAAATCCAAAACTGTTATTAAGGTTACTGAGAGAGGCAGTGCAGATGAAGAATAAAAGAGGACCCAAGACAGATCCTTGGGGAACACCAACCGAGACAGTCAGCAGGGAGCAGCTGGCAGCAGAGAAAGAGACACTAAATAAGTGTTCAGAAAGATAGGATGAAAACCAAGAAAGCACAGTGTCATGGAGTCCAAGGTTGTAGAGGATTTTCAAGAATAGGAGAGTGATTGACATTATCAAAGGCAGCAAAGAGGTTGAGGAGAATTAAGAGAGAGTAACGACCTTTATATTTATCAGTAAATAGGCAGTATCAATAGAATGCGGAGTGATAGCCGGATTGAAGAGTCAAGGAGAGAGTTAGTTTTGAGAAAGTGTGGGTAAATACAACCCTCTCAAGAGAAAGTGTGGGTAAATACAACCCTCTCAAGAAGCTTAGAAGTGAAGGGAGGTGGGGAGCTAACAATCATAAGGGCGTACTATGCTGCCCTAATGTAGTTTAGATTCACTTATTGCAGGGCGGGATAGTACACCCTAATGGCATTAAGGGGTTAAAAGTGACAAATACACTGATCAGCCACAACATTGAAATCACTGACAGGTGAAGTTAATAACATTGATTATATCATTACAATGACACTTGTCATGGGGTGGGATATATTAGGGAGCAAGAGAACAGTCTGTTCTCTAATTTCATGTGTTGGACACAGGAAGAAATGGCAAGCGAAAAGATCTTTGACAGGGGACAAATAGTGTTGGCTAGATGACTGGGTCAGAGTATCTCAAAAATGGCAAGTCTTGTGGGGTGTTCCTGGTATGCACTGGTTAGTACCTACCAAAAGTAATGCAAGGAAGCACAACTGGTGAATCAGCATCAAGGTTTTGGGCACCCAAGGCTCATTGATGCACGTCTGGATCGATCACACAGAAGAGCTACTGTAGCTCAAATTGCTGAAAACATAATGCTAGAATGGTGTCAGAAGACAGGTCAGAGTACTCATGATGACACCTGTTCACCACCAAAAGCACCTTCAGTTGGGGACGTGAGCAATGGAAGAAGGTTGTCAGGTTTGGTGAATCACATTTTTTTGTGCGTGTGCATTACCTGGGGAATAGATGGCAGCAGGATGCACTATGGGAAGAAGGCAAGCCGGTGCAGGCAATGTTCTGCTGGGAAACCTTGGGTCTTGGCATTCATGTGTATGTTACTTTGACATGTACCACCTACCTTGATATTATAGCAGACCATGCACACCCCTTCACAGCAACAGGGTTTCCCTGATGACTGTGGCCTCTTTCAGAAGAATGATGCACCCTACCACACTGCAAATATTATTCAGGAATGGTTTGAGGAACACAACAAAGAGTTCAGGGTGTTGACTTGGCCTCCTTATTCCCTGGATCAATCTCTGGGATGTGCTGGAACAACAAGTCTAATCCATGGAGTCCCCATCTCGCAACTTCCAGGACTTAAGGGATATGCTGCTAATATCTTGGTACCAGACACCACAGGACACATCCATGCCTCCACGCATCAGGTCTGTTTTGGCAGCATGCAGCACAACTACACAATATTAGGCAGGTGGTTTTATTGTTGTGGCTGATCGGTGTTTAGGTATTCAGCCTGATTTAATCTTAGTATAAGCCATGCACTTGCATTTAGTATAATACTATTCTTTGTGAAAATGTCACATACCTGGGGAATTTTCAGTTCCCCTTACCTTGAGAGTTCCCTCTATGATGACAGG